ATTGTTGGCTTTTTGGCCAAAAGCTCAAAATAGATTCAGGATTATAGGAAAAGCATTGTTTTACCGTAAAACCGATTTTAAAGGACCATTGAAGTCAAAAATCTAATCGCACCTTGTAAAGCGTGTAGTTCGAGATGGCAAAGCAATTGCCCGGCCAGCAAGATCCACACCGATTGTAGGGGTTGCACTCTAAATATTGGAACTATTCCCAAATGCTTTCTGCTAGCTTGCCTCCATCGCGAGCCTGATAATTGTTGCAAGTCTCGTGGGGAATTCCGTGTTTCTTGGCATAGGCATAGACAGCCCCGGCCTCTCCACCCTCACATGATCCTGCACCGGCACAATCGATTACCTCCTGAAAATAGGGGCTGGGTACGGTAGTATATCTTGGAATTTGGTGCTTTTCCATTAACGGGGGCGGGGGATTTTATTAGACAAGTAGAAAAAGCTTTCTAAAATTTTTTCAGACCATTTTTGAAGCCTATAACTTTTTATTAAAAATTACAAAAATATCGATTTTTCGACAAAAATTTCGGAAATCCAACATTTTTAGAAACTTTCCCACTTGGAATATAGTTAAATGTATATAAACCTAAATCAACTATAATAATTTTCTTGACGCGTCCGTCCGTCCGTCCGTCTGTCGTGTCCCAGATTCAACTCGAAGGGGAAAGGAGCTAGAGCTTAGCTCTCTTCGGATTCGGATAGAGCGTGGTCAGAAACCCCCAAACTGATAAAAAAATTACGAAAAAGTTTTAGTTTAAATTATTAAAATTAACTTTGAAAGTTTTTCCTTAGTAAAAGGGGTGGGGGTGATTTCGGACATAGTGAGCCAGGTCGCGCGCGTTTCGTGGATGAAAATTTTCACGGGGGATTTCATTTCTTTTTCTCTCATTCCATCCGGTCGGTCGTTATTTTCGTTTTTTAAAAGGATTTCGGATAGGGGAGGTATTTAAACCATCGGGAAGGTATTTAGGTAGTTTTTGAAGGGGATTTCGGCTAGGAGAGGTATCTTAAGCCATCGGGAAGGTATTTAGCTAGTTTTTGAAGGGGATTTCAGCCATGGGGGGTATCTGAAGCCATCGGGAAGGTATTTAGGTAGTTTTTGAAGGGGATTTCAGCCATGGGGGGTATCTAAAGCCATCAGGGAGGTATCGAAGTAGTTTTTTAAGGGGATTTCAGCCATGGGGGGTATCTGAAGCCATCGGGAAGGTATTTAGGTAGTTTTTGAAGGGGATTTCAGCCATGGGGGGTATCTGAAGCCATCTAGAAGGTATTTAGGTAGTTTTTGAAGGGGATTTCAGCCATGGGGGGTATCTGAAGCCATCGGGAAGGTATTTAGGTAGTTTTTGAAGGGGATTTCAGCCATGGGGGTATCTAAAGCCATCAGGGAGGTATCGAAGTAGTTTTTTAAGGGATTTCAGCCATGGGGGGTATCTGAAGCCATCGGGAAGGTATTTAGGTAGTTTTTGAAGGGGATTTCAGCCATGGGGGGTATCTGAAGCCATCTAGAAGGTATTTAGGTAGTTTTTGAAGGGGATTTCAGCCATGGGGGGTATCTGAAGCCATCGGGAAGGTATTTAGGTAGTTTTTGAAGGGGATTTCAGCCATGGGGGGTATCTAAAGCCATCAGGGAGGTATCGAAGTAGTTTTTTAAGGGGATTTCAGCCATGGGGGGTATCTGAAGCCATCGGGAAGGTATTTAGGTAGTTTTTGAAGGGGATTTCAGCCATGGGGGGTATCTAAAGCCATCAGGGAGGTATCGAAGTAGTTTTTTAAGGGGATTTCAGCCATGGGGGGTATCTGAAGCCATCGGGAAGGTATTTAGGTAGTTTTTGAAGGGGATTTCAGCCATGGGGGGTATCTGAAGCCATCTAGAAGGTATTTAGGTAGTTTTTGAAGGGGATTTCAGCCATGGGGGGTATCTGAAGCCATCGGGAAGGTATTTAGGTAGTTTTTGAAAGGGATTTCGGCTATCGGGGGTATTGATGGAAGTGGGAAAGGATGTGGTGGAGTGGGACATGTAGGGTAGCCCGAAGGCCAGATGGTTGCAGTCGCGAAGCGACTGTAACCATCTGGTTACTGTAATTAAATTTTAAAGAAAGTGCTGGAAAAATCTACTTTTTAACGGATACCTGAATGGAGAGGAAAGCCTGGGGGAACTTGTTTTTCCGCTTGATGTTGATACGATCGGCCAGAGCTGAGGTGGCGCCCTAAAAATTGGAAATTAAAAACATCCCAAATAATTTCTGCTAGCCTGCCCTCCGATTCCTCAAAGAATCTCTGCTAGCCTGCCTTCCGAGTTCTCAAAGTATCTCTGCTAGCCTGCCTTCCGAGTTCTCAAAGTATCTCTGCTAGCCTGCCCTCCGATTCCTCAAAGAATCTCTGCTAGCCTGCCCTCCGATTCCTCAAAGAATCTCTGCTAGCCTGCCCTCCGATTCCTCAAAGAATCTCTGCTAGCCTGCCCTCCGATTCCTCAAAGAATCTCTGCTAGCCTGCCCTCCGATTCCTCAAAGAATCTCTGCTAGCCTGCCCTCCGATTCCTCAAAGAATCTCTGCTAGCCTGCCCTCCGATTCCTCAAAGAATCTCTGCTAGCCTGCCCTCCGATTCCTCAAAGAATCTCTGCTAGCCTGCCCTCCGATTCCTCAAAGAATCTCTGCTAGCCTGCTCTAAATGGATAAAAACATACATGAGCCCAGCAGGATCCACAGTACTGCGGTATATGCTGATTCCGGTCCACTGAAGCATAATTGATACCATCAGCGTTCCTAATAAATGGATGGCATGCTAGCAGAGATCTTTTGAGCAAAAATACCTCCAATCCCAAGCGATCGGCACTTTGTCGTGATCAAAGTTGGGGCTCTCGTAGATGCGGGGGCGATGTCTGTAAGAGGGTTACGGTATGAGGGCAGGTTTTAGGGAGATACAGTAGGTGTAATTCGACCTACTTGTGCTCGTAGACTCTCGTCTTCTTGTAGCATCCACGCACGTTGTATCTGGAAAAATGGGTATTTTTTCGGAGTTTTCTTGTAATTCCAGAAATTCCTAGTACCGTAGTAGCGAGTATTTTAATGGTGTTTTTGGTAAAATTTGACTTCATTAAAAGTCGAAAAACTGCATCAAAAGGCCTTAAATAAAGAAAAAGGTTTAAAAATGCTAAATCTGGAAAAAATTGGCTAGTTTTTGTCGGATATTGATTTTTTTTTGTCGAAAATCTATACCAATTTTATTAGAAGAATGCAAAAATAAAGTTTTTGTGTTTAAAAATAGTAAAAAATTGGATAGCTTTTTCTACTTCTAATAGAAAATAAGACCCTTAGAAAAAAAGCTGAGCCATCCCCCGATAATGCCAAAGAACCTGAATCACCTAAGTTAAGAAAAAAGTAGTTTCCTTGCTCCCCCCCCCCCGCTAACAATCCAGTACCAAAAAAAATCCACAGCTGGGCCTTGTGAGTCCCTTCAAAGGGGCGGGCAAGGCGGAGCTATTGGATTTTTCCCAATTACCTGTTGAGGGCCTCGACGGCAGCGAGGACGACCAGTAGAACACACACCGCACGATACAACCCCATTTCTGGAAATTTCCGAACGTTAAAAATTCTAAATGGCATCTGAAAAATTCAGGAAAAAGCGGGGACAACGTCTGCTTTCCCGCCAAAATATTTTCGACATTCTGGAGGGGCAGAATGGGCTGACCAGAGGAAATGGCCCCTCTGTCTCGAGGGGAAGGAAGGTGCCAGTCAAAACAGACTGATAACGGCCCCCCCTTATCTATACCTTTTAATTCCCGTTGACCCAATGAGGAGGGTCGACCCGCCTGCCCCGCCAAAGTTCAAACCATCACCCCCGATAATTTCGAAAATTTTGTGGCCTGGGGCATATTGCATACTACAGAGTTATGAGCAAAGAACACAAAATTAAAGGGGCTACGAAATGCCAAAAATTGAGTGACGGCCCGAAAATCGGAGGCCTGGACGTCGGAGGCCTCTGTACACCCCGGGGCCCGGGAAGCTCGCAAATTTGAAATTGCCTGTTGTCACCCCGAAATCACGTTTTCGGCTGTTTCTGGGCCAAAGTTGGTGCTTAAAACACCAAAACTATTTAAAATTGAGTTAGGATTTCAAAAATGGGCTCAGAATGCGCGAATTATAGTGTTTTCACAAAGAAACCGGGCGAAAACAGCTTCGCGCAAAAATCGAAAGAGTGAGGGCTCTCGTCCCGCAGCGCCCGCTGGCAATTTGTCAGAAATCAAAGTGGCCTCCCAAAAGGGCTTTGATTTGGCAGTTCGGAGCCCCTTTAAAGGGGCACCCCAGTCTGGTCCACGCCCCCCCAGCGTTGATTCCTGGCAAATAGCCAGATGCGGCCGCTACGCGATTGCGCCGCCGGTTCTTTTGCCCCTGTTTGGACGTGAAAACGCTTGAATTTACAAATGCTGACGTTTTTTCTGGAATCCTCGTCGAATTTGGATCGTTCTTGACGTTTTAATTATGAAATTTGGCCAGGGAATCACCTAGATCGAGAAATTGGGTTCTTTACAAGGCGTTACGACATTACAAACTTGACAAAAACTTGATAAAAACGCGAAAAACACAGATTTTTCGATAAAAAAATCGCAAATTTATGGCCAAAAGTTCGGCTTTTCAAACGTTTTGAATCTTTTAAGTAGTTTTCTAGTTAAAATATTGTTTTATTTTACCCAAAACCCTAGAAAAATACTTCCTATTGACTTACTAGACATTTCTAGGTTTATACAAACAATTTATCCATTACAAAATACAATAATACAATAAAATAAAATACAATAAAAATAAAAAATACAATCCTGTTAATACAAAAGATCCATTCCCTTGTTGCTCTCTCTAAAAAAAAACGTGAAATTAGGGGCCTTGCTCCTGATTATTTTTGATGAATTTCGATATGTTTTTGATTTTCTGAATTTATACGACAGTATACATTTATTAAATTCTCTTGAAAACATATAAAAAAACGGTAAAACAATTTAGGATCGACGGCCGGCCCGTTTTTCCATAAACTTGTCGAGCTTGACGAGAGGTTGTCGCGTGTTTCCAGCGGTTATTGCATGAATCTCCTGAACACAAAAAATTGTAATTTTTTTAATACAAAAAATGCTGGAATTTGCAAATGAAACCTTTAGTTCCGCGTTAGTACACTGTACGAGTAGCCCGAGGGCACAGACCCCGTGACTGGCCAGTTGACGGGCGATTTTCGAGTGATACGATGGAGATAGCGAATTCACGAGGAGAAGCCTGAAATTTGGGACTGGGTTTGCTAAAAAATGCCCTTGTGCTACCGTAGTTGTTGTCGGAATCGATTGGATACGGTAAAGACGTAGAAATGGACGAGGATTGAGACGAGATTTGAGGTACGCGTGGGAGAGCACTAAAATATTAAATTCTGAATGGCTAACCTATACAAAAAATCACAAAAAAGATCGAAAACCCGAATCTGCACTGTGGCCTAGTGGTTAATGATCTCGTCTTTTAAGCTAAGGGTCGAGGGTTCGACTCCTGCGTGCGGATAAATTTTTGCTTTTTGAAAATTCTTGGTTTCGGCCTTTTTTGGATTCTAAAGTGTGCCATAGCTACCGGAACACTCACGATTCCCCCATTCAGCACTTCCGCAATTTCCGCGGCCATCCTCTTTGCATAAGTCACGATATGCCGCCGTACATCCAGAATCGACCACCACAGGTTTAGAAAACCAGGGAAATCACCGGATTCTTCCAATAAATCGACGATCTATAGGAATGGAACGCAATTTAAGGGTTACGGTACCTGATGTGATAGCTGGAAGTTATCGAAGAACGCTCCGGTCATAGACTCCAAAATCTCGACGTCGTGACGACGCCAATATTCCGGAAGTCGATGCAAGACCTGGAAATTCCTCAAAGAATCCCTGCTAGCCTGCCCTCCGATTCCTCAAAGAATCTCTGCTAGCCTGCCCTCCGATTCCTCAAAGAATCTCTGCTAGCCTGCCCTCCGATTCCTCAAAGAATCTCTGCTAGTCTCCTCACCTTTCCAAATAGCATCACCAATTCTCTTGCTCGATTTTTCGATAAATCAACGTCATCTCGAAAAATGAAGGAAGCTACCGCAGCAAAACTTTTCTTTTGTATCTGAAAATCAAGGATTTTTCTAAAATCAATTTTTTGTAAAACGTACAATTGGCTCCTCGCTTTCCAGCAGCTTTGAGAACATTGTCAGAACGTCTGGTAATACCTAAAAAATTAGAATTTTTGACGGATTACGATAGAAATATACCTCCAAAATATCGAAAAATACGGGTAGGGCTTCATCGAGGAATTGGCCATCCAAAAAGTGCGAGTTGGCCAGGGAGATTAGGTTGTCCAGGGCGTGTTTTCTGGAATTTTTAGCATTTTTAAGCTCAGCCGACATTTCCTCCCCTGTGGTGTATTGGTAGTGCCCTTGTTTTCCAGCCCACAAATTTTTTTGCTCGCAGGTTCGATTCCTCCGAGGTGGAAATGTTTTGCTTTTTGCTTTTAGATGCTAAATTGCGGTTCAAACGAAGCTTCCCTATCCCTTTAAAACATCAAACCTGGTGGTTAGGTCCAAATTCTCATCACCAAGGGTTCGAAGCTCCTTGGCAGGCCCGCCTTCGATCGGTCGACACCAACTTTGGCTGAGGAAAAGGGCTGTCTCTTCGGGTTTCACCTGGAATACCGTATCTCAAGGGGAAATCGGGTTTAAAGAGGCTGGGAAGCCAGAATTATGGATTTTTTGGTTATGGGTTGTCATGGATACCAGAGATTCTTTGCGGAATCGGAGGGGGCAGGCTAGCAGAGATTCTTTGAGGAATCGAAGGGCAGGCTAGCAGAGATTCTTTGAGGAATCGAAGGGCAGGCTAGCAGAGATTCTTTGAAGAATCCATAGCCATACCCTGCCGATCGCTTTAAAGGGCCTGAGAAGGCAAATCTACGAGCATTTCTAAAAATATAGTCCTTTTGAGACCACCAGCTGTTCCTAAGAAGAGACAAATAGCCTGCGTGCCCTGGAGGCCAATGGCAACCTTCTGTCTGTCTGTCTCTCTCTCCCTCTGCCGTACTGTCTCTTTGTCTTCTCTGCCCCTCTCCTCTCCCTCTCCACTCTCTCTCCCCTTCCGCCTCTTCATCACGGCATTCAAATATTGCCAAAAGCTCCCCAGCTGTTTTTTTTTTCAAATTTTCTAATTTAAATCGTAACTTTTTCTGCAGTAAATTTGGCTGCTGAGTTTCTATAATATGTCTTTTTCTAACATTTATTCACCGTTAATAGGAATGCCGCGTACGGCCGCCGGCAAGCCGAACCAATACGTGGTGGAGAATATTTCAAAGTCCCTGTGGAGTGAGGTAGATTTTTAATGCATTCTGTTAAAAAAATTCTTGGCGAAGTATATTTAAAAATTGTTATTATCCATTAGGTAAATTAAATTAAAAAAATTTTAATATCGTTCTTAATTTTCACACTAAATAAATTGACTTAATTACTTTAATGACGTTATTGATGAAGTTAATGCCATATAAAATAATTTCCTAGACGGATGGCCAGTTTTACTACGAGGTGAAGTGGTACGGATACGATGAGGTGACATGGGAACCCGAAGGGAATGTCCAACATTGCCTCGAAAAATATGGATTTAAAGGTAGCTCTATCTCTCGCTCCATCTCCATCTCTCTCTCTCTCCCTCTCTCTCGCTCTCTCCCTCTCTCTCGCCTCTCGCGCCTCCCTCTCTCTCCCTCTCTTCCTCTCTCCCTCTCTCTCACTCGCTCTCTCTCGCTCTCTCGCTCTCCCTCTCGCTCTCTCTCATTCCCCCTCTCTCTCTCACTCTCTCTCTCTCCCTCTCGTTTTCGCTCCCTACACAGACCCTTTAGATGGCCATAAAGTTACCGTTAAGCGTGAGGCAAAATCAAATTCTCCACCCCAACTTCGCAAGAGAACAGCTGTGTGAGTTTTCAAACGAGGGCAAGCCAGGAGAGAAAATTTCGGAATTTTATTGGTTTTTAGGATCACCGCTCAAAGGACTTCTCCCCGAAAAGCGGCCATAAAAATGGAGATTGAGGAAGAAGAGGAGCAGGCCGAGGCGGTAGGAGAAAGGTAAGTTATTCCTATGGGTTTGCCTTCAGAGGGCTTAGGCTTAGGCTTAGGCTTAGGCTTGGGCTTAGGCTTAGGCTTAGGCTTAGGCTTAGGCTTAGGCTTAGGCTTAGGCTTAGGCTTAGGCTTAGGCTTAGGCTTAGGCTTAGGCTTAGGTTAGGCTTAGGCTTAGGCTTAGGCTTAGGCTTAGGCTTAGGCTTAGGCTTAGGCTTAGGCTTAAGCTTAGGCTTAGGCTTAGGCTTAGGTTTAGGCTTAGGCTTAGGCTTGAGCTTCTTTAATACTCTATTATTAATGTAAGCCTAAATTAGGTCAAATTATCTACTTTTTCGATCTCAAAAATTAAATTCAGCAAGCCGCGCCTCGCCGCAAAGCCAGCACAAACTCCGAAAATGATGGCGGTGTAAGTAAAAAAAATTCTGATGGGAGGAAAGCAAAGGGCAGGCTGCAAAGATTCTTTAGGAAATTTAGGGCAGACTAGCGAAGATAATGAAGGAACTTTTTCAGGATGTCAGCTCAAAAATCGACTCCCCGCCCGTCGGCTCCTCCCCGCAAAATGCTGGCCGTGTAGGTTGTTAGGTTTAAAGAACCATTGAAGGCTAGCAGAGAACATCTTGGAAACGTAGAGCATTTAGCAGAGATTCTTTGGGGGATAATGACGGTTTTGATTTTAGAATGAGCGCCGGAAAACCCACCCCACGACAGGCGGCCCAGATTACGAAATCAATCGCTGCGTAAGTTATTTAGAAAAGCAAGCTAGCGGAGATTCTTTAGGATGAACGCCAGAAAGTCTACTCCCCGAAAACCACCGCATCCTCGAACGCTGGCCGTGTAGGTTTTGTTTTTTAGAGGGCAGACTAGCAGAGAGCTTTGTGGAAAATGCGAAAATTTAGGAGGAGCACCAGGAAGTCGTCGAGGAGGAGAACTATGCCAAACATGAAAGAAGAAGAGGAGGAGGAGGAGGAAGAGGAGGAAGAGGAAGAAGAACGGTAAAACTAGCAGAAATTCTTTGAGGAATCGGAGGGCAGACTAGCAGAGATTTTTTGAGGAATCGGAGGGCAGGGTAGCAGAGATTTTTTGAGGAATCGGAGGGCAGGCTAGCAGAGATTCTTAGAGAAATCGGAGGGCAGGCTAGCAGAGATTCTTTGAGGAATCGGAGGGCAGGCTAGCAGAGATTCTTTGAGGAATCGGGGGGCAGGCTAGCAGAGATTCTTTGAGGAATCGGGGGGCAGGCTAGCAGAGATTCTTTGAGGAATCGGAGGGGGCAGTCTAGCAAAGATACTTTCGGAAAAAAATAGCCCATTTTCAGGCTACCAGCTATTAAACCGACGCCGCAAAAGCCGACTTCAAGCCAGAGTTTTGATAAATTGTAAGTGTTACGTTACGATATGTAATTCTACGAGGCGTTTTTAGGAGTGATGCGGAAAAGGTGAAGACATTAGAGAAAGATATCGTCCGTATCGACACCTCCTTCATCCGTCCCTCAATTGTATTCCGTACCTACGGCACATGCTCAGTCGATCTGCTTGATTCCCACAAAAAAGAGGCCGCCTTCAACTATCTCCTCAAGCGCCACATCCAAATTCAATCTCTTTTCGAATAGGCAACAAGCAAAAAGGTTGTCGCGTCCGGGGTTCGAACCCGGGTCGCTCGCCTGACGGGCCGGCACGTTGGCAATACACCATGACGTTCTTGACTCAATTATTTATATTTTGTTTTTGATTTTACTTTTACTACGAATTCCTATGCACAAAATGTCAAATAATCATTCTGAAAAAGTTTTCCGCCAGCAATTCCTAATCTTTTTTGTCAGCCAAAAATTTTATTTCTTGAATTTTTTGGCTTTTTATTTGACATTCTTGCATAAAATTATGCTTATCATGCTCAAAATGAAGGCACTATTCTATTTTCCAAAAAGCAAAAATTCTTGCCGCGCCCGGGATCGAACCCGGGCGCCGATTTTGGCAGGCGCCACTCTTAGCCACTTGACCATAGCCATTTCCTGCATTTTTCGATTAAAAATAGCATTTAAATGTCGATTCGAGACGCTAAATTCGAATATTTTGTTTGCTAAAAGCTTGCCATCTGCTCAGGTATAATTATCGCAATTTGTTTCCGATGGTGTATTTTGCTTAATTTGAATAAAAAAAATAGCAATTTTGCTTACTATTTTCGTTCTTTTTAATAATTTTTTGTGTACCTGTGGTGGGTGTTGGAGCATTTCGTAGGCCTCATTAGACACCAGCTCCAAAAAGCTCTGAAAATTGGCGGTGCCGGCGTATTTGTCGGCCATCGTGTGGGCGGCACTAGAAAAATGGAATTAAATTTTAATGCTAACAAAGTAATTAAGTTTAATTGAATTGTAGTTTAAATTAAATTAAATTTTTTTATTTAGTTTTTAGTTTAATTTAATTAGTTCAAAAATTTAAATTAATAACGTTTTTCGTGGACTAATCGATGTTTTAAGGCAAAAATCCATTTTTTTTTTGGGAAGGGTTTGGCGAGTTGCTAAAATTCGCTCGCTGAAAATTACCGTAGCAAAAGGCGCTGCTCGGTGTGGCTCATCGGAATCGCGCTCCTCCGCGCTGCCCAAAAACTGAAAAAAACGAGATTTTAACAGGCAATTGAAAACAGAAGGTTCATTTCACCATTTTTTCCAGTATAAAACTCGAGCTTTAAGCTAATTATACGAAGAAACCAAAAAGCAAAAACCCTGTCGCGGCGGGGATTCGAACCCGGACCTTGCGGATGTGAAGCTAGCAGTTTACCAATAGGCGATGAGATATCAGTTTTTGACGGGCACAATTGCCTAAGATGGGGCTATAAATTTTGAGGCAAAAAGCGAAAACCCGGCCGCGGCCGGGGTTCGAACCCGGGCCTTGCGGGTGTATAGCTAGCAGCTTACCAATAGGCCATGATGCCATGATTCAAAAGAAGATGGATAACTAGAAGCAAAAAGCAAAACCCTGGAGGAGTCGAACTCGGGACTTGCGAGTGTAAAGCTGGAGCCTTACCCCTCGGCCACACCCACTCACCGATTAACAATAAAATCAATTTCGCGTCCGCATCGCTCCTCAAGACGTTGGCCCAGGAAATGTTGGAGGTGAACAAGGTCTTTAGCCATCTTTGAGCGCAAATTTTTTGCAAGTCTGAAGGGCGCTACGGGGGGTTACCGTAGCAACGCGTAGTTTGTAGCGCGGGGGAACGGAGTGTGGCGGAAATTTTGTACGGTTTTTAAAGGGCCAGTGAAGGCATGAATGGCGGATTTTTGTTATGGATTTTCTATGGATTTTGTCGTAGCCGCGTCAGGGTTCGATTACGCGATGAAAATCCGAACGTAAGCGTTGCGTGCCGCGGAGCGGAAAAACGCATAGGTAAGCTCTGGCAAAAAACGCATAGACATGCCTTCCCCAGCCCTTTAAAGGGACCGTGAAGGGGAAAAACTGGAAGAGAAATCTTGAGAGTGTCGAAAAATTTAGAATTTTCCGCAAAGTGTTTCTGCGCGCCTGCCCTGTCAACTCGATTTCCCAAAGACTCTGTGCTAGCCTGCCACGGCCCGAAAGCTAAACCCGGCCCTCCCACTTGTCAAAAACCCATCAAAAACCAACTTTTTTGGCCCTGGCAACCCGGGGGGCAACAGGTGGTCCAGTCCTTTCTGCGGTTTCTGTTTTTCCGAAAAAATTCCGCAAAGTACCTCTGCTAGTATGCACTTTTAATGTCAGCAACGAGCATTTTTAGCGTCAATTTTATACATTTTTACCGCTTTTGGGCCATGGCCTAGTGGTTAGTGCTTCTGCCTACCAAGTTAACCCTCGACGGTTCACACCCGGGCGGCGGCAAACTTTTTGCTTTTTGAAAGTTAAGCCAGGCAGGGGAGTAACTATGTATATAGCGCTGTATCGCGACATAATACACCTTTGGCCGAGTGGCTAAGACCCTAGATTGATAAGCAGAGGGTCCCGGGTTCAACCCCCACCCGAACCAAACTTTTTGCTTTTTGCCAAAAAACTTGTAGTCTGATATCTATATCCATTCCCCATCCTCTAATCCCTATTTGTGAGCCGTGGAGCATGAGGGGGCAATCCCCGAAAATTCATCGACTCCCCTAGGAGGGAGGGCCCGATTCTGAATGCATGGATCATTTGTTGGGGTGGGGGACAATGGATATAGAGTCTGAGAGCGGGAGCACCAGATATTCCCCGCACACTACGCGGCGCTCCGTAACTACGTACTCGCGTACTTTGGAGTCTTACGGAATTTTTCTTGCGATTTTTCGAGCTCTAGGTTTTTAGGATGAGAGGCCTGGCAAAGAAGCGTTCTCGGGATTTGATATCTTTGGATACGATCGAGCCGAGCGAAGAAGTGTCGATTCTAGAGGTAGGTGCGATTTTAAAGGGACTTGGAAGGCAATTTTTTTTAATATTTTGGCTTCAACGGCCCTTTAAAATGTTCTTTTAGGGAAAGTCTGAATTTTGTAATTTTGTCTTTATCGCGCCGCTTAAAACCGAATCCAAATCCATAGCGCTGCCCCTTTAAAGGTGTTTTTAAGGGATTAGCGGAGCGGGAATTATAGTTTTCACTTCATCGTACCTTTCAAATCATTTTAAAGGTGCTTGCAAGGCAGTTTTTAGACTGCAACCTCAATTTTCAGGACGTTGGCTTCACTGGTCCTTTAAAACTATTTTATTGTAAGTTTTCAAGCTAAAAAACCTACAAATGGCTGGATAGCAAAGATCCTTAGGGATTTCTCGAGTAAATTTCACCTCTATGGCAAGCGAGCAGAGATTCTTTGCGGAATTGCCCCTAATTTTGGGGGCCCGCAATTTCCGGGGTGTGTTGTGGGTTTTGTGGATTGGACAAGTGTCCCCCCTCCATCCTCCCCTTGATGATACCAACAGCACCACCTGACTCTGTTCTCTCTCTCGTCCTTCCCTCCCTCTCTCTCTCTCTCTCTCTCTCTCTCTCTCTCTCTCCTCTGATACATCTATCAACATGACTGGCCCTCCGCACTGCTTCCACCCCATAGTCGTGCTCAACCTTTTCCGCTAATCACTCCTGAGCTACGAAGATTCCTATCGACACCGTACGTACGGTATTTTCCACCGTACTCTATCGCACCCCAAGGACTCCTATTTACTCCTAGACTACTGGACTTTACACTACACAACTTTCCAATCGTTATTCGGCTAAAATTCCGCTACACTCCTATCGCCACCAATCTATTACGCCATCAAAATGGACCCAAAAATGAGCTCGACGGATCGGAGAGCGAGATTTATGCAACGCCACACTACCCTCACCTCACATACCTCACAAGGTGCACTGAATTTTAATTTCAATTTCAAGATGAATTTATGGATTTTAAAGGGACGTTCAAGTCAGAATCCATTGGAATTTTGACTTCTCAGTACCTTTAAAATATGGATAACGTGGTTAATTCTATGCCTCAGTGATAGGACTATATGTCATTTGGTTTTAATGGAACTTTGAAGTCAGGAAATCCATAGATTTTGACTTCCCGATTCCTTTAAAAGTAAAACGGACGTGCTCTGTTTTTCATTTTTATTTTTTTGGATTTAAAGAAAATAGAAAGTCAAGTTATCCATGAGTTCACCTTAATTCCCGTAATCCATCTACCGTAATGCTGTTGTGTAGAAGACGCGGAGACGTCATCCGGCTCATCTCTATCAGACGATAGCCGTCGTGCTCTCCATTTTCTATGCCCTCCACAGGATGGATATCACCTCAGAGTCCCGTCATTTACACAGATCAACGAGACACGACCACCCATGGAACGACCGCCACATCAACCTGTATGTTAGATAGTTTATCTAGAGAAAAGCCCGAATTCCTGACGAATCTCCCGGGTTGTCTTCAGCTGAGGACGCTGAAATTTCCCTAAATGTCTCTGCTGGGTGCCGTCACTCTCTTGCGCTCTCGCCATATCTCTCTCGCTCCCTCTCTCTCTGTCTCTCTTACTCTGGCTCTCTCACGCTCTCTCCCTCTATCTCTCTCGCTCTCTCGCTCTCGCGCTTTTCGCTCTCTCGCTCTCGCGCTCTCTCGCTCTCGCGCTCTCTCACTCTCGCTCTCTATCTCTCTCTATCTCCCTCACTCTCTCTCGGCCTCTGGCTCGCTTATGCGCACTCTCGCTATCTATGTCTCTCGCCCTCTCTTTCTCTCTCTCTCTCTCTCTCTCTCTCTCTCTCTCTCTCTCTGTCCCTTTCTCTCTCACTCGCACTCCAAGTATCTCTACTTGCCTGCCATCGCAGCTGCTTTCCCCAATGATCTTTGCTAGTTACCCTCCACCCTCTCCCCTTTACCTCATGCTCGAATAGGTTCCGTTATTCTCCTCCTCCTTCTCCTCCTCCTCCTGCTTCTCCTTCATCTTGCCCCTCATTTCACGGTTGACAGGTCGTTCTCATAGAATAATGCCTTCTTCAAGGCCCTGAAAAGGGGGCTGATGGGGCGACTTCCGCCATCTGATGGCTTTTCCTCTCTTCAGTCTCTCCATCCACCACTCTAATATTACTCTCGATTCCATAAAATACTAATTTCTAAAACTACAAACTATAAAAATCAACTACCCACTAAAAATGACCTATAAAATGGTGCACAAATCGTCGGTGGCCGAGAGGAGTCTCTACAAACAGTACCTTGTACGTAGTAAATTTCGTAGCTCATAATAGCGTATTTTTGCGTAGTTTTTAGACTTTTAAAGGGAATGTGAAGCCAAATATAACTGAAACTCCTACGGATTGTGTTAAAATTTTTGACTTCTCGGCCCGTTTAAACCATTTTTACGATAAATGTCGCATTTCTGCTACCTACAGTATCCAGAAAATTTGCATAACCCTGATTAAAGAATCTATGAAGCCGAATTAAATTCGATCTCCTGTGGATTTTAGGCGGAAAGCGGCTTTCCCGTGTCCTTTAATAGAATGCGGCATACGGGAAAACCGGGTTTTTTTCTTCGATTAAAGGACCCACGAAGTCAAACCCCTAAATTTTTCGCTATGGATTTTAGGAAGAGAGCTGTCTTCAAGGTGCCTTTAATCGGTGTTGGGTTTTAGGGGGTATGCTGCCTTCCCGGTGCCTTTAATGGGGGCGGAAAAGCCAGGGTTTTTACACTTAAAACTGCCTTCCCGGTCCCTTTAAACTGGCTACGGTATCCAAAAACCCTAATTTTTTTGTTTTAGGATGTGATCGAGAAGATTCCGATGCGGGCCAGATCGCAGAGTTGGCTGATACGGACACGGCATCTCAACGATAGAAAGGTACGGTTTTTCTGTCGGTTTGGGTACTGGTTCGTTACCGAGGGGGGTTTGCCAATCTCCCCCCCCACCGCTAACGCAACAGAACCCCGTTGGTAGAGAAAGAGAGCCAAATCTATAGCCCTCTATGGCCTTGTCCGGCCCTTTAATGCGTTTTTAACGGGTTTAAAGGACCGCTGAAGTCAAATCCATAGCTTCTATGCACCGTCCAGCGTATTTATGCGGAATTTTTAAGCCTAAAAGTCTCCGAGTTTCCTTAAAAATGAAGTGGCCTCCTCGCTGCTCCCTTACTATGCATATGACCTTTACTAGCTGTCAGTTTATACTACATTTGACTGACTTGGCCCCAAGCACTGGGCCCCAAAATGGGCCCTAAGAAAGAAAGGGCCCAGCAATCGAGTATCCCCAGGGGAGTTAAGGTATCTGAGAGAGAGAGAGAGAGGTAGAGATAGAGAGCGAGAGAGAGAGCGTGAGAGAGAGATACTGACACCTCAACGCAGCCCTGCATCCCCTTGGGACGCATTAACGAAAGCTGCCCTCCTGGAAGCTCGGCCTCCCCAAAATGGCCCCCTTTCCGAATGTTGCTCTCTTTTTTCGGGCCCTCATCCTCGATCATCGGCCCCTCAACGGCCCCCCCCGAATCTGAGGTGCTCTTTCGGGCTCTAAATTTTTGATGTTATTATATCGATATTTTTGTGTGTTTTTTGCCTTCAATGGTCCTTTAAAAGATATTTTTTTACTGTTTTTACCCATATTTCGGGTTTAGTTTATGTTGGGCAGGCTAGCAGAGATTCTTTGGGAAACTTCTGAGTATTGGTTTACTAGTGGATAAGGCAGGCTAGCAGAGAACATTTCGGATGCGGTTTTTGCCTTCAATGGCCCTTTAAAATCTATTTGAATAATTTTCTAGACTTAATTCCTATTAAATTGTATTAAAGAAAAGCCCCCCCGCTAATGCAAAAGTACCAATTTGCGAAATATCCGATGAATTTGTCGAAAAAATTGACTTTTGGTAAGCTAGCAGAGACCACTGAGAAAATTTGCTTCATAGCAGGGATCATTAAGGAAACCGTCTATTAATGTTAGGCCATTTAGGGAATATCAACTTATTATGTAAATTTTCATTATTATCAATTTTTCGTATTTTTCTTGTATTTCTTCCTCCACAGGCCATTAATGCATCACCACCGTTTCTCGCACGGCCAAATCGGCGCCCCAATCGGTGACGCCATCAATATCGAGCCGGCCATTCCGCAACTTTCCACCCAACACCCATCAACACCAATACCACCCCAGATACATCATTTGCATATTGGACATGGGCATCCGGTTGGGAGTGACGAGGCGAATAGAGCATCACAAATGTGGAGGAGGTACGGTAACGAATACAGTAGCTCATTTTAAATGGACTGGGAAGTCAAAGGGTACGGTGTCTCGGCTTTATCCCGATAAATCTCCGCTTCTATCCACTATACAGGCTGTCGAATGCAAATCGAGACCCGGCCGAGCAGTCGTCTCTTCGACCATCACTTTATACCGTATCCATGGCGGCTACGCGACGCTCCAGCTTCCGAGGTACTGTAGCGAGGCGGAAAGTCACGGAAACGAGCGAGACTTAGGGATGGCTTAGTTAGAATTTACAATACTTTAATAAACTTGACCTCTCCCGCGCTCTCTCTCTCTCTTACTCTCTCTTACTATCTCTCTCTCTCTCCCTTCCCTCGCTTGCTCACTCTCCTTATCTCTCAGTATCTCTCGCTCGCTATCTCTCTCCCTCCTACTCTTTCTCTCTCACTCCCTCTCTGCGTACTGTAGCTTTTCGTACATAAAATCCCAACAAGTCTCAACTTTTCTAAAACACACCCAATCTACCGTACCACCCTTCTCCAGCGGCCGGTGAATTCCGCGAAACCCTCACGATGTCCACCCTTTCGCCAATGTCTCCAGAAGATTCTTCCTCATCTCAAGCTCACGTTTCATTCTCAACCTCATCCTCCGCCCAGAGTCGTGTCTCCAATCCTCTTGCCTTGAGGTATGTAGCTACGCTGTCATTTGTTGTCTAACGTAGTCCATTGTAGCTCAGAATTCCTGATCCGGCCGGTCATCAAATCCGCGGCGCTACGCAGAAAATACGAGTCAAATCGAACATATTATCGCCAGGGAGGGGAGGGATGGTTTTGGAAGACGAAGACTGAGGTGCTGTAGTTTGTACCGTAACGTACTCTGACTGCGTGACTGTACGTTGTATGCTATCGTACTCTACGCTATGCTGCTGTAAATTCCATTATGATCGTACTGGCGTGATCAATACGACATTTTGTCGACTGCCAACGACTACGAGACTGTACTATGGGCTCAAGACCACGGTAAGCGTATTGTATCCTGCTCTATGCTGAGATGCGGTAATCATAACGAACTTAACTGTACGACGGCGTACTGTAACGCACGTTATCCGTATCGCCAGTGCCATACTGTACTCTGAACTCATTTGCGCAATCTACCGTACCGCCGCTACGCGAGTGTACTCTGGCCAGTACCGTATCGTCTCGTACTGGACGATCCTAAGGACGCCATCGGAGCGTGACGGAATTTCATCTCGTATCCTATTATTTCCGACGACGCTACCATACTATTGCCATGCTGGAATCGAATTTCATCGCGTAATTGAACGCTAAAGATGTTCGCGTTGGTACTATTAACGTCATGCTACTTTTTGTGATTTTGGAGGCGTAGTGTATAAATTGTACGGTAATGTATCGTTCACGTCTCATTAATGAGTAAATGTGTATGTCAGTTTGTCTACCATTAATATGTGGGTATCGATTTAAGTTTAATTCATTTTCAGGAGCCACCCCCTCTAATATCGCATTGTATGCTGGCCTTCTCGGCCATCCTCTTCATCCTCACATTTCCATGGTGTCTCTTCTTTTGCGTCAAGGTCGCCAAGTCGGTTTTGATATTTTTTTGGATTTTTGCCGAATGGGCAGGCTAGCAGAGTTCTTCGATGAATTTATCAATAACGGACTAGGCAGGCTAGCAGCAATTCTTGAGGAACTAGCGCGCACAGGAAAACTAGCAGAGACCATTTGGGATGAGCGGAGACTAGTAGAGAGAATTTGTGTATTTTCGGTTCTGGGGCAAGCGAGCAGTGATCATTTACGAAAATTGGTCAACTAAAGGTGGCCTGGGCATCTAGCAGATGCAATTTACGTCGTTGAGCACATTGCCGGAAATATTGGGGAAATTTTGGTAGAATCAAGACTCGGCAAGCTAGCAAACACCATTTGCCAATTCCTCCCCTTTCCAGAGAATACCAACGGGTTGTCGTCTTCCGCCTCGGTCGTCTTATTCACGGCGGTACCCGGGGCCCCGGTCTATTTTTCGTCTTTCCCTGTATCGACACATGCAAAGTGGTAAGTACGGTGGAAGACAATCGATTACGACATGATAATGAGGGCATGCTGGCAGGGATTCTTGAGGAATCAAAAATTTCAGGTCGATCTTCGAGTGCTTTCATTTGATGTGCCAGCCCAAGAAATTCTATCCCGTGACTCTGTTACCGTATCCGTCGAGGCGGTTATATATTTTAGGGTTGGTTTTATGGAGTTCTCTCTCACTTTCTGTTATTTCTCTCTCTGTCTCTCTCTCTCTCTGTGTCTCTCTCGCCCTCGCTTTTTCTGACTTCTTTTCTCATTGTTTGGATAGAAAGACAGCATCGAGAGGGATAGAGAGAGGGAGAGAGAGAGAGATAGAGATAGAGTGAGATAGTAGCGGGTGGGGAGAGAGAGGCCGAAAGAGCGAGAGTATTTTTACCTTCCAGGACCCTTTAAAGGACCGCCGAACCCAAAAATCAACCACAGATTCGTTTTTCAGGTATCTAACCCCGTAATATCCGTGACAAACGTAAACGATGCCCAATTCTCGACTCGTCTCCTCGCCCAAACGACGTTGAGAAATGTGTTAGGAACGAAGACCCTCTCTGAAATGTTATCTGAACGCGACTCCATTGCTAGTGTGAGTTTATAGGTGTGGCGACAGTTCGAATTCATAAAATATATCTTGAAAATTCTTTTTGCTCTCGTGGCCTATTGGTTCGCGCCTGCGCCTATCATTCCAGGGGTAGAGGGTTCGAATCCCGGGCGGTGTGAAATTTTTTGCCTTTTGGGCACAGCATTAGGTATCGATTTCCGAAACTTCTGGGAAATTGCCAAAGATTTAAATTGGGCTTAATGGTCCTTTGAGGCCGCTTAAATTGTAAAAATACAGATATTTAAGTGTATTTCAAGTTTTACGCAATTTATGATAATTTCAGATTACCGAAAAAGTGCTGGATGAGGGCACAGATCCGTGGGGTGTCAAGGTATGTCAGCATTTTGGTGTTGTTGGTCCTATTTTGGTCCTACTGGCTAGATTTTTGCTTCTTTTTCCGCTTAGGATCTCGCTACATAGTTGCGTCAGTATTTCTTTTTCTTTTTCAGGTAGAGCGTGTCGAGATCAAGGATATCCGATTACCCCACATGCTAATGAAGAGTATGGCTGCCGAGGCTGAGGTTTCTTTCTTTTTTCGAGTTGCACTTTAAGCGCAGTAAAAAAATAGAAGAAAGTACTGGAAATACAAGCAAATTTAACGTTTAAAGTCGAAATTATATTTTAATCCATATTTTAAAGGAACCGGGAAGCCAAAAATATGCCTAAAGAATTATCCGAAAATCTTAAAAATTCTCATGATCTCTGCTAGCCGGCGCTCCGAAATCTCAAAGAATCTCCGCTAGCCTGCTCTCCGATTCCTCAAAGAATCTCTGCTAGACTGCCCTCCGATTCCTCAAAGAATCTCTGCTAGCCTGCCCTCCGAGTTCCTCAAAGAATCTCTGCTAGCCTGCCCGTCCGATTCCTCAAAGAATCTCTGCTAGCCTGCCCTCCGATTCCTCAAAGAATCTCTGCTAGCCTGTCCTCCAATTCCCCAAAAAATCTCTGCTAGCCTGCCCTCCGATTCCTCAAAGAATCTCTGCTAGCCTGCCCCAATTTTCCGATTTCAGGCTGCACGCGACGCGCGGGCTAGGGTGATAGCCGCAGACGGAGAGAGGGACGCTAGCCGGTAAGCTACAAACCGCAGCTAAAAATACATAAATTATATTTTACTTAAATAAATAAAAAAAAAAAAAAATTAAAAAATTCTATTTCCAGAAACCTAAAGCACGCAGCTGATACGATCTGCAGTAATAAGGTTGCCATGCAGTTGCGATATCTACAGGTGGGTCAAATTTTGAAAGTCCATTTTAAAGGGACAGTGACAGCAATTTCTCCACCTAACCTAACCCCATTTAGACACTAAACCGAGTGGCCGCTCAGCGAAACAACACCGTAGTGCTGCCATTCCCTCTCGAGGTGGCCAGGCACTTTTTGAAGAAAGTTGGGCATAAAATGGCCTGATGGAGGGCGAGGGAGTGAGGGAGAGGGAGAGACACTGAGAAGCAGAGAAATTATGCAATCTTGAATAATAAATATTTTAATGATTTTTGAACTCGTGAACATTGGCATTGAATAAAAATATTACTTTCGGCTCTTGGAAAGCTTGGATGAGAGAAAGAGAGAGAGAGAGAGAGAGAGAGAGAGAGAGAGAGAGAGAGAGGAGAGGAGAGGAGAGTAGAGGAGAGGGATAGAGAGAGCGACTGAGAGAGAGAGTGAGAGAGAGTCTGAACGAGAAAAAGAGAGATCGAAGGCGAGATAGTCGGAGTGTGCGAGGGAGAGCGAGAGAGAGCGAGAGGGAGAGAGAGAGCGAGAGAGGGAGTGATAAAGAGACACGAATTTTAGAGTCCAGTTCTATGTAACCAATTATTTGTCAAGTGTTGTCCCGTTTTTGGGGTGGGAGTGAGAGTGAGAAAGAGTGAGAGAGAGAGAGAGAGTGAGAGAGAGAAAAACCGGCAAACAAGTAGCCACTCCCCTTCCACTGCCGAAAAATGATTCACATGCCCGGGCGCGAACTGTACATATCGATTACTGTACGACTCACGGCGCGTAGTTTTGGAATTTTATTGCCTAAGGATTTTCCAAATTTTTAACAAAGCAAGGAAAAATCAAAACTCTGGCCTAGACTAAGATCGAACCCGGGGCATTTTCCTATGCTTAATCCAGTTTTTTGCTTTTTAGGCAAAACGAAAAATTTTTGCCGTATTGAGGCTAAACCCTCGCGAAAAAATTAGATTTTTGGCGATTTCGGTCGATGATTATCCTTAGCTAATTGGAAAAGTTCTCGCTTTTGGTCTGCAAGATCCGGGTTCGATCCCCGGACCGTGCAAAGTTTTTTGCTTTTTGGCGAGTCGTTAGAAAAAACCTTTATCTTCAGCGTCTATATTTTTTATTCCACAAAGCGTTCGAATTCATCCAGAAATGACTCTCTAAGGCTCGTGAAACCCCCGCAAAGCGCCGCTCCCTAAACCGTGCCCCCGGGCATCAAGACCGGCGAGAGAGTGGGAGAGGGGTGGAGGGGCTAGAGAAAGGGAGAGACAGCAGGAGAGAGAGAGAAAAAGAGAGAAAGGCTTATCGATCAGCAGAGGCCCTCCCCCTCCCTTTTCTCTTTCTCTTCCCTTTCTGCTCGTTCTCATTATCGAGTCTCATCCCAAAACCTCCTCCATTCCACTCAGCTTTTTCCGATACGCTACTCATTACACCGGGCTTTATCCATTTCACAAGGTTAATTGATTAAAAAGGATAGATTAAAAGTTATACGCATTTAATAGGCTACAAATCGGGTAAAATTGTATTCTCTGCCTAATTTTTGCTAAACTCATATTTTCACTCGTCTTTATATAATTAATGCGAAAGTATACTATGAAAGTCGCGCCCATTTAATAAGTTTTTAAATTAGGTTAATCTTTTCATTCGGGGTTTATCGATTTCCTACCATTAATGCGTCAAAAAGTATACTTTAAAAATTGTAAACGTTTTATTACGCGTCAAAAAATACCTAAGATGGAGATTTCAGGCTAGCACTAGCTAAAAAGAGCATCAATTGTGTATTACCGGCTTTTCCCGATACGTTACTCCTTACACTCGGTTCTATCGAATTCCTATCATTAATGCGTCAAATACGATGTTTTAAAAAAATGCTAATTAGATGGCTTAATAAAATAGTCCAAGCTCTCCATTTCTAGTATATCATTAATGTACGGAAAAGGATCCATTAAAAGTTTTAAACATTTAATAGGTTTCTAGGTATCATAAAGTTGTTTTTTGCTGAAAACTTGATTTCGAATGTTAATATTAAAGTTATGCTATTTCCTATAAAATTTGTGAAAAATTTGATAATTTAATGTAAAGCTAGTATCGTCGACAATTCTACGTTTTAAATAGTCGAAAAACTCTTTTTCTGGTTATAAATTTAATTCCGAAACTTAATATGTAAATTGCGCGGTTTCTATGTTTTCCATGCTTTTTTTCATTTAATAACGTAGCTTACTGCTATATAACGCGACTATCGATTCCAGAATCCGTGTGTACTCGCCGAACTCGTCGGGGGCCGTCTGTTGTTTCGGGCAGAAGGGAGGGCCATGATGACAGAGCCAATTATTGGAGTCGATGATACCCCTTCGGCTAATATTATTGGAACGACTACGCGACAATCCCATCCACAGACATCATCTTCACCTACCGTTATGACTAATACGTCATCATCTACACCTGATCCGATGCAGAATATGCAACAACAGGGTGAGATTCTTTAGGAATCGGAAAGCAGGCTAGCAGAGATTTTTTGAGGAATCGGAGGGCAGGCTAGCAGAGATTCTTTGAGGAATCGGAGGGCAGGCTAGCAGAGATTCCTTTGAGGAATTCGGAGGGCAGGCTAGCAGAGATTCTTTGAGGAATTCGGAGGGCAGGCTAGCAGAGATTCTTTGAGGAATTCGGAGGGCAGGCTAGCAGAGATTCTTTGAGGAATCGGAGGGCAGGCTAGCAGAGATTCTTTGAGGAATCGGAGGGCAGGCTAGCAGAGATTCTTTGAGGAATTCGGAGGGCAGGCTAGCAGAGATTCTTTAGTAATGTGTACATCTCAAAAAAATCATTTTTCCAGCCATGCCATTCGCGATGCCGCCATTCTACGGCAATCCCTTCATGTCTCCATTTATGCCCCAGGGAGCTCCAGAAGGCCAAGCACCGGCAATGCCCCCAAATTTTGGTGAGTTCCTGGCTTCCTTGGGCCTTTAAAATCCAATTTTTAGGCCCACAACCGCCGATGGCAGGTAATAATGGGCAGATGGGGTTCTTTGTGACGCCGGCGCAATATCAGGAGATGATGCAGCAGTATTTTCAGGTAACTATCTCTCTCTCTCTCTCTCTCTCTCTCTCTCTCTGTCTCTCTCTCTCTCTTAATCACTTATAGTACCTCTCAGATACGTTTCTGGCCTTGAAAAAAGCTTTTAAAAATTGGCCGAACCCCGAAAAATCGCTAAACATCCGCTCCGGATTCGAACCCGCACCCTCTGCCTGGAAATCTGGCGATTTACCAATGGACGATCTATCCTTTTCAGCAAATGATGGCTTCAGCCGCCTTCAACATGCCATTCCCCATGCAGCAACAATTTGCAAGACCGGAGAGTCAGGTAGGAATTTTGGGCTTTTATAGGGGTGGTGACAGGGGTAGGCTAGCAGAGATTCTTTGCGGATTCGGAGGGCAGGTTAGCAGACCCCTTTTAGGAAAACATAACTTTAAAGAATTTTGAAGGCAAGAATTACGCCGTTTCCTTCCAGGCGAGCTCCATCAAAGCCGACGAATCGTTGGGAGCAGCTATTGGCCAGCTTGACGTCAGTTTCTTTCCTTGCAATTTGCACAAAATGCTTTTCTTCAGATCTCCGACCGGAACTTGAGTCCGAAACCGACGAAAGATGAACTGATCACCTGCAATGGTAGTATGTCGAACAAGCGTTCTTTTGCCATTTTTGTGGATTTTCTTCACGAGCTTTTGATATTTGACCTGCGATTCCTCAAAGAATCTCTGCTAGCCTGCCCTTCTATATTCTTCAAAGATCTCTGCTAGCCTGCCCTCCGTTTCCTCAAAGAATCTCTGCTAGCCGGCCTTAGACTTTGATTTGAAAGGGTTCCGTCAACCTGTCAAAAATCCTTCCCGCAACGCTACTGATAACACCCAAAAACTGCCGAAGCTGTCACTCATTTTTAATGAGGGCTTTTGCCCCTCCTGGATTCTTCGAAGACCATTTAAAAGACGTAGCGGGGCCCTGGGATTTCGATGAATTTGAAATCGACGGAGTGGAGCCCTGGGAGTTTTTCGGGGATTTTCTTTGGGGTCCCGAGAGGAATTTCCACATCAGTCAAGGGCCCCTTAAACGGGGGGGCGCATTGCGAAAAAGGCAGGGCTCTAAAAGGTACGTATTTATCGAGCGGGCAGGCTAGCACAGATTTTTGAGGAAATGGTGGGCATCTAGCCGAGATAATTTCGGGACTCTTTCTCTCGTATATCTCCTGTATTTTGTTTGCCCGAGTGGGTCTAGACTCTCTAGAGTTGCCTGAGGGCATACACACACGCTCCGAGATTCAATGGGGGAGGTTCCAAACATACGGGGGGACCAAAAGGCAAAAAGATTGGTGGGGGGAGGAATCGAACTCTCGAGGGTTGGATTGGTAGGCGCCGTAGTTACCAATAGGCTACGAGCATCACCCGATCAGCAGAGTGAGGGAGTCTCAAAAATGTTCGGACCTAACCTAGGACCAGCCTGAAAGCGCTATTTAAATCATATTTCGTTTTAAAGGGCCATAGAAGCCCAGATTCGATGGAGTTCCCTGATCTTGACATGTTGCCATGTATGTCAACATTGGAGAACCCATGGTTAGATGAGTTTTCAAGGGGAACATCTGGACACTCTCTCGCTCTCCCCTTCCTCTCTTTCTCTCTCTCTCTCTCTCTCTCTCTCTCTCTCTCTCTCTCTCTCTCTCGCCTCGATACCCCCAATTTTGGGGGGTAGGGGGAGAGACAGCTGGCCGGTCGAGTGTCTAAAAGTGGTGGTGATGAAACGTGAGGGGGGGGGCTTTTGACTCAGCAAAACGTCTATAGGAGTTGTGTGGAAATTTCGGGAGATGGGACAATTTTAAAGGGGTCGGGAAGGATGCAATTTACCTAGAAAAGTGTCTTTTCTAGGGAATTTTCTAGAGATAAAGAGAGACAGAGAAGAGAGGGAGACTGAGAGAGAGTGAGAGAGAGAGAGAGAGAAGAGAGGGAGACTGAGAGAGAGTGAGAGAGAGAGAGAGAGAGAAACGTCTAAAACCCTATTTTCCAGGCGAATCCTCCTCCGAAACTCGAGCATCAACATCGAACAAAGAAAATACCCCAAATGACGATACCGAATCGGTGGCTTCGTCGAAAAGCGCTGAAAATTCCTCTTCGGAAGCGGCCAGTAAGTTTTTATCTGATTTCTATTAATTTTATTAGTTTAATTTATTAGTACTAATTGGTTATTTTTTAATTTGCTAGAGTTATTTGGGCTTTTTTTCAACATATTCTATCGATTTAGATGGCCCCCGGAAGTCCTCCACCGAAACTGGCCCCCAACCCGGCGACAAGGAAAGCCGCACAGCCTCCCTCATCCAAAAACAAATGTCCGAAATCGAGAAGGAAATCACCCGGCGGACACAGAATAAGAATATCAAACAGGTATATATCAAAAATATATAATCGAAAATTTCCGAAAATTCAAAATTTCAGTTTAGGTTTTTGACCACATTTTCTATTTTGAAGGTAATTCATGCCGAAATATAAGCTACAAATGTTTTATTCTATAGAGAGCTCCTTCTGGGTTAAACTGGTCAAAGCGCAAAAAGTCTAGCCGCGGGCGGGGGTCGAACCCGGGTGCTGTGGGCCAAAAGTGAGAGCTTTACCAATGCACCAGATTGGGTTTTGGATTTTTCAATGGTTTTGGGTTCGATAGCTTAAGCTTAGGCTGAGCTCAAGCTTAGATTTCGATTTGAGCCGATAAGCCAGCTTTAATTCCCTAAAATCCGCCCCAAATACCGTATCCGCGCCCAGATGGACGACGCCGAACTGGCCGAGCTGATGGGCCATCTGCCTGCCGCTGTAGCCCAGGTCCCGAAGCGCATCCCCCCATATACATATACTGTAGTACTGTAGTACGGTGCTGTACGGTAGCACTGTAATGTACTGTAGCGTCGCGTACTATATACTATCAGAAGTGCATCCACCACGCTAAAATGCATCCCCTATATCGTGTTGTCCCGTGTTGTTTGTATCGTTAGTTTGTAGTCTTTCGGAAAACTTAAAAAATCAGCTAGCATTTCCTAAAGAAACTTTGCTATCTGGCTTCTTTTGAAATGCCGAAATATCGACGTAAAAATGCTGAAAATCTCCAAATCTCGAAAATGGCGAATTCGCAAAGCCACAATCACGAAAATGTCGAAAATTTTAAAATCTGAATGTTGGAATGTCAAAATATTTTTTCTAACGATCTCCGCTAGCCTGCCTCAACTTTCGATGCTTTGTTTCGTTTCCTTCAATTCTTCGTCGTCAGTTCCATGTCGTAATAGCTTGGTGAATGTCAATAGGTGTATTCGTACGCTTCGTAACCCTTTTTTTTCAGGCTGCCCTCCCCTTCAGTTCCGGCCAACCGGAACAAACGGAACAACCCGGAAAACAGACGCTCAACCAGCTGCGATCTTCCTTTAATCTGCCACCGGAAGGGGCCGGACTTCCGCCCAATTCCCTGCAACAACAGCTACAAAATACGGCGGAACCCGACTTTTTCCATCAGGTAGGTAGCAGAAATTCTTTGTGGAAATGGAGGGAGGGCTAGCAGAGAAGCTTTGAGGAATCAGAGGGCAGGCTAGCAGAGATTCTTTGAGGAATCAGAGGGCAGGCTAGCAGAGATTCTTTGAGGAATCTATAGTACCCTTTTCCAGGCGGGAAGCAATCCCTTCGCCCAGCCAGCCCCTTTTATCCCTGCCCAACCAAATCTACCGTATGCCGTCGCCAGCATTCCACCATTCGCCCAGGTACGGTATTTTAAAGGGACGGTGACAGATCGAGGAATTATGCTAATTTTTGGTTTCTAGCCTCCAATGGCTGCCCCGATCCCTCAACAATCTCAAAATGGTCATCATCCGGCTGTTGTTGAGGTGAGCGAGGTTTTTCGAGTATTTTAAAGGGCCATTGAAGGCAAAGATACGATAGATTTCCCGCGACAGATCGGAGAAATCGAAATCCATGGTAAATTCTAATTTATAGCCTTTTTTAGACGCCTTCCATTGCCAGTATCGCCCAGGCGAGGTTGAGCATGGGACAACCGGGTGGATTGATCGAACCTCCGCCCCAGGCCGCGAATCCCGTCAAGAAAAGGGTACGGTAGCTTGGTTAGACTACAAACTACAAACTCTGCAAAACCTCTAAAAATGACGTATTTTTCTTTAAGACCTCGCACTCCTCGGAAAATGGAGGCCCAGAAGGCGATGAGCCCGTTTGGGTGATGAGGGATAGCTATTTGAGACGACTGCAAAGAGATCAAGAACAAACTACAACAACAACACCATCTACAGTATCTGGGGAATGGCCAAATGAGCATCATCAACAATCACCCACAAATGAGCAAGGACCGGAGAGGGATGAACAGGAAACTGATAGGTATCTCTCACTCTCTCTCTCATCATCTATCACTCTCTCTCTCACTCTCTCCCTCTCTCTCTCTCTCACTCTCTCTCTCTAAGCTAAATATTTTTGCCTTCAAAAGCCCGTTAAACCCACTTTTTTTCCAGACTACTCGTCGAAAAGGACGTCTCACCCGCCAAAGACCGACGAGCCTCCCATAAATCGTCGAAAGAAAGTGAGTACCACTCCTCACCCTTGCAACTTGCACTTTTTGTGGATAGGCGCCTTGCGTAGCCTTGCGTAGCGTAGCGTTGCGTTCCGTGGCTTTGCGTAGCGTTGCGTAGTGCCTCGTAGCGATCCGTCGCGTCACGTACGTAGAATAACGTAGCGTAGTGTACCGTTGCGTCACGGTGCGTCGGGTTTCGGAGCATCGTAGCGTAACGTATCTTACGGCTGCGTTCCGTTACGTTGCGTAGCGTAACTTGTCGTAGCGTAGCGTAGCGCAACGTACCGTATTGCACAGTACTTTTCCCATATCTTCCGTTCCCTGTCCCTTTCATGCAACATTTATCCAATCACTTCATCCCCGCTGTGGCACACCCTTCCCCCCGGTTTTGCACAAAATTTCCCGGTGAGTACTACGGTATGGCCCTGATGAGAGAGATGCTAACCTACGGTGAAGAGGAGGACGAACGTTGTAGTTTGTAGTCTGTGGCTTGTAGTTTGTACAAATTTGTAGTCTATAATTCATTTTTGTCCAAAATTGTATTCGCAGGCCTGGTTTGCACTTTGTAGTCTATCGAATCGGTTTGTAGTCGAGACTCTAGGGTGTGTAGGCTCAATTTTTTGTTTTCGGGAATTATTTGTAGTTTGGAGACATCAATTCTTTTAGTATGTAGGATTGTTTTGTAGTCTGTAGCCGCCAGATCCTGGGTTTACCTGGAGCCAACCAACTACAAGCTCCCGGCTACAAACTACGACTTCCCCCCCACCTTCAATGGTCCTTTAAAGGCATGCCAAGGCTGTCCAAGAAATAATTATAATTGCATGGCTAACTGTGTAGGTTAGGCTTAGGCTTAGGCTTAGGCTTAGGCTTAGGCTTAGGCTTAGGCTTAGGCTTAGGCTTAGGCTTAGGCTTAGGCTTAGGCTTAGGCTTAGGCTTAGGCTTAGGCTTAGGCTTAGGCTTAGGCTTAGGCTTAGGCTTGGCTTAGGCTTGGCTTAGGCTTAGGACTAGGTTTAGGCTTAGGTCTAGGTTTAGGCTTAGGCTTGGCTTGGCTTAGGCTTAGGACTAGGCTTGGCTTATGCTTTGGCTCAGACATTGTCCAGAAAATCGCTTTTTTTCCTAAAATGCATGTTTTCTTGAGTGTAAAGTGCACTACCGCGTACACTCCCATTAATGCGTGATGGCATCCGTTAATATCGCCTTGTATTCCATTATATTGGATGTAATTCCAGCCCTTGTACACGAGCCAGCAGTTCTGATCGAGGGCGTCCTCTTCCGTGCTCGATACCTTGGATCGACACAGCTGGTGTGTGAGGGGAGATCGACAAAGACGGCGCGAATGGCACAGGCGCAGGAGGCCGTCGCTAGGGTCAAGGTACGGTAGTTGGGGCAAAATATAGAAAAATGTGGTTTTTTTGAAAGTGCTTGCCAAAAGCAAAAATTTGCCGTTTGCGGGATTCGAACCCGGACCGAATTCCTGAGAAACGAGAACGTCACCAATACACCACACATGTAGAAAATCGTTTTCTGAATGTTCTGGCCAAAAAGCAAAAAGCTGTCACACGCTGGGCTCGAACCCGGGCCTTTTCCCGGAAAGCAAAAACTCTACCAATACACCAAAAGTATTTTGGTCACTAGAAAGTCAGTTTTTTTGGTCTTTTTGAGGCTGCGTCGACTTTAGGCTCGCAAACACCATTTGCGAAGCCTTTCCGAAGTCCACGTCCAAAAGCAAAACTTTTTGCATGGACGGGACTCGAACCTGGTCCCTATTTCTGGCAAGCAAGAATGTTACCAATACACCAAAAGCCACTCGGCCGTGAAACGTCAAATTTTCCGTTTTTTTTCGGAATTTCTGCCTTTTTAAAGCAGCGAGCTAACAGAGACCACTTAAAAATCCCTACCCTCCCATGAATGCCGATTCCAGGCACCAGAAGGAGAACTCCAGCCCTCCACCGACATTGACCTCTTCATCTCCACCGAGAAGATCATGGTCCTCAACACTGATCTACAGGTAGGCCACGCCCCTTTTTGTGCTTTTTAAAGGGATAGTGACATCAAAACCCTAACCAATTCCGTTATGAAAATACCGCAAAACCCTGCTTTTTTAGCGGATATCGGACACGGACGTGCGGCAGGTGAGCGCGGTGTGCTGTGCCCAATAATAACGATTCATTTCACCTATTTTTTAACCAATATTAGAGTGGCGCTTATTCAAATCAAATCGGCTTCAAATTGATTTGATTTGAATTGGCAAATTTGAGTGCTAAAAAATCAACTTCAAATCAAATCGATTTGATTTGAATTAGGGGCTGGCCAACTCAAATCAAATCGATTTGATTTGGGATTTGAACAACAGGCTTATCTGGGATGCAAATTGAAAATCGCCAGTTCGGAGGTTTTTGGTCTCGCCGTTTCTGCACATTTAGGTTCCTTTACAATAATTCATGGGTGTTTCGATGACCTTTATATAAAATTGAGCCAGACGGTTTTATTTGTCAAATTTAGCCTGCGCTATGGATTTTCTTTGCAAAAGCTAAAGCGTAAAAATAATAGGAAATGTATAAGGAATCGTTACTTGGGACGCTGGAACAATGCTAAGAGATTATAGGGAAAAGAGCGGTGCACAAATTACGAGTTGCGTTGGGTTCATTTCGATGAGATCTTATTCAAATTATTCAAATCGGCTGGATTTGATTTGAACTGGTGGAACTCAAATCAAATCGATTTGATTTGATTTGATCGGCTCCAATTCAAATCAAATCGGCTTGATTTGAATAATTTGAATCTTATTCAAATCTGATTTGAATAAGCGCCACTCTAACCAATATCAGTTTTCGAGTGCCGTGTGGAGTTTGTAGTTGCACTTACCGGACCCTAAACTACAGAATTTAACCCCCGATTTTCCTACCAAATTCTTGATTCTATTGGCTTAAAATTGCACCCGTTTGAAGCAAAAAAACTGCGGTAACTAAGGTCGGTTTTAGGATATTCTGATGGATCACGCGCTGCGAACAATCTCCTACATCGCCGATATCGGTGACTTGGTGGTGTTGATGGCGAGGAGGATGGCATCATCGGGGAGTGATGATGCTTGTAATAGGTAAGGGAGGATTACTGTCTTAACAAGACCTGCAAAACGTAAAAAATCAGTCGGCGGGAGAGTGAGAGAGGGAGAGAGAGCGATAGAGCAGGGAGAGAGCTGTCGAGAGAAGCGAGAGAGAGCGAGAGAAAGAGAGAGACACTCTTCTTTTCAGAAGTGATGGCGTCCGAAAAAGCGCCCGCGTCATCTGCCACGTCTTCGAGTCAGAAGAGGCGGCATTCATCGCTCAGAGCATCGGACAGGCATTCCAGGTATGGATTACAACCTTCAATGGCCCTTTAAAATCCCGAATAATCGCTGCTAGCCTGCCCTCCGATTCCTCAAAGAATCTCTGCTAGCCTGCCAACAATTTCCCCCCTTTTCCAGGTAGCCTACGTCGAATTCCTCCGCGCCAACGGCATCGACGACCCCTCCTACCTCCGACAAATCGACTATCAAGAAGTGTTGAACTCGCAGGAGCTGCTGGGGGAGGAGCTGGAGATGTTCTCGAGGAAAGAAACACAAAAGGTAGGCAAGCAAGGATTATTTGAGAATTCAAAATTGTAGGACGTCGTCATCCCGAAAAAACCAGGAGAGGCATTGGGAGTTGTCGTGGTGGAATCTGGATGGGGAAGCATGCTGCCTACTGTGGTATTGGCACATATGGCACCAACTGGACCGGCAGCTAGGTGAGTAGCAAGTATTATTGGGGAATTTGAGGCGAGACTAGCAGAGATTTTTTTGAGGACTAGGAGGGCAGGCTAGCAGAGATTCTTTGAGGAATCGGAGGGCAGGCTAGCAGAGATTCTTTGAGGAATCGGAGGGCAGGCTAGCAGAGATTCTTTGAGGAATCGGAGGGCAGGCTAGCAGAGATTCTTTGAGGAATCGGAGGGCAGGCTAGCAGGGATTCTTTGAGGAAACCAAGAAAATCCATTCCCTGTAATTTAGATCTAACCAACTGAACGTCGGCGATCAAATCATCAACATCAACGGCATCTCATTAGTGGGTCTCCCCCTATCGGCAGCCCAAAAGAATATACAGGTCAGAACACCTGCTGGATTACGGTAATTGTCCCAATTTTTAGAACGCAAAAACAGCAACCGCCGTCCGATTGACAGTCGTGAGCACACCGCCCGTTGTCGAGGTACTGTCCCCAAACCCTGTCGTAATCGATTATCCCTCTCAGGTTCGAATCCGAAGACCGGATACAAAGTACCAACTCGGCTTCTCGGTCCAGAATGGTGTCATCTGTTCGTTGTTGCGTGGCGGAATCGCTGAGAGGGGAGGCATTCGGGTCGGACATCGCATTATTGAGGTACGGTATTATTGGGGAAATTTTTAGAAGAAATTTGTAAAAATGCAATCTTCAAAGTAGCATAACTTTTAAAGGAACGCATTTTGGTGTTTTTAATTTTTGAAAATGTTCAAACGGTCGAAAATTTGCTCAAAAACGGCCATTTTCTGCGAAAAATTTAGACATTTTGTATTTTTTAATTTGAGGTTTGGGAATAGTAAAAAACATCATCTATTTTTATTTAAAAAAATGGTTCTTCTGAAAAAAATTTGTCGCCCCCCGATAATGCGAAAGAGCCTTAAATTAACTTACCCATTCCAGATCAATCACCATTCCGTCGTTGCCGTGGCGCACGATCGAATCGTCAACATGCTGGCAACGGCTGTCGGCGAGATTCAGATGAAAACCATGCCGACGAGCATGTTCCGCCTCTTGACAGGACAGGAGATTCCGAATTACATCTAAATACGGTCTCTTTTTCTCACCCCCTCCCTTCGTCCACCATATCAACCTGGGTCCAGCCATCTCTCGACAAATTGCCTCCTCGTCTTCAATTTTGGGTAGATGCCTATGTGTTTTCATGTTCTTTCGATCTTTGTCGATTTCGCTTTCGTCTTTTTTCGATTCTGAGGTTGGATTGCCGTTCTAAATGTAGCCCCGGAACTACGGTATTGCTCAACAAAACAACATCCCTTTTCGTCTGCTTTTTGGTCTACTGACGCTCCTTTCTTCACTCTCTTTGCTCCTTCTTGAACGAGAAATTAGGAGAATTAAAATAGACAAAAGAAACTGACTTATTTTTTCTAAATTTTTGAATTTTCTCGTCAAAAGAGGTGGGTAAGGGAGTCAAAAACGGAGCGCCTCACGCCCCAGCAGCCTATATACGAGTGTGGCGAGAAATCGCAAAAAAACAACACCCAAAACACTTCCAAAGACCCACCCAGTTGCCATAAAAACAACAAAATTGACAGTCAGTTTTCGACTTTCACCCCCCTTGCCCTGATTTCAAACACGACGATTTTTGAGGCTAAACTTTTACGCAATCGAATGATCAGCTGGTGCTCCTCAAAAAATCGTCGTGCTCCTACTTTCGCCCCCGATTAGTGTGGGCATTTGGCTCGGCTCGAAATTCGAGCCGCTCGAAAAGCGAGCCGGCTCGAATTTCGAGCCGACTCCGCCTCCTGCCGTTTGGCTCGAATTTCGAGTTCGAGCCGGCTCGAATTTCGAGCCGAGCCGCTCACTACACCAAACTTGGGTAATTGAACCAAATCCGCAGAGGTAGTTCTACCCAAATTATTCCGGGGGGACCGCTCTTACCTCCGTGCAGTGGGCCAGGTCCGCGTCTTTCGCTTTTTTGGCAAGGCTCGGCTCGAATTTCGAGCCGCTCGAATTTGGCTCGAAATTCGAGCCGGCTCGAATTTCGAGCGGCTCGAATTTCGAGCCAAAGGCAGGGGGCGGAGTCGGCTCGAAATTCGAGCGGCTCGAATTTCGAGCCGAGCCAAATGCCCACACTACCCCCGATCACTGGCTGTGATATGCCGAGATATACAGAAAACCCCCGATAGCTCCTCCTCCTCTCTGCACGATCACGATCCGCATTATTTTTTCTTGTCATTATTGCATTTTTCCCCTATTTTGCTCTAGCTGTGGGCACGATTAGCACGGATTTGCCATGGAATAATTTTCGGCGATAAACTTCACCGCTATCACGTTCGAAATCCATATGTATCAAGAATCGCATTGTAAAGAGAAATACCTATCAAATCAACTTCTATATATCGCTGAAACAACAATTTGAAACGTCTTCGTGCCAAACCAATTAGCGTTCACCCTTTATTAACCACACAAATGCCAGCGTCGATTGTAAATGAAAGTAATTCACACATACAAGGTTTTTTTAGTGCATAAAAGGAGAAGATACAGAGCGAGTGGAGTACAAAAAAAGGAAGGAAAAGTGGGCGAGCGGGTTGTTCAGGGCTGTTGGTCGACGTATTTGGCGATCTGGTCGTAGAGCAGGTTGAGGGAAGCGCGCGTGGTCTCGGACGGCTTCTTCGCCTAAAAACAGCGTGATGGTCAGATATATAGATATTACACTCACCGCCAGATAGTCCAAAACGGTGGTGTAGATGAACATGTACTGCTGCTCGCTCTGGATAGACGAGGCACGGCACTGGCGCAACTGCGTGAACACTTCCGGAACCTGGAAAGGAACGGATTTTTCCTAGGCTCCCATTTCCCAAATAACATTAGCGGAAGTGTTTCTAAATGGTTTTCTACTATTCTTAAACGTAAAAAATTTACACATTAAATAAATAGCGATTTTTGACCCAAAATAGCCGTTTTCGAGCAGGATTTCTACCTGCGAATTGAGTTGTTAGATAGTTTTCTAGTTTAAATCCAGTTTTATTTTGCTACAAACATTGTAAATACATCCTACTACTACAGTTACTACGCATTGCTAGCTTTATACAGAAAATTTTTCTCCAATCCCCCAATAACCCCCCCGCAAAACAGCAAACAACAAAAAAATTACGATACAACTGTAAAGCTGTAAGCTACCGTCACGTCTCTGCCCTTCAGCAGCTTGGCGATGACCAGCTCGATGGCGATGAACGTGCCGGTGCGGCCGACGCCCGCCGAGCAGTGCACGATGCAGGGGGTGGTGCCCGTTTCCTAAAGATGCCAAAAAATTCAAGCTGGAGCCGCTAATTCGCACCTTAACTTGCACGCGAAGCTTGTTGACGAGACGACCCGACGTTGCGCTCTTGTCGGGCCAATTGGTGCAGTGGACAAGCTTGGTGATGATCGAGTTCGAGCACGAATCCGGTAGAATTTCCAGCGTATAGACCGTCGCCACCCCCTCCTGAGTCTCCACCTAAAGCTCACGGAAATGCAGTAAAAAAAACCAGAAGCAATACCTTCTTATTGTTGACAAACATTTTGCCGTAATTCTGGTAGCTGCCCTGCTTCTCCGGCCAGTATTGGCAGCACTTCTCGACGCCGCCCTCTAGCAGATCGGTGACGCACAGAACGCACGAGCTGTTTTCCTAAAGCTGTCCATTTAGTAGTTTTAGATTGCTAGAAAGTCCTTAAAAATTGATTTTTGCAAATTTGGATGATATTATAGGTTTTTAGTTGTTTTACTTCTCCAAAGTGTGTAAAATCCTATAACATCGTTAAATTTCGTTATAGGACTTCAGGGATTTACCTGAAAAAATTTGAAAGAACCGAAAGAAACACCTGGAAAACCATGCGCCAAAAGTCCTCGATGGTGTCCTGTTTGGGGCCCTGGGTGGCAATATATTTCCGGTCGACATCCGGCATCGTGATCCAATTCGCGTGGATATAATCGCCATCGGCGGCCGTATAATTGCCGTAGTCCGTCTTCAGGATCACTCGCGTCTCATCCCAACAGATGATATCCTAAAAGACGGCTCAGCATTTGGTGCTGGACTGTTAGCAGGGGGAACCAGTTTTTATCTTTGCGCATACACCCGTTAATAATACATAATGCATTTTTATAGTATTTAGAGTTTTTCAGCGCCAAAATCTATAAAAAAATTTAGAATTTGGTAATCTTGAACTTTTTTGGCGATTTTCGCCATTTTTGGAAGTTATATTCAAACATGCATAGAACATATAAACATACAAACAAATTTCAAACATCCAGAAACAAAAGTTGCTACTTTCTAAATTAAAAAACTGCTCCCCCAATACCTGCCCAGGACCCAGCTTTCGCAAGACAACAAAGCTACCTGGTATCTATTCTTTCCCAGGTTCCGGGCATGGGCGTCGGCTTTCGTCGATGGGGGTGCGTAGAGCTTGAGGCCGACCCATTCATCGTGCAGCGCTTCCACGCTCACTTTCAAGTATCGCCCGAGGAATCTGTCGATGGCCCCCTCCGCTTCGGCCGAGAGTTTTGGCGGCGGCTTGGGCTTCTTCCTGGCCGCGTCTTTCGAATTGCCACCCTGAAAAAAATACTAGCTTGACAAACGTCAACCTCTACACCTTTTTCGGGCGATCGCTTTGTTTTCCAGGGTTGTTGCTCGGCTCTTCTCCCTCGGTCGTCGCGACAGTGTGTGTGGCGTCCTGTCCGCCCTCGCGCGACCTCTTTTTTCCTGATTCGAAAGGTACTGAAACTGTCGTATCCTGGCACCAGATCGTTTCTCCTCGCCGCTGCCTCCTTTCCTTCTGTGGCTCGACGGGCTCTGAGCGGGTTCTTCGCTCGAATCGCGCGAACCGCCTCCGCGTGTCACTCTAAAGAAACTACCTAGGAGCCTTGTTAGTGCCAACCTAGTTTCCGTGCCAAGCCTATCTTGTGCAAAAATTAAAGACTAAAACAACACAAGACTAAAACGCATTTTTCAGTATCTGCGTAACGCCAGGATTTGAATTGAAAAGTTACGAAGCTTGAGAGTGCGAAAAATAGCGGCGGAAATGGCCCATTTTAGTCGTTTATCGCTAGCTTCGTAACTTTTTTCTTGTGGTCGTTTCGCAGATTCTAACTAGTGCGTTTTAATGAGCGAAAAATTCTGCACAGAATAGGCTTGGTCGCGTTACGAAACTCCGTCGGCACTAAAACAGTCTCCTTGTAAGAAAGTAACATTTACCTGTTCCTTTTTTTGTCCTTCTGGTTCTTTTTGGCCTGGATCAAGGCCATGGTGCCCGGCAACTGCATGGTGAGACGATCGCTTCAGGGTCACTGAAGCTCTATTTTGTACTCGCGCCCGTAGGCAAATCACCGGATTACCGGTATTCAGTTTGTCGCATGTAAATATCGCCATTCACACCTGAAATTCGTTTCCAAGACTTGTCCGTTGCGCAACTAATGCTCAACCAACTTCTTCGTACTATTTATTGCACTCTGAGACGAGAGAAATTGATATTCTGCACATGCTATTTATCACAATGGCGACGTGAAATGTGTGTGTCGTGCTAGGCGGCTGAGAAAGGGCAATGACTTAGATTAGAGTACTTTCTATGTAGGGCGGCGGGGGATTTCGGTGACGGAAGGTACCCACAGCCGATACCTATTGGACCTTATGATATTTGCGTAACTGAGTAATCACATTTTCGATAGAGGGAGAGAGAGAGAGAGTCGTTGCCTACGGGATAGGGGGGAAGGCACAACCAGTACGGGGGGAAACCAACGAAAGTAAGGCCAAACGCTTATAACCGCGAGCACCCGAATATTAGGAAAAAAACAGAAGAAACAGATGGGGGACAAGAGCCAAGTATGTGTACAGCCAACGGGAAATGCCCAGAAAAGAAAAAGGAAAATGGACCCTATATACCCGGAATGAAGATACTTTGGATAGGGGAGGGGCAGTGGAGGGGATTACAACTCTCCCCCGCTTTTCCTCGGAGTCGGTGGTGGCATCATCACTTTCCGGAACTCGCCGACTTCGAAGATTGAAGATGAGTAGCGGCCGAGCGATTGGAAGAGGGAGACGACTTCGTTTCTGGAAACCCGGTTTAGAAAACGCTACTTTTAAGGGGGCGGACAACGACGCAACCGATTGCGACGGCTAGTATATTACGCGTCGCGGGCGAAAAAAAATCGGTATTGAACTGTTAGTGGGGGCGGGGTCTAGAGGGCGAAATCAGATATAAAAATAGATATAAAAACGTTCATCTTTTTGGTTCAAAATGTATGACAAACGGTCCAAAAAATTAAAAAATTCAGAAATTGCAAAATTTTTTGATTTTTCTAATCATTTTCTACGAATCAACAAGTAATCAAAAACCCAATAAAAATACAATATATATAAACAATAGGCGGAAAAACAAAAAAGGAGTTCTAGACGCTAAAAGTCCAATATCAAAAATTTGAATTTAGAGCCCGATAAAAATACGATCAATTTAAAGTCCTAACCTCGTGAGCTGGAACGGTGGCTCGGTGCCCGGCTCAGCGGATTTGAAATGTGAATACGGCAGGTCCGAGAAAAGAATCTTCAACGCCGTTCCCATGCCGTGGGTTTGAACCTGAAAACCAGTAAATTTCAACCAGACATCAAGCCATACCTTGCCCCAAAGCCGGCACTTGTCGCAACTGACACAATCCATGATGCGCGAGATGTTCAGGAAGTGGGAGCGGAACTCCTCGCGCAGCTCACGGGCATGTGCTTCGACTCCCTAGATAGGAAATGTAATAGAAAAGAGGATTTTCGTACCAGGAACATGTTCTGCTCGTCGAAATGGTTGGTATAGCCGCGCACCGTCTCGAGTAGATCTTCAACGGCCGCTCGTGTCGCTGTATCTTCCTACAACCAATATTTTTTGGCTCATTAGAAGAAAGCGGAAACGATCAAGTAAAACCTACCTTCTCATTTCCGGTGAAGAACAATTCGTTTTGAAGGTATGGAGCAGCCTTGATCAGGGCCCGCAGCTCGAGGAGGAACGTGAAGTAGACGTTGCGCAGACTAAAGAGCAATGCGAGCAAAACATATCTACTAACCGTTGCGGTCCTTCCCAGCTCCACTTCGTTCCGAAGCGACCGGCAAACATCTCGGTATTGCGGTACCAGCTGCCCGGTCCGAATCCGCCGGGTGCTAAAGAAAAATATTATCAAAAAATACATTGAATAGATTAGACCTTAATTAAAAATTTATTTCCAAATTCCATAGCTAAACCCTTACCTGGCCGATAGTTATGAGCTGCAATAGAAATCGTGATGCCCGAATGGAGACCGGAAATCAGCCGGTAGAAAACACGCTTCTCCAAGCACAGACCTAAAAGAAGAGCTTTTTGCAAGTCGGAAAATGCTCATTTTTATGCGGAAAGGCGCGATCTGGAAAGAATTATGCCCTAGACAATTTCTGCACGAAGACAGGCCTTGCCCGAGCTTCAAAGCTAACGAGCGCCAGCCGGCACACAAAAATGGCACAATATAGAGGATCAGAAAAAGCACACAGACCAGCAGCAATGAACAAGACGTCGTACGACAGTGAGAAAATGGAAAATTGGACGATACACGGAACCCACCACCCGGATGAAGTGGAAACGTACCTTCTGTAGAAAAATAAGGATTAATTCTAGCCGTTAGTTGGTTTATGAAAAGGCGAAGGAATGGGAAGTTTTGAGTCAAAATTAGAGTCAATTGTTTTGGTTAGAAAAACTGATTAGAACTTAGGGAAAGGCAGCTTTTTGAAGTTCTAATCAAAAGCTCACCAAAATTGTTGGGGTTGGCCAAGAAATTCTTGTCGAACTTCGGGTCAGGCCTAAAAACGGTCCCTGCTTGAAAAATGTTCTTACTTGAAGCAGTTTTCCTGGTAGATGCTCTTCCAGATCCTGAGAGCGCCGTCGCCACCATACCCTGTGTACCGCTCGGGGTTCTTCAGCAGGTCGACGTAGTGCATCTCCGTGGAATCCTCATCTAGAAAAAATAGCATATTTAACTGCGGCTTTCATCAAAAAAATCGGCTAAAATCTGCTTAAAAATCTCACCATCGACTTCGCAAAACTTGTCGTGATCAGCGCGGTCGTGCTCGTCCCACTCGGCGTGTCGCTGCCGTTCGCCCTCGCTCAATGAGCGATCGACTGGGTCAAAGGAGTTTGACGAGTCGCTCGGGGCACATCCGGAGATTTTCTTATCACCGTTGTTTTTCTGAAATTAAATAGATGACAACTTTTCGTTAAAAACCAAAGCTCTAATATCGGTGTCTCTCTAAGAACCGGCAAAGCTACTACTACGTTTAAGATTCAAAGGTTAGATAATAAACTAAGAGATGGTGGCAACAAAATTTGCAGCTGCGAACTTCCTCAATCGCAAGCATAGCTAAAAACGGACATGGGTACAGGTGAACCAATATTTCTACAGCTAGCAGCAGCAAAATTGGCTTGGTGATCGCTTGCTTCTATGGGACATTGGGTACAGTTGGGACAATTTTCAGGGTGAATCAAGTCCGGAAAAGACTGTAGAAACCTTCGGGTAGAGCTTCGTCTGGGTGTAGGTGCCCGTGCGGTTTCGTTGTCGTGCATCCTGGCCGCCAACCATCCGCACCTGATACGACAAGGATAAATCAAACGACTGGTCGCGTTAATAACGAGGGCAAAAAACACTTAAACTAACACTAACTAACACAAAACACATAATTATTCGCCCAGGTTTAAGGCCCCAACATAAAAACGAAGCGAGCAAGTCACAACACAAATTCAGCGCATGCACAAACAAAACACCAATTCAAAGGACCGGAAAAGCAGGAAAAAACGCTGAACTTCAAAGTCTTCAAAGTCACAGCAACGATACGTCAGATACACGCCCAAAACCACCCCACCACGCCACTTACCGTCGTCACAACGGCAGGACGCTTCAATCCGGCCGGAACCTCATCGTCGCAGGTGGCGATCCCGCACTCTTTCGAGCCGCATTGCCGGTCGTCCGGCCAGAACGGACACTGTTTGTCCATATTCACCTGAAATGCGACCAGTTAGAAGAACCCCGATTGCTCTCGCCTTGTAATATCTGAAGAACGGCCGCTCTAACAAAGCCACCAGCTTATTGTACACGATCTCATTGTTGAAGATGTCCAGCGACTCCGGCACGCAATCACACGTTTCTACAGCTTCACCCTGGACGAAATCAAGATTTAATTCGGATAAAAATTTGCCTACCTGCTTGCAAAAACATTGTTGCTTCTCGTCAAACTGTCCGTGGGCAGTGAAGATACAACAGAAGATGAGAAGAAGGGCCGCATAGGGCTCCCGCATTTGGAGGTGGTAAATCACTGAAAAGAAGAGGTGTTATCGTACCGGTAAAAAAAAGCAATTGAAAACGAATGATGAGAAATAGACAAAGAATCCCTTGAAAATACCGATGGACGGATCGGGGCAAGATTTGCACAGCTTTTTGACTTGCAACAAGAGGGCCTTAATCGCCAAAATAAATATAGGCCGTCCCGTTGTGCTGACGAGGCATAGGGGGAGCCATTTGAAGGAAGGGGGCAATTTTTAGGTCGAGGTAGCAAAAATGAACCAACAATTGTTTTAGAAACATGAGCGTTTCAGAAAACTTTCCCGCTTCGAATTTCTGGAGCATTCTATGGGGGCCATAACCCGACACATCAATCATCGATAAATCTTCCCAATCGGAAAATGGCATGCAAAAGCCGATAGAATCAATAATGGTCTGAAAGACAAACAATGGGTGGGGGGAGGCAAGTGCTTCCAGGGTCTCTGCTAGCCGATCCGCTAGCACGTATAGGGTTTCTAGCGACGGGGAAATAAATCATTGTGATAGTGCCTAAACCATCGTGACGCGGCGGAGAAAGAAGCCATGCAATGGGCCCGACGCTGTGATTCACTTCCTGACTAAGGATTGGGGTCGCGAGAATGAGCTTTTTTATTGGAATCGCTACCCGACACCACTTATTTCCAATACCTTTCGAAGTGATTTATAGCGTATTAGGACTCTTATAGTCAGTTGGTAGCGAAAAAAATAGAAAAAATATTAAAATCGAAGCTGTTCCGTCCAAAATTTCGCGCCGCAAATATCGTGACACCATCGGAATACACAGATCTTTTCCGAAATTCTCCTTGTGCCCCAGCAGAAAGCAGAAGCCTTTTTTGTGATGCAATGATGTTCCGAGGGCTTCTGCTCTCTACCCAGAAAATAATAAGGAAATGCCAAAAAATACGCCCAAGAAGGGCTCGTGAAGGCTGGCGTATATGTATGGCGGAAAAGTGACAGGCACGCGGAATATTTGGGGGCCAACTAGGCTGGGCCGCGTGCGGGGCGCGGGGGGCGTTGGACCGGTCCGCGCCCTTGAAAGCCTACGCGCAAGGGGGGAGAAGCCAGCAATACCATGGAGGGCCCCGTGAGCAAATGACAAATAAAGAACCTGGAACTTGTTAACATGTTTATTTTATATGGCCAAAAATGATGGAGGGTAAAATCTCGGCATCCGGTACTGATTAAAGGGATAGGGAAGGCAAGCTTATAGACGGTTGGACGTGGATTTCCTAACAATTTTTGTCGCGGCCCGTGTGTGCTGCATGCAGAGTTCGAATTTATTACGCAACCTAAGCGCGTACAGACGCGTTGCTTGTCGCGGCCGTGACAAAAGCCTCTGATATAGCAATGCTATGAGAACGATCCCCGTAAAAAATCTGATGTACCGAATTCGTAAAGTTTGACGATTTAGCCAGGCTTTTTAGACGTTTTCAACGCAGCAAAAAACTATCCCGAAAAGACTTATTATGCTCAGTTTAGGCAATTGGAGCTTCAGGATCCCGAAAATGATGTAATAGACTTACGGCTCCACCGGCAACGTCGCTAAGGAACGTGTCCTTTAGAAGTCGGTCAACTGGTTTCCTGACGTTTATCTATAGGGCCGTGCTCAGCCAGCCGATCGCAGGGTTTTCCAGTCGAGACGCGGCGAATGAGCGAGAGAGGCTGGCAGAGGAGGAGGCGCAGAGACACTTCGTTCTCGTTACCGTGTTCTTACCGTATTTTCCAAAAAGGTTAATTGTTGGGTATTCTTATGCGCTTTCTGACAGCTATTTAGAGCAAATTTTGGTCCATAAAAATAATTATTTTTTAGTTTTGCGAATTAGTTTGAATGTTTTGAAATTTAGAGCCCTTTTTGGGCAATAAAAATAATATTTATTATTTATTTTGAGTATTCGTATGCATTTTTTGACATTTTGAACCCAGTCGGTGGATAAAAATAATTAGTGTTTGTTGATTTTGGGTATTTTATTTTTAATAATATTTAGTTTTTTGAGAGTTAAAACCCTTTGGTCCATAAAAATGATATAATTAATCTATAACATTTATTTAAATAAATTTAGACATTCGGGTCCATTGTGCTCCAAAAAAATAGTCATTTAGTGTTTTTCCAGTATTCTTATGCGTTTTCCGACATTTACCGCACATTTTGGTCCATAAAAATAATTTATTTTCTCATAAGAATCGGTTGGGCGTCGGGTAACATTGTGCACAAGGGCATAGTTGAAAAATTAGTGGAGAATGGGGTCCGATAACACTGTTGGGGGTGGTCGGTGGTGCTCTGGAATCACCTCCAGGCCCCCCGAAAACCACCGATCAGCACTGAGCATTTGCAGTGAGGGAGGAGGAGAAGGGGGTTTTAGTATAGCTGTCGTGACTTTTAGGGGGGCGGGGGTTGAAGTGAAAAAACGCCACGAGAGCAGAGTGTGTGGGTGGGTGATCCTGAAAACCACACAAAATACACAAAAAACAGTAGGTAAGAAAATTCGGGGTATAAAATAAGGAGCGTACAAGCAACAACAAGATGAGAGCAAAAACCGGACAACTCTTTGCAACGGCAGCGCGGGCCACATCCCCCGCAACCAGCATTCGTCTGGCTGGGCCCGCCCGCCGTTTCCCGTATTTCTTTTGGGGCCAAAGTATACAAAACACACACACACAGAGACAGTAAAAATGGTACCAGGGCACACAATATGTTGAAATTGATTGATTGATGCAGAGAAGAGAAATAGGCGTAAGACTCGCGTGGGATCACAATTTCCGGAGGAGGAGGAGGCTTAATAAATAGAGAATTAGCGGATTAGTGAGAGCAATTCGGGGATGAGTTCTTCTGACGGATGAAGCCTAGCTAGAAGAGACGAGATGGATGAGAAATTAGGCAACGGCCGTCATTCCACCGCCATTTTCACGTGGATGGATGCCGTTTGGGACGGGGCGAGGCGAGGAGCCTTGTTGCGCTTGTTGTGACTTCAGGGGCTGTGTTTGGCCTTTCACCTAGAAATCGATATTTTGGAATCGATTTTATTTGCAAAAATTATGGTTCTTTCGCATTATCGGGGGGGGGGGGGCAATTTTTTTTTTAATATAAGTTTAGAAATGTCGATTAGCTTCATAGGAAGGTTTTAAAAGTGTTTTTGGCAAAAAATAACTATATTACAACTAGAAAACGATTTTCAAAACTATGAAAATTTTCAACAACGAAAATTTGGTCAAAAAACGGTCATGTTTGGTGAAAAATCTATATTTTTGTATTTAAAATAAAAATGACCGAATTCTTTGCGTTCAGGAATAGAAAAATCCCCCTATTTATTTTAAACAAATTTCTACCTACATCATTAGCATGTTCTTGTCGTGGGCTGTCCCCACTCTCGCTGCCGCTCCCCTCTCCATTTTGTGAGCGGATCCCGTTTCCATTGTGCTGGATCGTGGTCGAGTCCATGGTATCTTCGCCCTATAAATTTCATATTATTGAAATCAGGCAATTTAGGGTATCAAAATTATACATATTTTGTACAGAAATACAGGATAGTTAGGTAATTGCATACCTGATTGGAGTTGTCGCTCATCTCCTTGTCTCCATTGATATGTCGCTCTCCGTCCATCGAGTCCTCATTGCCACCATAGTCGTCGACGTCGGGGATGCTTTTCTTCACGTCATAGGCGCCCTCGTCATCACCGTCAAAATCGAGCTAAACAAAGAAATTTTATGCAAATCTATTAAAGTTCTCTAGTTTTTAGTTTTTCGATTAGTTTTATTACAGCTTTTCCGACAATTCGTAAGATAACTCACCGGTTTCGCATTATCATCCGGGTCCGAGATGGACGTCTGGACCGCAAAAAGGGTATCGGCGATCATACCGGCAACTCGGGAATCCATCTGAATAAAGGTATTCATGAAAAAAACGCTAAAACTTACCAATTGTGACATGGTGAATTGCAGGAGACGGTTCTGATGTTTCGCGAACAGACGAGAAGTGTTGTGAGCTCGAGATAATTGGCGGAGCAGAGATGCGGCTCTTCTCAGCATCCCCACCGAAGTGCCCATCATTTCCGGGTCGCCGCGGAGGGCAGCCATGCCGTGTTGTTGCATTACCTAAGAAACAAGGTTATATTTTTGCAACGCATTGAATAATACTAAAAGCAAGAATTAAATCATTAAATAAATAAAAGATAGTCAATCCCTGTAAAAACGAACCTGATGCATGTTCGAGTCGGCCGTCTCGATGAAGCTGATCAGATGCTCGATTGCCGGCGACTGATGAGCGGCCACCCAGCATAACTCGGCCGAGACGCCAACAGTCGCGTTCAGCACGACAATGCCGAATTCACTAAATAACCGGAATTATAGAGGAAAATTAAAATAACGGATAAAAATAAAAGGACTAAACCACCAACCGGACGTGCGTCTCCTCGTTCATGTTGACGAGCTGTGAGAGGATGATGACGAGCCGTTCTAGGCGAGGCCACGGACCAGTTGCGCACAGTAAGTCGACGTTGCTCTCGGTGACGCAAAGCTTGCAGAGGACCTCGAGGGCGTAGTTTCTGAAAAATTGGTCTTTAAAATATCGAATTTCATACTGTCAAAACTACAAATGCAGAAACGTCATAATACGGACATTTTTGCCCAGTACTTGCGGGATTTCTAGGCGATTTTTGAAATAGAGATTTTAAATTTTCGGCAATGCGAGAGGTTTCGAAAATTGGAAATTTCGACATAAGGAATTTCGGCAAAATATCGACAGTCTGATAGTAGTTCTTGACAAATTCGCAAGAGATAAAAACGCGTACCGAAGGCTAACATTCCCTTCGCCGCGTGGATCCGTAGCGCATGGCAGTGGTGAGGTGGCCCAGTGGAGCAGTCCATCCATGATGTTGTACGCGATCGTGTTCGGGATGTCGTACAGGTGCAACTAAAAGATGAAGCTTAAAAATTTCAATTTTACCCTTACCGATCCGGAGATATGACACAACATGGTGAGCACGTCCTCCCGAATCTGAGAAGCCGTCTCGACACGCAACACGTACAGCTCGTCATCCGTGTCTGACATGGTGAGGGGCCGCTTCAGGTCGGTCTGCTCATCACCGTCATTGTCGACAGCCGAGAGTCTAGGCAAGCGGACGAATGGCTGTTGTCGGGCCTCGAGCCGCAGGAATCGCGAGAGCAGCAGCAGCAGGGGTCCACACTGGGCCAGGTGCTTCTCCATGGCCGGGTGGAAGGAGAGCGAGCGGAGGGCGTTGGAGATGCAGAGCGCACGGTTTGCCTGAAAAAAAGATATGATTTAGCCAGGAAACAGTGAAATTACCACGTTGGTCAATGCTTCCTCGGGTTCTGCGATGGCTGATCGTTTTGGGACCTCGGCTTCGAAATCGATAGGGCCGGAGAGTTTTTCCTGTGGAGTGGCGTCACGGTAGAAAAGAGGACATTCCATCTAAATTCCAAGATACCGGTGGAAATATGCCTTTTGAAAATAGACGCAAAACGATATGACAAGCCCTTTTTCATGTTTTAGAAAATTAAAAAGCTAAAACTCACCTTGACATCTTCTGGCTCCTCCTCCTTCACGCTCTTCTTCAGCTCCGGCTCTTCCGGTTCCGAAGCGGACACGCAAACACGTTTGAAGAGGTTCTTCTTGCAAGCGGCAGCAGCCTCAACATTCCTTCTCATAGTGGCAGCGAGCCGGGCAGCCAACGGGCCAAGTGGGTACCGATCATCACCATAAGTCAGCTCGCAGTAGAAGTCTGGAAAAATAATTGTTAAGCCTTAATGATGACGATAACTAAACTGAATAAATAAATAATAAAAGACAATAAATCCAATAAAACCCACCTTCAACAACCCTAGCCGGCAACTCGTCACAGAGACTTCGCTTCAGCTCCTCCGGCATGTCGGCGTCCTCGAACTTGACTTGTCTGCCGGTGCGTGTGACATTGGTATAGTTCTCCGACTTCTTGTCCTTCTTCCCAACCAGTTCCTTGGTCACTGGGGTCGAATGCTTGGCGGAGAGGAGCGTCTTGGATAGAACTTTATCCGAGGGAACCTCCACATCTTTGCATTCCAACTGGGTCGGTTCGGCCAACTGAAAAGCATGATTTAATGACGAAAATCATTCTATCAATTTTTTAACTTGAAGAGAGCTATCCTAAACAAAATTACTAATTAACTAACCGGGAAGATGTCAGGCCAAAGCAGGCTCAACGCGGCGGCAAAATGGTCGATGAGGGGAGGGAGCATCGGGAGCCAATCGTTTGGCCGTAGCGAGTTGTTCTCTTCGGCCAGGTGGACGGACATCATATTAAGGGCCCAGATGGATTCGAGTTCGATGCCCGAGCGGAGGGCCATCAGGATGCGACGGGGGTTGCTCTGCAAATTGGCAATGGTTAAAAACGCATTTTTCCCCCCTGATTTGACCTAAAAACCAAAAACTCTTCGTGAAAAAGTTTCTCGAACTTTAAATTTTATTAATTAGGCGCGAAAAATTACTAAAATTGGCCCGTTCAGAGCAAAATCTTCAGTTCAAACAAATTTTTTTGAAAGACCAGACTTGCTCAGACCTTTAAGCTATATCGATTCGGCTGAAACTACAATATCCTCCCAACTACTTCTTTTAAATTTTTTTTATGATTTGAATCAAAGCTTAAGAGTATTTAAAACCCTCACCCCAATCAATTCCTTCGGCACAGGCCGCTTGCGCTTCCTCGTGCTCATCGGCAGCGCTTCAACACATCCAGGCGGGAAAGTGTGTGGCTGGCTGAAAGGGAGTGGCTGCTGTTGTTGCTGCACAGGTGCCGGTGGTTGCTCGCTGAATCGTGCTGGGGCCGGGACGATGGCCGGAGCTGGAGGGGCAGCAGGTCTCGGGGTACACTGTTGCGAAGGTGGTGCCGGATATGGTTGAGGAGCAGTCGGAGGGCGTTGTTGCGGGTTGGGGGATGGGGCGCCTTGGCCAGGAGTTCTGGGCATATACCGCTGAGCAGGGCTAGCGGCCGATGGCGGTGGCTGCTGGGGTCCGGCGGGTTGAGGCGGTCCGTTATATCCGGGGCCAGGGGGTCCTCTCCAGTACTGTGGTTGTTGCATGTATTGTCCCTGGGGTCCCATGGCGTATTGTGGAGGGTAGCCGGGGTACGGTGGGCGGATTGGAGGGCCGCCACGTTGTGGGGGAGGAGGGTAGCCGGGGTAGTACGGTGATGGTGCGCCGTTGTTTGGAGGCATGTTTGCCCTGAAAAAAAGATTATAAACGTATTTTTGGAAGTTTGGAATCCCTAAAAAAGCATGGATACATAGAATTCGTCAGAAAATAAAAATAAAACGTCTATTCTAACGATCGTGCAAAAACCTTTTTACTTTTTGACAATTTCCAGACTTCCGTGCTCCTCTAAAAAAAGTATAAAACGTACTGGGGCTGTGGCTGTGTTGGCGGTTGCGTGGGTGGTTGCTGGGGTCCGGGGGTGGCCGAGGCGGCCTGACTTGGCGGTCGATCGTCACCTCCTGCGCTCAAGCGACTCGTCGAATCCGGGGTGGCCGGGGGAGGAGGGCCTGCCGATGGGGCACGGCTGCCCGGTTGGTCTACCTGAAAAAAACCCGGGGGTTATTGGGAATTTTAAGGAGGTTAAGAATAGGAATTCTGGGCCGCTCTCTTGGTTGAAATTTCACGGTGCTATTGGAAATGTGCAGCGAACATCGGGAAAATTAATCTGTTTCTATGAGTCTACACAAGCTTATGTTTTTGTTAGTGGCAAGTTTTGAATAGTGTTTTTTGATAAAATTTAGCTTATTTCAGGTCGAAAAACAATTCAAAAACGCTAGAAAATGCTCAAAAATGTGAAATTTTGCTCGAAACTCGGTCATTTTTGGTCATCGATATTTTTTATGTATTTATTTGTAAGCGGTTAAGAACTAAGTACGCGTTCCCGATACTGCTAACTAGCGAAAGCTCAAGGCAGATTTGGAAAACGCAATTTCCAGAAAATCTACCTGTAGATTAGCGCCGGAAACGGATGCCGGGGTTCCGGGTTGCCCTGGGGTAGCCGGTGGAGCCGGGGTTGTTGCCTAAAAACGGATGTAAAATGAAAAACACTTTTTCAAAACCTGCGAAACGTGGGCTGGGGTTCCGGGCCCGGTTTGTGATTGCGATGGGGTCGGCGGCGGTTGGGTGCTGGGCGACTGAAATTCGGCCAGTGTTAGAATGAAAAATTTTTCATACCGCTTGTACATCTTGCTGTTGTTGCTGTGCTTGTTGGGGTTGCTGTTGTTGCGGTGGTTGTTCAACGTTAGGCGGCATTGGTCGAGGGGCCATATGTGGGGGCATTCCGTGTGGGTAGCCGGGCCATCCGGGTGGAGGTGGGCCACGAGCATCTAAAAAGGATACGATAGCATGTCGTCAATGCTGTCAATGCCCCCCTCGTGGGGGGATCCCCCCGGGGACGACGACGAAGTATAATAAATATCATTAACCGGTATAGATATATAACCGGCATATAACTTCGTATCTATCCAGGCGCAAGTTTTAGTTGGTTAATACAGATTAAGACTGCTTGTCAACAGTTTTCAACATAAAAACTCAGTAAATTTGAATGAAAATGTACTTTAGGTAAAAAAACGTTGTTTTTCGACCAGAATGACCAAAATTTCGAATTTTTCAAACTTTATTTGACCGCTTCAATCCTGAAACTAGCTAAATTTACATATTAATCCATCTACACCCGATTATTTCACCCTTCCTTACCTTGATAATAGGCCGGGTGGCCGGGCGGGATTCCTGGGTAGCCGTGCGGATAGCCGGGCGGAACTTGCTGCAGCCCGGGCGGCGGATGGCCTGGAAAATTGGGCTAATTATTGGCGTACTAGGTGCTTCAGTTCCCCTCTACGTGATGCCCCCTTTTTATTTACAGGTTTTTCTATCAACACCCCTCTCTGCGGCTTCATGCTCATCATTTCCGGTGTGGCTGTAAGATTAAACTGGCCGTTGGAGGGCCCACGATTCCGGGGATTCCCCGCGGCTTATCCCGCCATTATGGCCATCCCCGGGCCTGTAGTCTCGTTTGCCAGGCAGGGTGGTGCTAATCCTATCCGGTGTGGTGAGGGGTCTCATGCCGGCCGCGTTTCCCCGACAACCTGCGCCCCAGGTACCGTATTAGGGCCCCAGGGACCCCGAAGAAAGACCCTGGGCCTCACAGATTTCAATTATCAGCGCCCGTCAAGGCAGGCGGAGTGCCCGCCGTCAACTTGTGCCCTCTATGGCCTCGTCGTAAACAGCGGAGAAACGCGCAAGTGTCCCATTTGGAAATAAAGAGCTTATTTTGGGGGTGTACACCCGCGAGATTAATCACCCCCCATTGCAGAGGATACAAAATGGAAAGGAAAAAGGGAGAGAGACAGGAGAGAGACCAAAAAATAGGGCAAAAATGGGCGTGGCGCCGAGGACTACAATTTTGACGTCGTTTGTTTTTCGGTAGTTGGTCTCCCCGAAAAAGCTGGGGAGCAAGAACATTCCCACGGTGGTTTCTTACGTGGCATGGTCAGAAAAAAAAGGTAAAAAGGGAAAAATTTTGGAAATCCAGGCGTAAAATCGTAAATTCTACGCGCGCTGAGAAGTTAGAGTTTGCGGGGTTTTCAAAACCGTGTTTATGCTTAGTAAAATAAGCTTTAAAAACTTATTACATCACAAAACCAGTAGTAACGTCAAATAAAACGTATTTTATCAGTATTTTTTTACTCAAACTCTTCAATTCTTTCAAAAGAACCTCTAGAATTTTTCTCTAGAAGACCAGGAATGCCTAGTTGTGTAATGAAAGATATATTTTAGTAAATAACGGTATTAAATACCTGTTTTAATACTTTTTTTGTCCAAAACTCTTCTAGAGACGCAGTGCCAATTCGTCATAAAATCTCCCCCAAAAAATATCCCGATTCGATCGCGTAACTATCCCCCTCTTGCCCTGATTCCGTTCCGCCCTGTCCGAGCAGGACTGATAACATCCATGGAAAAGAAGAAAATGGAAAAACTCGAGATCCTCCCCTTTGAGAAACAGAGCGATACCATAGGGATAGTGCATCCTCCAGTCAAACCCGGCCGGGTAGTGCGATGATTGACCGGCTGCGGCGGCGGCTGCACTGCGCCGGAAATAGGCTTCACGCTGCATATTGTGATGGTGGTAGTAGTTGACGGCATATTGGCCGTAGGATATGGCTTGGGGTTGAGGTGGCGGCGGTTGGGGGCTGACGGCCGGCTTTTGCTGGTAAGGCGATGGGGATGGGTAGCGGGCGGCCGGGGTTGGCGAATGTCGAGGCGATGGATGGGTGGTGGTGTATGGAGATGGCACGGAGAGGTATCCGGATCCTTGCTGTGGATTCTGGGGGAACCATGTGGCTGTGGCGGCCACGCGGCCCTGCGCCATTGCATAGGGCCCGGCCACGGCCTGATCGCTCGGCTGATGGGGCGGCGCCGGGTGCGAAATTTTGGCCGAATCTTTCTGGAAGGGAAGGATGATGAATTGAAAGGACGGAATGTTACGTATAGGAAAATGGATAGTGATGAAGCATTGCGGAAACAAAAATTTAGGTTAAATAAAGCGGAAAAGGACAAATTATAAAGCAAAAACTAAATCGAGGAAGAAAATCCAGCGTTTTTTTGCGATCTCTATCAGTTTTCAACTAAAATTAGCTGGCAAAAATGATAAATGTAAAAATGGGTTAAACCATATGAAATTTCGACAGGAGAGCGTCAAGCTATAAAACTAACTATCAGTTTACCACTAAAAATTCTAGCAAAAATAACCAAAATAAAACCGGGAAATAAACAATTATACGACCCTAGACCCTAGCAGCGAAAAATTCCAATATTCTCACTTTTGGTACTTTTTTATTTGATAAATCGATTATTCTACCGTGCTTTTTCGCCGATTTATCTTTGCTGACAAAAATCAATCCAAAATCTCCGCGCTAAGCCCTAGAAAAATCCCCGTAAATGACCTAATATAATCCCGGAAGAAAAAAAGTAAGTACAACCCAGAGCGAGCCCGAGGGCAAAAAGGGACGCCATCAATTCACACCACCCGCCCGTAAAAACAACATGCCGGAATTAGACGGGATTAGCCGGGACAGTAGAGTGGCGAGTGAAAAAGCGAGAGAAAAAGAAAAAAGGAGAGCAAGGGAAAGAAAGGAAAAAGAACAACAAAGTCTAATTGAGGGTACACCGGGGTAAGCAAAAAGTCTAATCCAAAAGGGAGAGAGAGAGAGAGAGAGAGAGAGAGAGAGAGAGAGAGAGAGAGAGAGAGAGATTGCGTGCAAGGTTCAAAAATCTAGGCTACAAATCACGGCCTCGGTGGGGCTATATAAAGTGAAGCGAAACGCGGGTGTGGGTAGAACTGAAGAATGGGGCGGGCTCACCGGCGAGTCTGGGCAAAAGGCAGCAGTGTGGCTGGGTGGCTGTGGTGCGCGAGGCGTTGTTGGGGACGGCCAGCCCATGTTAGGGAGAGACAGACATCGGCTAGAGAGCATGAGTTTCGTGGAGGGAGGAGGGCGGCGGCTGTACGCCCTGCCCACCTCGCCAACAGCGTCAATTTTTGGCACAGGTAGATGGGGGAAGGGGGCGTCACCAACGTGTCCACGAGTCATGGCGAAAATATTGGCAGTATTCCACGAATTCTGGCTTCGAAAATGGCTACCAATGGCGGTTGGGTAGGGTTAACTAGCCGGTATTTTCCAGATTCTTCCTCTTTTAAATAGACATTAAAGATAGGATTTAAATGTTATAAAATTGAACAACACCAAGTTCTTCAAGTTCAGGCCTTTTTCCTAGCATTTTAAGTCGTAAACCCAGGATTTGAAAAGTTTTCAACCGAGTTTTAGCAAGAAATTCAACGAGTTCAGGCCAGGGAGGCTCTATTATGGTTTTTTGATATTTGTTAACTAGGAAATTGGGTTTATTTCAGGTTAAAATAGAAATTCGACTCATTTAACACTATTTTAGAAGGTCCACAGTTAGGATTTTTAATTCTAAAGCATCAAATTCAACGAGCTCTATCCATTTCCACGTAAAAAGGACCAAATCGTAGCATCCACGCAAGGAAACGCCGGCCAAAATATACCGAACCGCTGCCGCCACTCAATTACATTCCCATCGACAATCTGAAGGGGAAGAAGAATTGCAGCCGGTGCCCACGGTCTGCCCGTCGATATCGGACGGTGTAGCCGAGCCGTGGGAACGGTGGGGCCCCCGGGTCGCGACACAGGTATCGCCTCCCTATTCAGTAAAAGCTGTCTCAAAACAGATTCCTCTGCATCGACTTGATACCGGTGCTGCCTGCTCGTCAATGAGACCGGCGTCAGCGGCAAGTAAGTTTTCGCTACGCGGGTTTTCAAGAGCCGCAAAAAGGCTTCTGCTCTGCAGGCGAAGTCTTAGAACAATCGTTGAATATTAGAAATCGTAGAAAATAGGTTATTCTCGGAAATATAGCCGAATTAACGGAAATTATAGAAAACGCGCCAAAAAGATTTTGGAAAAGTTCGTACTCCCTTTTTGCGTCTTACAAATCGAAAATCTAGTAAATCTCGCCGACTTCGGCAAGTTCAAGCCTGCATGGGAAAAAGGTTGTTTTTTGTAAATTTCACCTAAGCTTGAGATCTTATCGAATTCGTCAATATCAAGCCTCCAGGGGAAAACAAACGCACTTTTCTGTAATTTCGCCTAAAAAGTTTGCGAAACTCGTAAATCTCGTCAAATTCGGCAAGTTCAACCTGCAGTCTTAAAATTTCTGATTTTTTTCCAAATTTCTCGACACTTCCTCGCGGGGCTTCACCCAGTCATCCCACCCAAATTCTCAGTATCAGCACTCCGGTAGACAACTCGTTAGTGGGGGGCTAATTCCCAGGGGGGGGGCACCGGCTGGATATTTGTCGGTTTCCGGCTGCCTGTTCCCCTGCCAACGGCGGTGCGAAGGGGGGTACCTTGGTGTACGTGTATGCCCCCGGAAATCCGCACATTTAGAGGTGTGGGACATCTCGAGGTGGGGGGTGAAGGTGATTAGCGACAAATTGCCACTGGGTTCCCCCGGTGATCGGCGCACCTTGCGCCCCGGGGGAAGGCCGGGGGAAGCGCGGTTGGTTGGGTGGAGTGACGGAAGGAGGGGGGAATGAGGAGGAGGAGGGGGACCCGAGTCTTTCATTCATTCATTCAGAGACGACAACCAGCAGAAGCGATATTGATACTTTTTCTTGGGCAATGGCGCTGAACTGCTTCAGGACGCGCTGATATTCTGGAGGTGATGCGTAACTTTGACTCCTATCTTCAATGAGGTTGTGACGGTGAATGAATACAGGTGGGAGTATAGTAACAAAAAAATACGCTTTTTCAAGCATCTCCGCTATACCCTATTAAAAATTTGCCATTTTTCTGTAATAATCTGTCGTCAATTCCCAATTCTCAGCTCAAAAATAGACCGACAATGTAATTTACTTCCCTAGAATAGTTTTAATCTTATCCCCCACGACTACGATTCCTAAAAAATCACTGCCAGCATGCCCTTTTCTTCAAATTCCCCTCCAAAAACCAACCGGGCGGCGCCGGAGATGGTACGGCGATTCCCATCGACCCCACAGAGCCCGGGGTCCCGACGCGGCTCGGCGTCAGCGAGTTGTTATGGTTCTGGGTTCCGGAAGTGCTTGGGGCATCTAAATGCTTGATTTATCTCTATCTTCATTCTCAAATAATCTCCGCTAGATGGCCCTCTTGAAATTTGTGGCTACCTGCAGCTGCTGCTGCTGCTGCGGCCGCGGCTGCTCCATCGGCTTTCTCGGCCTTGTGGCGCTTTTTCTTTAATTTGTCGGCAAAGGCGATCGCATCCTCGGCGTTTCTAAAAAAAGTATTCAAGATGGTTTAGCAGAATGTAGGGATGCATAATGTCGAAATTTCATAATCACAAAATATGAAAACGTCGCAATTTTCAAAATAAAGCCACAATTTCTTACCAAAAAAAAATTAGAAATTGTTAAACTTCGACATTGTTTAAAAAATTATTTAAGATATCTATTTAATAAAAAGCCAGTTAGCTTTAAAAAAAACAAAAACCCACTTTCCCGTCTCCGCGCATTCCAACAGCAGCAAATGCTTCTGATAGTGCTTCCGTAATTGAAATCCAGCCGCTGACGACTCGCTTATGTCCGGATTCGCCTCCGGGCACACCGATTTCCATGCCTTGTCTTTTGTGACCTATTGTGAAGGGGAGCATGAAGGAATAGATACCTCGGAATACCTGCTCAAAGCCGCCTCGATTCCTCACGGCAATGTACAGGCGGTGGAGATCGACATTTTGCTTGGACACCTAGGAAAAACCGGATGTAAACGCATAGATTTTTTTATTACCTGAGGGACAGCAGTGATGGGCTCGCCGTGTTGTTCTAAAAAGTCGACAAGCCTTTGGAAGAATTGGCGTCGATCGGGCATCACTCGGGCCGGGTTTGCCGCGGTCACGGGGCCAACCTAAAATAACTTATTTGATAGTAAGCCCAAGTAGTAAAGCCCCAAAAACCAGTGCGTAATATCAAGATAATGTATGTGCGAAGAGAAGCGTGGCAAAGAACCCGTAAAGCCGGAAAAAGAGCGTCGTTACCCGTTGTTTGCCTTTGACGACCGCTTTTCCCGGATTATAAGCAGTCACCTAGTCGTTTTTTAGGAAATGGTAGTCGGAAAGAAACGGAAATCAGGGTTTTTTTTTAGAAATAGATCCCGAAACGGGGCTCAAGTGGTAGCTTACCAATTGCTCGACGATATTCGCGCGTCGGCCGGCATTTTGCGGGTTGAGCATTTGGGGTGGTGGGGCGTAGGGGTTGATGTTTTGTTGCGGCGGGCCGGGTGGGGCCCATTGTGGCGGGGGTCCGGGTTGGGGATGAGCTCCGGGCTGTGGATGGGCACCACCTGGGCCTTTGGGCTCGGTTCCGTCGTCTTCCTAAAAGGGAGAAATAATTTATGAAGATTCTTTTAAAGTTTTTGAGCCGATTTTTGCGATTTTTTTTTTCCATTAACACGTTTCTACTTATATTCTAACAGCTTTTAAAGGGGCTCCGAAATCTGGTCCACGGCCCCCCTGCTGTGATTCCTGGCAAATAGCCAGATGCCGCCGCAACGCGACCGCGACGCATGAACACCCGTCCCTGTTTGGACGCGAAAACGCTTGAATTTAAAAATTCTAATACTAGTTTTGGAATCCTCAACGAATTTTGATCATTCCAGACTTTTAAATAATGAAAATTGACCAGAGAATCACCGAGATCCAGAGATTGGGTTCCTTACAAGGCATTACGACATGTAATCGCCGCGCACTCAAAAAGTCGTTTTCGCCCCAAAAAGAATTTCGCTTTTCTAAAATATTTTACGTTTTTTCGCAATCAAATCACTTTTCCGGCACTCCTCGGCAGCGACCCTTTCGTTTTTTGACCAGTAGGTTCAATCCCCGCGCGCACGATTTTTGACTTCCGAGCCCCTTTAAAGTTACATTATCAAAAACCAGGCTAATTCAGCCTTCATTTTTTAATTCCATTTTACAAAATTGAAATACTTAAAAAAAACTCGGGTTTTTTAGCTGTAGTCTATTTTACTTTATTAAGCTGTTACTACTTTTTTGCGCAATTTTCAGCTGCATTCTCCAAATCCGGCTCATTAAGCCCAATTAGCTTCTTCTCATACCCAAATCACCATAACAACCCCGCGCAATTTTGGGAACCTCCCACTCACCTTCATTTTCTGGGCATTGGCCCACTCGAGCGGGTTCGGCCCCTGTGGCATTTTGACGAGATCGCCGGGTGGTGGGCGCATCATGTTGAAATGTGGGGGCGGCATCCCCGGGTGGCCCATCGCGCCCGGGCCGTACATTCCGGGGTGCATTCCGGGTCGCATGTGCGCCATCTGAAACGGCAAATTATTATTTAGCGCTTTTTATGGGGGCTTTTTCTACTTTAAGGCCGAAACCAAGACATATCTCGTTTTGAAAATACTAGAATTTCGAAAATACCGTCTCTTTCCTCCGCTCCTTCTTCTCACTACCTTATATAGAGTTTGGAGCTTCTTCCTTTATTGATCCTTTTTTACGAGCGGTCTTTAGGAAATGGCCAGAAAAGTAAGTGTAGAACCGGAAAATCTCATCTCTTTCCTTATTTTTTGTTAGAATTTGCAAAAACGAACGTCTTTTCTGCGCTAATTACTAGTTCTTAAACTAAGATTTCGCAACTGCTGCTAGTAGGGCCCGTGTTTATAATTATTTATCGCTTCCTAAGCTTACAAAAACCGTAAAACTCATGTTTATGCTATTTCTTTCCTGCCTTGCCTAGTGCCTAATTCTTTTTTAGGTCCCCATACTCTTTCCTGTTAAAAACCCTCTCACCTGCTGCTGGTAGTAGCCGTGTTGATAGTGTTGATAGGCGGGATGACCGGGCGGGAATTGGTGTGGCATTCCGTGGGGTGGCATTGGGTGCATTCCGGGGTGCGGCATCCCAGGTGGCATCGCGGGCCCGGGGGCTTGTTGCGCAGATGTCGACGTGGCCGGCGCTTGGTCGCCAGACGATGTGGCTAGAGAAGGGTTGCATTAAAGATAGGCCAATGTTAATGGGTACCTGGCATCGACGTGGCCGGTGTGTGTCGGTCGCCATTTGTTAGGGGAGACGGTTGCTGGCTGTTTTGGGCTGCCTGAAAAATGGGAATATAGGAAGGGGATCATTTTTAACAGAATTAAACAATCAAGGTCAAGAATTGTTTTAATTATTTTAAAAACTAGGTCGGTTTTCGAGTTTTTAACGCTACATTGCTGTTATTTTGACGGCTATATTTCATTTATCCCTTTTTATACATTTTTAACGCTATAATGTTGGTTATTTTTGGCGAAGCATATGCTTTATTTTGATTCGTTTAAACCAACAGGAGATTTATCATTTCAGATTTCGAGCTTTAGCAGTTTTTACGCTAGATTTTTAGCTCTAATTTTAGTCTATCGCGATACACATGCTTTCGCAGATTTTGGTCAATCCTATAATTTCAGCTTGTTAATTTCATGAAAACTAGCTCTAAATAGTTCCTAAAACCTAGAAAATAAATAGCCCAGCCAACGGTCGAATTCCCAAGCGCGGTTTTGAATCAATAAAGTGGTCCCGGATTGCAGCCTCGAAAAAGGTGGGGCTCGTCAAACAAATAGGATGCGAACGGCCGGGGCGTTTGTTCGCCTCTTTCGCCTCTTTGCTCCCCCTTGGGCGGGCCGGGTTGACGTGAATTGAGACCGAAAATATCCTCGGCCGGCCGCCAAAGCAACCGAAAGAGCAGCCGGAAGAGAGGCGCAGAAAAAGCCGAAAGAGGCGGAAAGAGCCAAGAGAGCGACAGGGAGTTCCGAGAGGGGCGCTCTCGCTTCTGCTAGCCGATTGGCGCTCTATGGTCTCCCCCGGCATCGAACAGACAAACAAACAAACAAACAGACAGAGAGAAAGAGAGAAAGAGACACACAACAAATGACGTGTGCGCATTTAGGGGGATTCCCCCGGTCGTTGGGTGTCGTCCGTCTGTTTGTCTCGGCCTCTAATATCTCGGCATCGGTGGGTCGAGTCTAACAGACAGACAGACACACAAACACACAACAATTCTCCCACGCTGTCCATCCGCCCTAGACTGCCATCAATTAGCGTGCTCCCGGATGGACAAAGAACAAACAAACCGGCGCGAGCAGTTAGGCGACCAGGAAAGTACGCTAGGTGAATGGCTACAGCTGGAGCAAGACGTCAAATCTTTCAAAGAAATTTCCTATTTTCAGTGGAATACTATAATTGCTTCATAAATAATTCATTCTTTTTAATAACCTACAAAATAAAATTCCTTTTTGCACTCCCTGACAGATCGCTATTTTTAGTGTATCGACTACGGCGCACTACTATATACCCGCTCATCGTATGCGTTTTGAGCACTTTGTCTCGCAAAATCGCTGTTCTGCGTAAATGACGATCTCTTTAAAAGTATCCTATCATGTTTTTCAACTTTTCATCTATTACTAGCTTACTAAACCCCACGAAAACAGCGACTATTTTCCAGAACCCCAGAACCCCATCAAAACTAGCTGGCTAAACCCCTAAAAACCATCGACAATTTTCCACAACCTTATATAAAAAATACGAAACTTTCCTTAAAACCCGACAAATCGATGTGTATGCATCTAGAGAAGTGGCCCGTTCAGTCCCGCTTCCCATCCCCTCCAGCGATGTAAAAACAATCCCGTTCAACACGCACAACTCTCTCTTGATGGGCGGACACCGAGCAAAAATCGGGCTGCTGCTCTCCATTTCACGGACCCCGTCCCACTTTAATCATGGCCAATCTCAAGGGCCCGACCGTGGGAAAACCCCGCCCCATCAGGCGAAAAGTCCATTTTCGGCGCGGAGGTCCCGGGAAACCCGATGTACCACGTGGGCTCTCGGGAGGGTGCCTCTCTTCTTCTCGGGCTATAAATCAGCCCAGTGTGTGTCGGGAAGGGGGGACGGAAATGACGGGGGGCGAGGAGGAGGCAAGATTCGGGGCGATATGGGTCCTCTACATTTAGTCGGTCCCCAAGCCGACGACGGGCAACCGGGGCGCTTTCGCCAACACAGGGAGCCAGGGCTGGGGGTTGTCGCTCTTTTTGGGGTTTATTTCTGTGGTGTCTCCCCTTCAACCACGTCTCTCGTTGACAATCCTCTTCCTGGGGTAGGCGCTGCGTCTCTCTCTCTCTCTCTCTCTCTCTCTCTCTCTCCGCCCGTCATTCCTTTCGCAAGGCCGAGCGAGCCCCGGCCGGCCTTCGCCCCATTCATCGAAGGGGGAAACGAGTGGCGAGCAGAGCGAGAGACCCGAGACGACGATACGAGAGAGACAGCGCGAGAGCGAGAGACACAGAGACCCCCCCCATCTCTCTTCCACTTATTTGCATTGCCTCCTCTCCCCCGACGGGCCAATCGATGGATCGGCCTTGTGTGAGACGACGGCCGTGGGTTTTGTCGTGCTGGGTGCTCCATTCGGCGAGCGCTATCTCGGCTACAGTAGGACACCCTCCACAGCCCGACTGCTATTTCGTGTCCCCCCACAGCCCCTATCCACGATGACGGGCCGTGAAGGGAAGGGGAGGGCTGTGTGTATGTATGTATGTCCTCCGTCTTTCTCTCTTTTTCGCCGCGATAAAGCCAGCGGGGAGATGGAAGAGAATTAGCGGCTCTCTCTGCAGGGTGTTCCTGCTTTTTTTCGGAGGTTCGAGGAGGAGAAGCCTGAATTAAGGTGGGGGTGGGATTATGGATGTGTGGGGGGCGGGAATACAAGATTAGGCGACAGGGGTCATTTTAGCCGGCGGGTATTGCGCAAGCATCTTGTCATTTAGGGGTGATACTGGGGGGCAGATGTGGCTATTATAAAGTCATTTAGGGCTGAAAAATGCAAGAGATGCTATAATTTTTTTAATAGGCTGTCAGAGACGTGGCGTTAAAATATCTAGAAACTCATTGCTGCAAGCCAAAAAATAGAGAAAATACGAGAGCTTAAAAGCGCTACATATATTCTTATTTTAAATAAGAACTACTAAAATATACTAACATAAACTACGAAAATATTTTACTTCTTTAAAACTATCGATAAGTATAAAATTAAAGTATCCAGTACCTCCTTGCTGCAAATAAACGAAAAAAGAAAAATACGAAAGTTAAAGTACGCTATATATTTCTTCACAAGCTTAAAGAAAATTAACGTTAAAAGATCTAGAATGTCAGAGCTAAACTAACCTAACTGCAAAACTCAAAGCACTACGATTCACTCCAAAATACGACCATCAATTAATCACCCTACTCATGATGATCACCTTCCGCTTCCAAAAACCCATTAATTACGTGTGTCAGATTCGACTCGTCGCCCCTCTCAGCTGGGTGTCCCAAATGGCAACCCGAGCAGCTGCCCTCCTCCTCATCCCCAGCCTCCTTTTGCCCAGAGGCAAGATGAAGGGTCACTTCGCAACACAAACATTCTCGCCAGTCCAAAAAGAGACCCGGAGAGAAAGGGAAAAGAGAGGCACAGCACATACACACACGTGGGAATGTGGGTCCGCCGGACACCACCGGCCGGGTAAAAGAGGAAAAGAGAAGCCCACGGCCAGGCTAGATGTGTTCCCCCGGATGGACAGCACGTGAGTCAATTGCCTATTTTCTGAGTGTGTGTCTCCCGTGGGGGGCGAGCTGACTAGGCGGTCTTTTTCTTCCTTTTTCCTTCTCTTTCAGCCCCTCTTCTGACCAGCACCTATAGAAAGAGGAAAAGGGGAAAAGAGCAAAAAGAAAGATCGCATCTATGCCAATTCTCGGTCCCGGCCAATGGATATCTTTGCTCTCCCGTTGCACCACTCACACAACACACCGTGGGAAAATGACGCATTCCGCCCGGACGGCTCGATACCCACACCGGAAATCAGCCCAAAAAAAAACAACAACCCCGGGAACTGGGAAGCGATTCACGCCCAAAAAATAGCCACGTGCTGCCGCAGCTGCAGCACGGGGATTAGGGCGATGGGAATTCGTCGAAGCGCGCCCTGAAGAGGGCTGGATGGATACAAAGATTCCGGGCGGGGTCCCCGCAGGTACATTTCGGAAGCCGCCCTTTTCATTGCACCCAGTTCCCGATACTCATTTGCGGCCCAGTCCTATTTAGCCTTTCTTTCCGGTGAAATTCGATATAAAGGAACTCTGTTCAATTTCTGCCTAAAACGGATGCTAGCTAAATTTTCTACTACTCGTTGAAATAAGCTATTTTTTAGATCACTCTATTTTTAGCACCAAAAGGGGTAAAGTTATTTTTACAACCTAACGAAAACGAGGGTTCTATAAGCTCATTTTACGACCAAAACTCTAATAAAAATACACCTAGAAAAAGCCCAGATTTCCGTTAGTTAGCCTAGAAAATGTATAAAGCATTCGAAACACAACAAAATCAACTAGTCTTCCTCCTTTTTTACCAGAGAAATGAAAAATCTTAGTTTTATGTCGTTATTTTCCTTTCCTATCTCATAAGCAAAAAAAAGTCACTAAATATCCCAGTAAGCTTCCACTAAAAATATACGATTTTTCACACGGATTTTTTTTCTACTTTACCTCGTTAATTCGGTTTTAAAATCAGAATTTGTGGCTATTTTGACTGCACGCAAAACCTTGGATAAAAGAAGCATAACGTTCTCATAAACGCGACGCGATGAACCCTAGATTTTCAAAAAGGCTACGCGCCGGAGAGCTACTACAAAAATAGCAGATTGCTGCAATTCTCTCCATTAGTCGGAAATTGTTTGTAGAGGCCTGGGAATTTAGGAATGGCCTTAACTTCTTATTAAAAAACGCGAGAAATACCGGAAAGCATTCTCCCGAGCCAAAAATTACCTGAAATTGTGCTGCCGCTTCTCCGCCCGGCTTTGCCAACAGCGTGTTGAGCATCGGCGTCGTCTGAAACGGAAAATATAGGTTTTGGGCGGAAAAATTCAACGGGAATTTTCTTAAATAGCTACGTCCGTTCTGCCAAACCACTTTTCGACGAAAATCTACAAAAGCCGAGGCTAAAAAGGAAGACGAAAAGCTATGGTGTTTCTATCGGCTTCTCCATGTCCATAAAACGTTCTGATATACCGCTTCATACCTTTGGACTAGCTAAATTCGAATAGGGCGGAAATCTGCGCATTGATGGCTCCATGGCAATCGAAATACGATTTTACTTCAGCAAAATTGAAGCAAAATTTAGTTATTTTTAGTTTTCTTAATAAAAAAACGCCGTTTTGCTGTACGAAACCATACGCCATACGCTTTGTCGTCATGTGTATTGCAACGGAACCCTATTATTTTAGAAAATCCTTGTCCGAAACAGTACTATCCACGAAATTACGGAATTTGGATCGTAACGGTAGCCTGGAAAAAGTAATTTTTTATATCAAATTCATGATTTTTACAAGTTTTTGCTAAATTCTAGATATCCTTTCGGTTTATTGAATTCACATATTTTTATATCCTAACCTGTGATGGGGGAGGGTTGCTGCCCTCTGATTCTGACATTTTTGCTGGTTCCGCTTCACTTTCAGTTCCTTCTTCGCCGATTCATCGATATTCTAACCCTTCTGATCCTGAAAATAGCCACTTTTTTGCAGGATTGACGCCGGAAGGAAGGTCAAGGAAAACATAGAATATGCAACGCCGAACCCCATCCGCCTGGCCACCCGAAAAACACGCAATAAAAAAGGACGGACCCGCGCCGAAAGTAGGTCATTTTCGGGGGATCGCCGCGTTTACACTAGGTAAATTTTTGAATGGGCATTGAGTTTAAACTGCGTAATCAGGGTGAATGTTATGGGATTTTTGTATTTCTTGGGTTTAACATCGTAAAAAAGTACAGGAAACCCTGGAAAGTAAGCCTAGGATTTTACAACCGCAAAAATAAGCTGAATATGGCCGAAAAATATTGCGCGGAATTTTTTAAACTAGATAGGTAAAAAACCTGTAAGATAAAGCCAGTCGTGTAGAAACGGGGCTTCTAGTAGCCAGTAAAAGATGAAAATAATTTTTCAAGCCTCATCTTCTACCAGAAAATAAAATTATTCTTGAGATCCCTGTAAAATAGTCTTGAAATCCACAGCGAATACTTTCTAAAGAAAATAACGACGAATTCTTGGCGAAAACATCAAGATTATGGCCCTGAATGTCCGTAAGAAAAGTGCGCGCCAATATTTTGAATGGTATCAAAAGGGCTAGTCTCAAAAAAGACCCAATTTCCCAAAAACTTTTGGTACGCTTCCGGCCCCCCGTATTTTCCTACCATAATTCGACAAACCAAAACAATAAACAGAACAGGTGCAAAAATAGCAGCGCCCGGGCCGCAAATTAATCCCACGCCGATCAGACGAGAAAGGAAAAAACGGAAAGAAAGAGGGAGAGGGCCACTGGGCCCCCCCAGGGGGAAAGAAATAAGCCGAAAAAAGGAGCGAGAATACGCGTTGACCACCGGCTGGGCACACCGGCTAATTGTTTTTCGGGAGAAGGAGGAGAAGGAGCCGGAAAGGGCCAAATCGAGAGGGCACTCGCCGCGCAATCCTCATTATGTCCCCCGGGGCGGCAAAAGGCTTCACCTTCATTTTTCTGCCCCTCGGCTTGGGAAACTGGGCGCCGCTGACCAACACATTTTGCCAATGGACCCCGGGCAAGAAGCGGCGCCAGGAAAAAACACACGAGGTTGCACACACATACATACATACACACAAGAGCACAGAGAATTTGTGATTCAAGATTGGCGGGCGCAGTCTGTCTGTCTGTGTGTATGTATGTATGTATGTGTGTCTGTGTGTCCGGGATAAAAAGCGGGAAGCGAAGGGGGGTGAGGAGGACGGAGCGAGGGGGCTCGGCCTGGGTCAGAGCCCCCCTCGAGCGCACACCGGCGCCGCCCAACCACCGCCGACGTTCAATTATACCCCCCGTCCCCGGGGCTTGGGTCCCCCCAAAGAGAGAGAAGAGAAGCCCGTGGAGTACAAGCAAGAGCTGAACACCACCGTATCGTCGGCACGCCACACGATCGGCCCCTGCGAGTCGGAGCCACAGCCCCTCGCACCACACACACATCTCTCGCACGCCCATACCCAATTGGCCACGCCCACTTATCGATCGGGCCCCCGATTTTGGTTCTAGGCCCCTGGGGCACCCCTATGGTGCCCTGATCCAACGGAAACTCTTGCTTTCAACCCTGCCAAACACCCGGGACTCGAAATGGTCACCATCTTCCTCAATAACAGATTTGTAGTCGCCGGGCATCTCATTATTGCCGCGGCGGCGGGGCGCGACTGGTCGCGCGGCGTCGCGTTGCGTGGGGTGCGGGCGGTGTGCGCTAGCAGCCGGGGAGGACAGGCAGCACGCGGGGTGGAACCGACGAGGCAAACAACCCCCCTGGCTTATCGTGCTCTCTGGGCGCTCCGGAATCGGCGTGCTCTCTCGGGGGTTTCTCTCGGCGCTCTCTCAAATCGCCGTGCTAATCTGAAATCTCTAGCCGGCCTAGGCTCCCCCAATTTATTGCCCGCCTCGCCGTCTGCGTCTCCTAATGCTATTGGCCGGGGCGCGTAATTTTGCGAGCCATTCCTGAATTTTTGGGGGGAATGGTCACTCCGAGGGGGGCACCTTTCGACTGGTCACTCCACGGGGAGCACCAGGTGTTTTTCGGGAGCTTGAATGCAAAGTCGGCTTCATCTGCTTGGAAATCGGGGGCTTGAGAGTGTGAGGTGTGCATGTGGATCGATGAATCGAGAGAGACGCAGAGGATGGGGTGAGGGGCTGGCCGAGCACACAGCCATACACACAGCAAGACACACAGACGGACAGAGCCCTGCTCTGGCCTGGCTTTGCGATGGGCAAGAAGGGGATGGAAAGAATGAGGGGACCGTTCGTTCGGATGTGCGAGGAGCTGGAAGGGCAGGTGGATGGGGTGACAGACGGATGAAATGGCAGAGGAGCTGAGGGGGGGGGGATGGATACTGACCAACAAGACCGCCAGAGGGTTGACCCCGCCAATTGAAGGCTTCAGAATTGAGAATTGTAAACGGTATGCTACACAATATACTAAAAAGGAACGTTCTGTAAGCGGCTTAATATCTAGTAGAGGGCTATATACTCTATATTTTAAGGACTAAATAATTACACATTTTAAAATTACTTCCAGATTAATAGCAATTTGGAGGAGTACGTTAGCTATTATTATTCCATAATTTAAGTTTACGACCTTGTCCAGTTTTCCCCCTTTGAAAACACAGGGTCACGGGGACAGTTTCTAAACATAAAAATGCCCAATTTTTTCAGAATTTTCCTTTAATTTGGCAAGGATTTCAATAACATAACCTTACTTGCGGGGTTTTAGCAGATTTTTCAACAGTTTGAACGTGATTAGCCGGAACCGGAAAATATAAGCCTACTACTTTAGTGAAGGCTAGCATTTAGTGAAAAAGCGTTCAGTATGTCACCCAGGATAAATTTTTTGCTGCTAGTTTACCGCGTTGGAGTCGTTTTTCAATTAGTATCGACCTACTTGTACAAAATCGCCTATAAAAAGTCGAATTCTATTTCGGGTACCCCATCCAAGAGCCCTGCTACCGTTGGTAGTACGGTAGCCCGTTTTCGATTTAGCACTTCCGAATTCCCTCCTCACCCTAGCCGTAGTTTGGCGCCTAGCGTAGCCCAGTAAGAGGCTGGTGAAACTCATGTTGACCAAAATCTCGTGCTTCTAAAGGCTGTTTCGAAGCGTTTCCACAAATTATTGGCCCTTATAAAAGCCCTGAAAAGGTGCTTTTTTTGTTTTTATGGTATTTTCCTAATTTGACAATTCCAGATGACCGAGCCACCGTCCTTCATGCGAAACCTGCCCTCCCACAACCCGGAGAACTTCAGCAAAATGAAAGAGACAGAAGAGGTCGGTGTTTGCGGTGTTATTTTGTAAATTCTGATTTTAGACGACAGCTCGACCGCCGATCGCCTGGCACGTGCCGACCCATGATGGTGAGCAGACGATCAAGCACGACCGGATCCCGTTCCTGCTGAAGTATTTGGAGCAGCATTTCTCGATTAATGTGGGTGATGTTTTCTTTACCGAAATAGACATGCTTGAAGCTAATAAAACACGGATTATAAGATTTTTCATTGTTGAGATTACTTTTCCACTCCTTTTCGATGGTTTTTTTCACTAAATCGGGTGTGTTTAGGACTATAAAGTAGCTGCCGTTTTTCTGGCTTTGAGAAGACGCTTGAATTTGATAGAAAAGCGGACAAAAACGAAAGATCTCTCGATTACAGTCGTTGCAGCTTTTCCAGGCGTTTGCTGACCGGGCCAAAATGTCTAAAGTCTATTATTTCCTTTTAGAAACCAGACAAGCCCTCCACATCCACCTCCACCGCCACCGCACTCGCGGCCATCAAGCGAAATAACGCCGGTTCGGACACGGACGCGGATCGCCGGAAATCGAGACGTGTCGCCGACGATTAGTGCAAAATCTGTTTCAAAAAAGGTACATGTAGTTTTTCCTTTTTTTGTTCTGTAAATTCTGGCCCTAGTCGCTGTATTGTTCTTACACTTCTAAGGATACCCTAAATCTCAGAAAAGTCCGTATTTATAAGCAACCCTCTGCCGTTTGCACATATAACTTCTGGTTTTGTACGGGTGTGTACATCGTTTGTAATAAATACTACTTTATCTGAGGTGTCGATGGTAAATATTGCACGGATATTCGCGATATATTTAGAACTTCCTTCTGCGACGGCGGCCGTACTGCGACTGGTCGTCGTGGGCGACAGGGGCCGGGGGCCTGCAATTAATTTATTTAATTAATTGTGACTTTTTTTCAGTTGATGTTCAAGTTTTACTTACTTGTCATAGCTCGGCTCATCGTATCCGCTTCCAGCGTGAGCAGCCGGTGGCTTGTCGTAACCGGCATCCTCGGTCTTGGCGTGGTGCTTAGGGGCAGGAGGTCTAAATTTTTCTATCGTTTTTTTTATAGTTTCTAATAATAAATCGGATTTAGGCATTTGAGGCTAGAAACTTTTATTATATTTATAGTATAGACGTCTCGGAGGATTTTTAAGACTCACTGGTCGTATCCGCCTTCTCCGCCGCTGGTTCCGGCGTGTTTGCCAGGTCTAAAAAGGTGTTTTTGGCCGCCCTATCAGAATCTCTAAAAATCAGAATCTCTAAAAATCAGAATCTCTAAAAATCAGAATCTCTAAAAATCAGAATCTCTAAATTTCGGAATCTCTAAATTTCGGAATCTCTAAATTTCGGAATCTCTAAATTTCGGAATCTCTAAATTCCGGAAATATTAGCAGATTCCTGGAAGCAAAACTATTATGTATCCAAATTTTTCAGATACAAATACAAGATTTCCGATAAAACGAAAAGTAGACCCCCTCTAACTCGACGGAGAAGCGTCGGATCGGGATGATAGTCATACCATTCGAAAGCCCTTGAAACAACGAGTTGATAAACACCTTTTTCAGAGGGTCTACTTTTCGTTTTATCGGAAATCTTGTCTTTGTATCTGAAAAATTTGGATACATAATAGTTTTGCTTCCAGGAATCTGCTAATATTTCCGGAATTTAGAGATTCCGAAATTTAGAGATTCCGAAATTTAGAGATTCCGAAATTTAGAGATTCCGAAATTTAGAGATTCCGAAATTTAGAGATTCTGATTTTTAGAGATTCTGAAAGTTCACCGTGTTTTTGATTGCGCAGACGTTTTTGTTTTTCTATTTGATATAATCCATTTAAAATTTCTGCTTCATCGTTTTCTTTTTCTTTATCTTTCCTCGTTTTTCGTATGTTTTGAAAAGCAAAAAGTTTGACGCGGGCGGGGGTCGAACCCGGGTAATTTTATTCGTAAATCAAAAGCGCTATCCACTATGCCATTCGTTTGTGACAATTAAGCCTAGTCTCTAGGGTTAAGAACTGTCTTTATTCCATTTTTTATTTCCTCTATCTGTTTTAACGTAAAATTCTTACAGTTCGATTTTTCCTGCATAATCTCTGCTAGCATGCTCGATCAAAACTACGTTTAGATAGATTTTTAACGTTTTTTAACCTACCCAGCATTCTCATCGTTGTAACTTCCGGCATTCGACGGGCGATGGTTCTTCTTGCTTCCCTTCGAACGGCTAGCAGGCGGGGGTGGGGGAGGTGTACGGTATCCGCCAGCTGGAGGAGCCGGGCCAGGGCGGCCAGCGCCAACGCGCTTCGGTGGCCTAAAGGAATATTTAGTAGCTGGGTACATAGGTGTCTTTTGTAGTCTTAGTTCTAGAATTTATACACTTACAAGTCCTTGTCGTCAAAGATGGGGGTGTCTCCGCGATCGGGGCAGTTACAGTACTCTCCATCCTCTCCTGGGGCTCCGGGCTTTCCGGGGTATCCGACCGGTCCGGTATTTCCGGGCAGACCGGGTAGACCCTCCATTCCCTTCGGGCCCTCTTCTCCGGGGTTTCCGTCCTGAAAGCGGGGTTTTTCGTGCGCAAATTTTCTCTGCTAGCTTGTGTTTTCCGCAACGATCCCTGCTAGCTTGCCCTAGCCTTAAAAAGACTACTGCTAGCCTACCTTTTCCGCAGTTTTCCTTCTCACCGAATTTTGCTAAAAATCTCTGCTAGATTGCCCTGATTCCCAAAAGGTTTCTGCTGGATTACCATGTATTATCAGTTTCCTCAAAGAATCTCTGCTAGCGTGTCCGTCCGACTCCTCAAAGAATCTCTGCTAGCCTGCCCTCCGATTCCTCAAAGAATCTCTGCTAGCCTCCCTTCCGACTCCTCAAAGAATCCCTGCTAGCCTGCCCTCCGATTCCTCAAAGAATCTCTGCTAGCCTGCCTTCCGATTCCTCAAAGAATCCCTGCTAGCCTGCCCTCCGATTCCTCAAAGAATCCCTGCTAGCCTGCCTTCCGATTCCTCAAAGAATCTCTGCTAGCCTGCCTTCCAATTCCCCAAAATCTACGCTATGTACTGACCTTTCCATCATCTCCATCCTTTCCGGGTTCTCCACAAGGTCCCTGTAGTCCAGCCCTTCCAGGCAGTCCCATCTCTCCCTTTCCGGTCAAAGCATCCTGTCCGGGTCCACCGGGCATTCCGGTCTGTCCATCCAATCCGGGTGTTCCCTGATCTCCAACGGGTCCGGGCATTCCGGGTCTTCCGGCATTTCCGGGTTGTCCTCGTTTGCCGGGGTTTCCTTCCTTTCCGGGTGGTCCCTCGCATCCCTCCTTTCCAGGTGGGCCGGGTGGTCCTACCGGGCACTGAAAAAAGCATTGTTTTGAAGCGGTTTTTAACTTAAAAATTATAACTTCTTGTGATTAACATGTGGCGCAGTGGCTAGAGCGTCTGTCTCTCGATCTAGGGGTCAAGGGTTCGAAACCGACGGTGTAAGACTTTTTGCTTTTTTTTAAACACATTTTAAGCTATTCCTTAGCGAAAACAGGTTTTATTAAGTCGAAGCTATGGTCTAGTGGCTAGAGCGTCGCTTTTTCAGTCTGAGGGTTCGAATCCCTCCGGTGCCAAATTTTTTTGCTCTTGAGTTTTTGAGCCGTTTTTTGACTTCCTACTTCCCCAAACGCTCTCTGCTAGCCTGCCCCACCCTGCACTTACCACTTCGCAGGTCGTGGGAGCGGGCTTGTAGAGAAGTGGCTGGATGATGCCGGGTTTTCCGGACTTTCCGGGAGGTCCATCCTTTCCGATGTCTCCAGGGGGTCCGGAGATGCCGGGGGGTCCAGGAGGGCCGGGTGGGCAGTGACGGGCAGAGACGCCGCAAGCTGAAACCGGGTACGGTATGGGTACTGTAGCGGAATTCCGCAAGAATTTTTTGCTTTGTTCATTTTTGGCGCTTCCCGATCCCTTTAAAGTGTTACAAATTGGCCCTGCTAGCCTGCGCTGCGGCTAAATAATGTTTAAACAGTTTAACAGTCCTTTAGCGTGTAAAATACCGAAAAATATGGTGCTTTGGCATTATCGGGGAGGGGGCTTTTTCTCCTGTCCATTTGTCCTAATATAAAGAAAATCAATGTTTATAAACTGTTTTACCCTATTCCTTAACGGAAAAACGTTACAAATTATGATTTTTCACAGAATACAAAAATTTCGACCAATTTTTAAATTTTTAGAATTGTTTAGATAGTTTTGCCGCTTGGAATCTACCAAAATTTTAGGAAGAACACGATTAAGACACGTACTATTGCGTTACTAGGCATTTCTGAAGCTATAGAAAAGATTCGCCTGCGCCACCCCCCGCCAAAGAAACGTAAACAGTCTCTAAACGTACTGCAGCTATCGTCGCCTCCAGCGGCCCTCTTCAGGCGACGTCCAACGAGTCCGGCAAGTGATGGGGCCTGCGAATTTCCGCCGTTGGCCGTGCCCATTTGCATGGCAAAGATTTCGGTCCAAGTGTCTTCGGAGACCGTCTAAAATGAGATATTTTTCCGCAAATGGCCTCCGCAACGTACCCTAAATTCACCCATGCTGCTCATAAAATCGTCGTACATATCATTAATGTCGCGACTGATGATCATGCCCGCCACGAGGCACGAGACGACGACAAAAGTGGCCCCGGCCACCGAGGCACACACCGATGCCTTATCCATCGTGGACTACGGTAGAATCACTGCAAAATACGGGGTTAGAACTGATTTCTGACCGCTTAGAAGAAAAAACGCAAAAATGACGATTTCTGACTTCACAAGCCGTTTAGAGAGGCCAGGAAGTGACAGAATCGACCCCTTCAGCCAGCTAGGTCTCGACCGCTACTTGGCGCTTAAAATGACGCTCGAAAATTGAGTTTTATAGCGTTTTTAACCTCTTGCGAAGCTTTCGCTGCTTAGTTGATAATCGGGCGAATTTGGTGCGTTGCTGGCTTCACAAGACCTTTAAAGGAGCCAGAAAGCCTCAGAATTGACCCTTTCCGTCGACTAGGCCTTGACAGCTACCTGGCGCGCCAAATGACGTTTGAAAACGCATTTTTCTGACCGTTTTCCGCGTATGACAAAGCTGTCGAGACCTAGTAAATAGGAGAGGTCGATTCTCCAGCGTTTCTGGCTTGATTAACCCTTTAACGCGGCGATGAGGATGCTAGAATCGACACTTTCCGTCGACTAGGTCTCGACAGCTTCGTTATGGTGCAATTGGCGCTTGAAATGCTGGAAATGAGCTACAGTCACTGCGTCAGAAGTATTTAAGCGTGCTGCGTAGCTGTCGATACCTAGTTGATGATTGGGTTCGATTTTGGTCAATTTATAGCTGTAAAAGGCCTCTAAAGAGGCGTGGAGTCCCAGAACCTAATCTTTTTGGTCCACTGGGCCTCGACAGTAACGCTAGACGCCAAAAATGCAGGAAAATTGGTTTTTATGGAGTATTTTGGAGCGCCGCGTCGCTAGCAACACCTAGTCAACGCAGGGAGCCAACTTGAAAGGATCAGTGAAGCGAAAAAGTACGGAATCAAGGATCGTACTTTAAACCTAGCAACGACTTTTAGAACAACGCTCGAAAACGGGCCGCTGTCAGATCAACGAATTTCCAAGGGGAGCCCGACCCCCTTTATAGCACGAGCCCACTTTTTGCCGCGCGCCCTCCCAGCCGCGCCCACACGGATCGAACAAAAAGTGGCCAAGCGGTTCGTTGAAGGCAGAAGCTCCCCTTCTGGATGGACGACTGGATGGAGGAGGGCAAAAAATGGACAGCAGCCTTAAGACAGGTTCTCACTCTCTCTCTCTCTCTCTCTCTCGCTCTCTCTCCCTCTCTCTCTAATGATTGAGAGAACCCTACAGGGCATATCGGCAGCTCATCCCTCCCCGAAAAAAGCGGCCCGGTCGGCACCCAGTGAATTCCGACGAGAAGCTGACAGGTTGATGACTAGAGAGGAATTGGAGGGCACGCTAGCAGAGATTATTTCAGGAATCGGAGGGAGGGCTAGCAGAGATTCTTTAGGTTGGACAGGCCGTATTGCACAATTCTACCGTAACTCTCAGTGTAGTGTAACTCTCTAGCGAACTGTCTATTTCTCTCACTCCCCCTCTCTTTCACCACCTCATCAAGTCTCAACCCCGTCGAGGTCATCACTGTTTACCGGCAGTTCCTTTTGCGGTGCCCCCCTGCGTCGCCTGAGGGTATATTTGCGTGAGATAACAAATATATGGACACACAACTAGGAGAAAGACAGAAAGGGAGCGAGCGAGAGCGGGAGAGAGAGAGAGAGAGAGAGAGCGAGATAGAGAGAGAGGGAACCGTTCTTGGTCCCTGTGTGTCTATGATGACAGCCTGCATATCGACGGCCACGTAAGGTTATATTAAAAAGGAATGTGAGCCTTCGGGGGCACTGTGAGGCTTTCGGCAAAAGCAGAAAAAAGAAGCTCGTACGGTCCTCAAAAATCTCTGCTAGCCTGCCCTCCAATTATGCAAGATATGCCCCAAATTGATAGGCTGTAGAAGGCCGAGTTCCAAAATCGTCTCTGCTAGCCTGCCCAATCACCAACTTCCCCAAAGAACCCTGCCAGCCTGCACTCGGCCCCTCGATTGCCTATCCGGTCGTGTCTCCTTGCATAATCTCTTGGCCAACTGTTGCTATCCCTCGCTCTCGGTCTCTCTCTCTCTCTCTCTCTCTCTCTCTCTCTCTTCTCTCTAGTGGGCGTGTCCCCATTTGACCGTAGATGCCCTCAGAGAGGTCCCATCCAGCCGAGAGGTCAATGCGCCCTTCGGCTATCGGCAGCCATGTCCCAGCCGCCTGTAGCGAACCCTTTTCCATTGTTTGGGTTAGTTTTTGGAATTTTAAGGGGGTGGTGACACCTTCTGGACTGTCCTAAAGGATCTCTGCTAGCCTGCAGGTCAAGCCAGGAGGATCTCTTAAAATTTCCCTAGTCACTGTAATTTTAGGATGTCCTCCCTGCTGTCATCCCAGTTGATGCCGGTGATGATGAGGTCATTTCCGCTACAGGGATTCCCCTATATGCCTACGATGCCGGTAAGGAATGGGATTTCTCAAAGAATCACCGCTAGTTCGCTCGATTCCTCAAAGATCTCAGCCAACCCCGAACCCTAATTTTTTCAGAAGCTGGCTGACTCGGCCACTTCTTCAATGCCCCCAGAAGCCCTCTTCGCATCTTTGACAAATCTCGTAAATGGCAGAGTCTCACCCGAGACTGTCAATAGTACATTGAGGGAAAGAGATCGACTAAAGGGACCGGGAAGTGAACATCATCAAATACTAGAACATGGACCCACGTCAAAGCGGATCAAGGTGGAAACGGATGAGGATGGCGAGGGAGGGCCAAGTCCGCATAGCACCTCTACACACTCACCATCACAGGTAGGGGGAATTTCCTAAAGAATCTCTGCTAGCCTGCCCTCCGATTCCTCAAAGAATCTCTGCTAGCCTGCCCTCCAATTCCACAAAGAATCTATGCTAGCTATCCCTAACTTCTGCAAAAACAAGCCAACTTCAGGAATCCACCCCTCAACCATCACCGGCCCGGAAGACCGCCCGCCCAATCCCTCTCGAGAGCAAGGTGAGCTTTATTCATTTTTTTTTGCTCTCTCTCTCTCTCTCTCTCTCTCTCTCTCTCTCTTTCTCGTATCCATCTCCTTTTTTACAGTCTCGCCGCTGTAATATTGGCCCCTAGCGCTGCGCGACCTCCCCAATTTTTTGGCCCAACCCCGCAACTGTCCACAGGTGCCCCCCGGAAGCCCTTTGTAGAGCCCCAGGGCACCGGATTATGTTACAAAAAATTGGGGGTGATCTACGGGATTAGAGGGAGGGTGAGAAGGGGAGGGCAGCCTAGCAGAGATTCTTTGAGGAATCGGCGGGCAGGCTAGCAGAGATTCTTTAAGGAATCGGAGGGCAGGCTAGCAGAGATTCTTTGAGGAATCGGCGGGCAGGCTAGCAGAGATTCTTTGAGGAATCGGAGGGCAGGCTAGCAGAGATTTTTAGGGAAACGTTGGCTACTTTTCCTGATTGCCCAAATCTCCTCTGGTAGCCTGCCCCCTTCCCAAAGTTGTTTTGAGCGTCTCGCAGATGGGTGCGGCCACAAAAATTTGCATGCCTTCTGTACAGAATAGGGCCGTTGACCCGAGAGGGGCCTTTGTCTGGACTCTCTTTCTCTAATCCCCTCTCATGCTTTCTCGCTCTCTCTCTCTCTCGCTGTCTCTCTCGCTCTCTCTCCCACCAGAAGGCGGCTGGAAGGACGGTGCCCACCAGTTGCCCCCCTTTTATACAACAGCCCCCCGTAAATAATTATATTCTGTGGATGGGGGGTTGGGCCACTGCTGGGCCCTAATCTCCTTCAAAAAAGGCCATCCCGGGTCACCGGCTAATTGCCGTAACCTCGATAGCTGGGTCTCTCTCTCTCTCTCTCTGCTCTCTCTCTCTCTCTCTCCCGCAATACCGACACACCATTTGAAAAGCCAAGGCAATTGAATGGCAATAAGGGTCCTAAATAATCTCTGCTAGCCTGCCAACTAACTCAAAGGAGGGGCTAATCGATTACGCAATGTATTCCAGGATGATGCCTACTTTGAAAGGCGCCGTAAAAATAACGACGCCGCGAAGCGGTCCCGTGATTTGAGGAGGAGGAAGGAAGAAGCCGTGGCGGCCCGAGCGGCAACTTTAGAGCAAGACAATCGGCAGCTAAGGCAGCAGGTAGAGGAATGACACTTTTTCCACGCTTGGGATACCTTTAAACCGCTTGGGATACCGGTACTGTGCTGTTAGCAGGGGGGGTCTCGGCATCCCCACAAAACAAATTGTTTTGAGCTTTTAGTAATGTATCCATTTAGGAATTTGGTGATTTTTGAATACTAAAAAGCACAAAAACAATGTAAACCCTCAAAATCGATCTTTTTGACGATTTTCATACATTTTTTTTGGCAAAAATCAAGATTTTCCTAGGATTATAATATTTTGACGAACTTTCTTACGAAGTGTAAAAATATAGATACGCCAAAATTAGCCTCCCCCGCTAATAGCCCAGTCCCTAAAACCCTAGTAAAATACCGAAAAATGCCTAGTTTTTTTGGGGTAGTCGAGTGGGTAGTGAATTTGCTCGACAAGCGGAGGCTCGAGGGTTCGAATCCTGCGGGCAAAAAAAACGCTAATTTTTTTTTGAAAGTTAACATAAAGTAAATTCTATTATTAATTTTTTTTTAGATAAGTCAGCTCAAAACCGAGATGACAAACCTGCAGCTCGTCCTCTTTGGCCAGGGCCCAACCGCTTCCGCCCAACCATAAATGTACAAAATCCCCCAAAAATTACCCCGATTTATTGATTTTTATTTGTTTTGCTTTATGTGTGTTTTCCGTGTGCGCCGAGTCGTTCTAATCAAGCCGTTATTTTTGATGCTTTCTATGTGCAGCATTTCACAAATATTTTATGTATTAATTTCTACCTTTTTGCAATACTTTGGTAACGTTTTTAGCAACAAATACGTTTAATGACTATTTATTAACTTTAATATACCAATTTCCCAAATTTTTTCAGTACTGGACTGTTAGCGGGGGGTTTCGCTGGGGTGAACTAATTTTTGTTTTTCCTATACCTAGCTTGTCTAATTAAATAGTGTATTTCTATGATGTTTTTAGTAGTTTTCGATTGCAAGAAAGTCCCAAAAAATCCGCTTACATTTTTAAAATTTCGAAAATGTTACCTTTTTGGTGATTTTTCACTCATTTTTTTACCAAAAAAGTCAAATTTCGAAAAGAACTTTTATATATAAAACTTTTACAGATCTTTTTTTATGAACTTTTTATATCTAAAAATTGCGCAAAGTGCTAAAAAAGCTTTATATTGTGGTATATAGGATCGTACGGGATTATTGGGAAAAGCTAGTTTTTCCCTGGCCAATCCCCCCCCCCGCTAACACTCCAGTACCATTTTGTCCTGCAGGTCAACATGTGCAATGTTTTTGTTTTACTTTATTGATTACTTTACCATTTCTACCTCTTCTTTGGTCAAATTTCAAAGCCCTGGCGACCGTCCAGTGCCCCGAATTACATGTGCTCATCGGATGGGTTGGGAGGGCGATTTCGCAGCCCGCCCACCCCGCCGGCCCTTCCTATATGTCATCATTTTGCGAATCCAATCTTACCCAACCCCCTCGAGTTATTATTTCCCCCAAAAGTTACCACCTCACCATCGACTATCGATTCGTACGCTCAATACCGGGTCTTCAAATCATCCAATAAATGTCTCCACATCGAAATTAGTGCTAATTTGTGACGAAAATCAGAAGCGGAATAGTTATTATCAGGGTAAAAATGGGTCTTATAACTTTCCTAAGAATAAAAATAAACTTTTATTCTAGCATTTTTCCACGTTGTTAACTAAAAATCCGATAAAAACTATCAAAAATGAACGAATATCTATTCGCAAAACTTTCTAAATATGTTTTTATAACACCGTGGCCTTCGCAAAAATTGCTGTTGGCCAGAAAACCATAAAATAAACTATAGCTTTATTACCAGTAATTCTCCAAAATTTACATCGGCTAAGATAAGGAAACTGATTTTTTTAACCACACTAATGAAGCGCACCGAAAATTACAAAAATTAAATAGGGGTCGAATCTTATGACAATCACCGACACGGTGTCCAAAAGCCCATCTGCTGACAATCTGCCCAGATGGCCGACAGCCCGACCATTGTTCCGAATCCCCCACTATCCCCGCAAAAAGCCGCCCTTCCTGCATAATTGGCGACGGTCCCAGCCGCCAAAAGGTCCCACCCAGCGCGGAGTCAGCGCGTGTCCAAAAAGAGGCTAGAAGGGAGCAAAAGTCGGTACTTATCAAGTTGGGGGGGGGCACTTTGGGTACTTATTAGGGGACACTTTTTTATCGCTTTTTCGAGTCTATCTGGGGTAGTTTTTTACGCTGAGTGCATAGAGAGTAGCTTCAGCATGCGAAACCGTCGGGTTTATCCAGAAAAACCGCGTAAAAATTTATTAATAAAAAGTGTACTTATGCAAACTTTGAGGCTTGCCGCATTGTCAGGCAAGGCGGGCCGTCGCTTTGGATGGGCTGCCGCTCCACCACCACTCTTTCGAAATCGGGGCGCCTGGCCGCTTCGCGCGCCTCGGGCGCCCCGATTTCGAAACCCTGTACGAGCTCGCACCCATCCGAAGCGACTAGGCCCCGGGTGGCACGAAGCCTTATTTTTAGGTTAATACCGGGTGTCTGCATCTCTAAATCTTAACAAAGGTTTAGATAAGTGTATTTGACTACTCTGATTTTGTTATATTCGAAACCAGCACAAAAAACTAGCCTAGAAAGACTCAAAAAATCGAAAACCAAAGTGGCCCCCCCCCAACTTGATAAGTACCCAAAAGTCTATAATTTCAGGCGATTAACAAATTTCAGCCCTCAAAAATCCTCTAGGATCTTTCAAAAAACGCCAAACTAGCCGGTTATCATAGAATGTAACTTTGAGAATTTATATACTCTAGCAGATACGTATCAATACTCTACCAAATTCCAAAACAAATTTTTAAAAACCACGTTCCTGAGGCAAAGTTTAACTTTTGAAATTCAAAACAGCAAGCATTGTCAAAATGCGAAAAGTCGACGAGATATTTCATGCTACGTGCCGCTTCTATTGACGGAATCTCGCGTAGGCGTTGCCAACCAATCTGGCTACGGTAGGGCGCCTCCTGGAATTCTTCAGCGCCATTTCCTTTTTTGCCATTTTTCACCGCTTTGATCGGTTTTTGCTCTTTACCGTATTCTCTGCCTTCTTTTTCACCGTGTTTTTGCTCCATTTCCTCTCAATATTTCTAATTTTTCAGACTCTCGAGTCTCTGCTACTAAACGAAGATGGCGCAAGTACCAACGTAAGTTTCATGTTCCCATTACTAACCTTGCCCTTCTTTCCAGTGCTCAAAATGAAAGCGAAAAGAAGAACGAGAAGCTGGCCACGGCCATCCTCAACTCGAAGGCCAAGCCCAACCGTCTGCTCGTCGATCAGAGCGAGAAGGATGACAACTCGGTGATCTCCCTCTCCCAGGCCAAGATGGACGAGCTGGGCCTTTTCCGCGGCGATACGGTGATGCTCAAGGGCAAGAAGCGGAGGGAGACTGTCTGCATTGTGCTTGCCGATGATGGCTGCCCTAACGACAAGGTGCGCATGAACCGCGTCGTCCGCCACAATCTGCGAGTTCGCCTCGGCGATGTTGTCAGGTATCTTTATTTTCTTTTGCCAATAGTTCCCGTTTAGCGTTGCCGCTGCACCAAGTGTCGGATACGGCAAGCGCGTTCACGTGCTGCCTATTGATGACACAATCGAGGGATTGACCGGCAACCTGTTCGAAGTTTTCTTGAAGCCCTACTTCGTTGAGTCCTACCGTCCGCTTCACAAGGGCGACATTTTCACCGTCAATGCAGCTATGCGCAACGTCGAATTCAAGGTAATAACGGGATACATAACTCATTACTTGCTTAGGTCATCGAAACGGATCCGGCGCCTGCGTGCATTGTCGCTCCGGACACCGTCATCCACTACGAAGGCGACGCTATCAAGCGGGAGGATGAAGAGGAGAACATGAACGATGTCGGCTACGATGATATCGGAGGCGTATGGAAAATACAAAGATTTCACTTCTTTCTTTTTTAGGCTCGCAAGCAGCTCGCGCAGATCAAGGAGATGGTCGAGCTGCCGCTCCGTCACCCGCAGCTCTTCAAGGCTATTGGCATCAAGCCACCTCGTGGAATCCTCCTTTACGGACCTCCTGGCACGGGCAAGACGTTGATCGCTCGAGCTGTGGCCAACGAGACCGGCGCCTTTTTCTTCCTGATCAACGGTATTGTTGTTGAAGTCTAGTAGTGTGTCAATTTTAGGCCCGGAGATCATGTCCAAGCTTGCTGGCGAGTCCGAGTCCAACCTTCGCAAGGCCTTCGAGGAGTGCGAGAAGAACAGCCCGGCTATCCTCTTCATCGATGAAATCGACGCCATCGCCCCCAAGCGTGAGAAGACTCACGGCGAGGTATTTTACATTGATACGCGTCTTTTAAGCTTTTATTTTCTAGGTCGAGCGCCGCATCGTGTCGCAGCTGCTCACACTTATGGACGGCCTCAAGCAGCGCGCCCATGTCGTCGTCATCGCCGCCACCAACCGTCCCAATTCCATCGACGGTGCTCTGCGTCGTTTCGGACGTTTCGATCGCGAGATCGACATCGGAATCCCTGATGCTGTCGGCCGTCTTGAGGTCCTGCGCATCCACACCAAGAACATGAAGCTGAACGACGATGTTGATTTGGAGCAGGTACAGCTTGGTGGTTTTGCTTATAAAATACTCTTTAGGTCGCCAATGAATGCCACGGCTACGTCGGTGCCGATCTTGCATCTCTGTGCTCTGAGGCTGCCCTTCAGCAGATCCGCGAGAAGATGGAGCTTATCGACTTGGAGGATGATACGATCGATGCTGAGGTCTTGAACAGCCTGGCTGTGACGATGGAGAACTTCCGGGTTTGTTTTTCTGATTTTTTTTTGGACGATTACGTTTTTTTAGTTCGCCATGGGCAAATCTTCGCCGTCGGCTTTGCGTGAGACGGTCGTCGAGACTCCCAACACCACCTGGGCTGACATCGGTGGCCTTCAGAACGTGAAGCAAGAGCTCCAAGAACTCGTCCAGTACCCCGTCGAGCACCCGGAGAAGTACCTGAAGTTCGGCATGCAGCCGTCGCGTGGTGTGCTGTTCTACGGACCTCCTGGATGCGGAAAGACCCTACTCGCTAAGGCCATCGCCAATGAGTGCCAAGCTAATTTCATTTCGATCAAGGTACGGAGAAAATTCACACTCATTCCTGATCTTTAGGGACCCGAGCTTCTTACCATGTGGTTTGGAGAGTCTGAGGCGAATGTGCGTGACGTGTTCGATAAGGCCCGTGCCGCTGCTCCCTGCGTTCTCTTCTTCGACGAACTCGACTCGGTCGCCAAGGCTCGCGGTGGATCTGTTGGAGATGGAGGAGGTATGGATATCTTGCTGTTCTTCTAGAGTTCTTCTTAGGTGCGGCTGATCGTGTCATCAACCAGATCCTGACCGAGATGGATGGTATGAACAGCAAGAAGAACGTCTTTATCATCGGAGCTACCAATCGTCCGGACATCATCGACTCCGCTGTCCTTCGCCCTGGCCGTCTCGACCAGCTGATCTACATCCCGCTGCCGGATGAGGCTTCGCGAATCCAGATCTTCAAGGCTAACCTGCGCAAGACGCCTGTTGCTCCCGACATCGACATGACTGTGCTGGCAAGGACGACCGTCGGCTTCTCCGGAGCCGATATCACCGAGATCTGCCAAAGGCATTTATTTTAGAAGTTTAGTTTGAATTTTTCCATTCTAGGGCATGCAAGCTGGCCATCCGTGAGTCGATTGAGAAGGACATCCGCCAGGAAAGGGATCGCCAGGAGCGTCGTGAAAAGGGCGAAGAGCTGATGGACGAGGAGCCGGTTGACCCTGTCCCCGAGATCACCCGCGCCCACTTCGAGGAAGCCATGAAGTTCGCCCGACGCTCCGTCACCGACAACGACATTAGGAAGTGCGTTTTTTTGTTGTATCGGATTATATAGTGATGTTTTCTGTAGCGTCGAAAACGTTCCTTTCTTTTCAGATACGAAATGTTCGCCCAAACGCTCCAGCAGCAGCGCGGATTCGGCAACAACTTCAAGTTCCCCGGCGAGCAGCAGCAGCAGCAGCAGGCCGCGGCCCCGACCGTGCCTGCCGGTGGCGGTGGAAACGACGATGAGGATCTCTACAACTAATTGCCCGCATGCCGCTCCTGTTTGTTTTCCTTTCCTCGTTTATTTTTTGGGCTTTCAGGTATCGCGGAAAATGAATATGTATGCATTTTGTAATGCCTTTTTCCGGTGAACTTGTGATGAAAATTGGACCCGTGAGTAATGTTTGCAAAAATAAATGATTCTTTTATACTGCACATATTTTGTTTGATTCGCAAACGGGAGATCATCAAATCTATTCAACATCAAAGTCGACGCCCTTGTATCGGCGCTTCTTGGCATCCGGTGAATCTTCGATCTGAAAATAAGCTAATGAGAAACCGCGCGTTTTTGGCGAACTGACCTTCTCGACGGCGGCCCTGGTTGGTGCTAATTCGAGTTGTGCTGAAGCGTATTGCTGGGGGATTTCCTCTGGTTCCTGATCTTTCGGCACCAACACCTGCCCCTCAATAGCCGGCCGTGTAGGGTCCTGGAAATGTAGTGCTAATACCTAGTTACCAAAACGAAAATGTGTTCAATTTTAACTTCGCAATTGGTTTTGCCTACCACATCCAGGCCATTCTGCTGCCCCTGCTCGCCTTCTGTTTCCTCGCCATTGTGAAGGCCAAGCTTCGTCTTCACCCAGTCTAGACTTCGGTGTAGGAATCCTTTTGTCTAAAACAATCTCGATCCCTTGTTTTCGGTTTATTATCTGGAGTTATTGGCTTGTTGGCGCTAATTTACACCAGTCCTGGAAATCCACTCACTTTCGGGTCCCACTTGCATGCCTCGGCCGATTCACAGCAGCAGAAACGCATATTTGTCCCACCGATGGCCGCTTCTTGGCATCCAGATTCGGCAAACTGGGGTGATGGCGTTTTCAAAAAAATAAGATAGACTTACCGTGATCGTACAAAGCGTATTGTGCACGCAACCGCCAGAGCGAAGAATGCTCGTGTTGTCGTGCATCACTTGCATTTGATAGCAGGATTGGCCTAAACGAATAGTGGGAGATAGCAATTAGAAGAAGCTACGAACCTTCACGGCAAGTGATCTTCTCAGACCCCAGGTTGTATCCGCCAACCAGGGTATAATCTTAAAAAAGGTTAAAAATCAGATAGATACACCTACCATAGCATTCAATGCTAGCCCGCGCCGCCACCGCCAAACAACACGCAAAAACGATTTGGGAAATCATGGTTGAAGAAACTGGGCCCTACCGGCCGGTTGGCCCTTCGCTTATAAGCCCCACGGGGTGGCAGATCCACAAAAACATGCACGGAACAGCCGCGCCGTCCAAAGAAACGCTCTGGGCCACACAAAACAATGACTCATCCTCGAGCGGATTTCACTAGGGAATATTCAGTCAAAAACCGCGGTATCTGCTCGGAGATGAGTCATCAACATCCGAAAGAAGCTCAAGGAGTTCGAGAAGCTGACCACTCACCTTCACCTGGACGGTTGAAAAAACGTATTTTGAGCAGCAAGGTGTTTGAGCAACAGCTTTCAGAACATAAAAAGTCGTTTTCTCAGCTGTATGGTCCTGGTTCCTCGACCTGTAAGTTTTTTATACAATAGAATGTTTAATTCTTTCGGTGGCAACATCAAACTTTGCTAACAATCCGTTTATTATCCGACAGGCCCTCAACACATAAAAACAGTTTAACAATTCAACGGAACGCAGTAAACTAGTAAAAACACGGCAAATCTGCCCGAAGCCAACGGGGGCAAAATACACGTATTGGCGGTCTGAGATCAAAAAGTGGTTGAAGTCCCCGTTAGTCAATTCTTCAATCGTCCTCGTCGGAGAGCACGATCACCGCTCGCGTCTTCTTCTCACGCGGTACATCGTCCTGCAAAGGGATTTATAAAACAGAAAAAGATACTTTATTCTTTAGAAAGTACGGTTTTGTGAGTTTAGAGCGAAAAAAACCTATTTAAAAACCAGCGGGGGAGGAGCCGCTTCGCGACTCTCCCCCGCTGGACCCCGTCTAGGCCCTATGAATCGAGCGCCCTTCCACATAAAGTTACCCTGAACAAAGAAAAACGCATCTCCCATGCAAATCTCTTTGTCTTGACATGCGGCGCAAGCTTAAATTGCTAGTGTTGTTATTAGGCCTGCGGCGTATGCTTGATCGGCCAGACCCTTATCCAGCGGCCCCAGCTTGAGCGGTTTGCTTCGAGCGAAAGCCTGCGGCGCAAGTTTGAGCGGTTACCTCCTTTTAGCCTGCGGCGCTAGCTTCAATGGTTGGCTTTATTCGTTAGCCTGCGGCGCTAGCTTGAGCGGCTAGCTTCGTTCTAAAGCCTGCGGCGCTAGCTTGAGCGGCTGGCTTCGTTCCAAAGCCTGCGGCGCTAGCTTGAGCGGCTGGCTTCGTTCCAAAGCCTGCGGCGCTAGCTTGAGCGGCTAGCTTCGTTCTAAAGCCTGCGGCGCTAGCTTGAGCGGCTAGCTTCGTTCTAAAGCCTGCGGCGCTAGCTTGAGCGGCTAGCTTCGTTCTAAAGCCTGCGGCGCTAGCTTGAGCGGCTAGCTTCGTTCTAAAGCCTGCGGCGCTAGCTTGAGCGGCTGGCTTCGTTCCAAAGCCTGCGGCGCTAGCTTGAGCGGCTAGCTTCGTTCTAAAGCCTGCGGCGCTAGCTTGAGCGGCTGGCTTCGTTCCAAAGCCTGCGGCGCTAGCTTGAGCGGTTGGCTTCGTTCCAAAGCCTGCGGCGCTAGCTTGAGCGGCTAGCTTCGTTCTAAAGCCTGCGGCGCTAGCTTGAGCGGCTGGCTTCGTTCCAAAGCCTGCGGCGCTAGCTTGAGCGGTTGGCTTCGTTCCAAAGCCTGCGGCGCTAGCTTGAGCGGCTAGCTTCGTTCTAAAGCCTGCGGCGCTAGCTTGAGCGGCTGGCTTCGTTCCAAAGCCTGCGGCGCTAGCTTGAGCGGCTAGCTTCGTTCTAAAGCCTGCGGCTTGAGCGGCTAGCTTCGTTCTAAAGCTTGCGGCGCTAGCTTGAGCGGCTAGCTTCGTTCTAAAGCCTGCGGCGCTAGCTTGAGCGGCTAGCTTCGTTCTAAAGCCTGCGGCGCTAGCTTGAGCGGCTAGCTTCGTTCTAAAGCCTGCGGCGCTAGCTTGAGCGGCTAGCTTCGTTCTAAAGCCTGCGGCGCTAGCTTGAGCGGCTAGCTTCGTTCTAAAGCCTGCGGCGCTAGCTTGAGCGGCTAGCTTCGTTCTAAAGCTTGCGGCGCTAGCTTGAGCGGCTAGCTTCGTTCTAAAGCCTGCGGCGCTAGCTTGAGCGGCTGGCTTCGTTCCAAAGCCTGCGGCGCTAGCTTGAGCGGCTAGCTTCGTTCTAAAGCCTGCGGCGCTAGCTTGAGCGGCTGGCTTCGTTCCAAAGCCTGCGGCGCTAGCTTGAGCGGCTAGCTTCGTTCTAAAGCCTGCGGCGCTAGCTTGAGCGGCTAGCTTCGTTCTAACGCCTGCGGCGCTAGCTTGAGCGGCTAGCTTCGTTCTAAAGCTTGCGGCGCTAGCTTGAGCGGCTAGCTTCGTTCTAAAGCCTGCGGCGCTAGCTTGAGCGGCTAGCTTTGTTCTAAAGCCTGCGGCGCTAGCTTGAGCGGCTAGCTTTGTTCTAAAGCCTGCGTCGTTCCAAACTCTGCGGCGCTAGCTTAAGCCGTTAGCTTGATTCCTTGGCCTGCGGCGCATGCTTGAGCGGGTAGCTTCATTCTATAGGCTGCGGCTTGAGTGGCGAACTTGATAATAACGTCCCTATACGGAAATCTACGGAAACACACTTTCCGAGCAAAAAGCAAAACAACCACGATCTCCGAGGATCGAACCTCCGATGGTTAGATTAACACGACTAAGCGCTAACCACTACGCCATGTAATGCTTGGAAGCACGTGCCAAAAACCCCTTTTGAGCATTGCCCGGGGCAGGGGAAGGAAAGGCATCGAGAGGCAGATCCAAAGAGACGACCAAACTCGCGAGTGCAACTGGCAAGAATGAGGAAATTTGTATTTTTTCACATTATGCAAATTAGTCCTCCCGGACCCCCAAAAATCAATAAAACCGGCTTTAACTTTGTAAACTTGTATTTTATCGGGATTCTGAAAACGCCATCGGAAAGAGGAGGGTCGATTCCCCCGGGTGACGGAGAATTGGGGCATTTTATGCACGGGAAGGCCCTCAAATCGGGCCTCGAAAGTGACATCCACACACACACACACACAAAGATACGCGACCAAATTATATAAGGTGGGATCTCGCTAAATTTGGCAACTTTCCAAAAAAGTTACATTATCGGTGGCGGGGCGCTTGTTCGACGTATTGGCCTTCCTCGGCTGCCGCGTCGCCCGCTGTGGCGCCTCGTTCTCCTTGCGAAGGGCGACTACGGCCGCGAGGAGGTCACTGTACTTCTCGCGCAGCTTGATCACCTACAAAATGCAAGTTTCAAAAAGAAAGGAAATGTCTACCTCGCGGTCCTTCGATGAAGTGACGATATCGAACGCCTCGCGCATGACCGTTTGCGAGAGGAACTTTTCGACCTGTAAAAAACTAAATTTTCAGGCCAAGAAAATATACTACCGATCGATTCTCCTTGTAGAGACAGTGATGGGAGAGTTGCTGGAGGTGGAAAAGGACCTAAATGGGCGCTTTTGAAATAATTTAAAAACATTTAAAAGACATTTTGTTTACATTTTACAACGTTTAAAAATGTCGCACCTGTTCCATCGACAATTTCTGTCCCTTCTGCGTTTTGTCCTTGCTTGTCGCCATTAGGAAATCATTTGCCTAAAGAAAGCAGGTGATTCAAGGAGTCCAGCCAAACCTCTTGCTGCTTCTTGAAGATGGTCTTTGTCAAGTCAGCCACTTTCAACGATATGTCCTCATTGTTGATGAGCGCCTATATAAGGTTAGAGCAGAAAAGACAACAACAAATACCTTCAGTAGATTAACACCAAAATCATCAGGGGTGTCGCAGGGACGTAGGTAGAACGACCGGATGGCGCTCAGCGTTGGCTCTCTAAATATTTGCAGCGTATTTCAGATAGCATTAAACGCAGATAGATTTTAGAACAGACCTTTCAATACGCTTGGCAATCAGCAGCACGTTGAAGGCGGCCTCCGGGTGCTCGACGCCGTTGATCTTGGAGAAGAGCTGCGTGCACCAATCGATCGACACATCTTGGGCATGGACTGAAAGGAAACATCTACCCGAAAAAGTAGATGTTACCCAGTTTCCAAAAAGTACACTGCGCGTACACTTCCCACGTTAACGTCTCGACGACAATCTTCGGGAACGTCTCCTTCTTGAAGAGCGTCAGATTTTCGCGAGTGATCTCAAGTGAAAAATTTATACAAAGGATTTCAGAATTACTTACCTCACCACTCAACATCCAAACGTCATCTGGGTTGGACAGCTTGCAAACGGCCAGCAGGACTTTTGGAGTAATCTTCTAAAATTGGAAGGCAATAAGTGCAAATTAAAAGGCTATGATAAATTGATGAAAATCAAGTATTTCGAGCGAAAAACTTACATCCTTCATCCTTGACAACACAAACGGCAATAGGTACGAATATAGTCGACCATCCGCCAACGCGCATTGCTGAAAAGCGGATGGAAAAGGAATTCCGAGGAACATACCGTCATGTCATCCTCCAGAATTTCGTCTTCGGAAAAGCCACAGACATCGGCCACCTCGTTGTAGACACCCATTTGCTCAGGGACGTCAGTGGCCTGAAGCAAGTTATGCTTACAAAATTATAGGCTTACATCTTTCGTCGAACTTTCGAACTTTAGGAAGAAGAGCAGTAAGAATCCAAGGGCGTCACTATTATCGCGTAGCATTCCCAGCAATTGGATGATGATATTGCTGAAAGATCAATCGATAAAGCCGAACAACAGCAAATTACCGATGATTCGGATCCTCGTGCGTGCCCTGGGTGACGTTGCGGAAGAAGACGTAGATCGGGGCGTTGAAGCACTCCTCCAGGTTCTCCTGCGTCGGATTGGCCGGCAGAATCGAGTCGGACCACGACTGGAAAAAGGGGTTGTTTTGTATTTCAACCAGAAGCTCACCACCAATGGATGGAAGATCCAATGCAGCGCCTGTGCCATAACTTCCAGCTGATCTTGTTCATTTGCGACGGAATCCTAAACAAATGAAGTTGAATTAACAACTAGGGCGTATTTACTGTGGTCAAAATCGTCATGATCAAGTCCTGAACTTCTTCCGAGCGCCTCGAGTCTGTGACGGCCGGGTCATCAAAGAGATCCCTAGAAACCCAATCGCTTCGAAAATAAAACGTTACCGTAGCTGGATGACAGGCTGACGAATCTCCTCGACCAACAGGTTGAGCACCTCCGCTAGCCGCTCTTTGGCCTCTTTCTTCGCGGCCACCAGGTCGATCTCGCAGACGTTTCGCTCCGTCACTTTCCGTTCGGCGGTCAACGCCTTCGCGGCGGCAGGGACGGGGCTTCGCCGGGACTTTTTCTCCAATGGCTTCACTTCCTCCTCTTCCTGGTCGGTTACTTTTGAGGCGCCGGAAGCGCTCCTAGAAATAAGAAGAATTTGTACTTAGAAAAGACAACGCACGACGGAGATTGAGCCGGGGACAGTGAATGTTCTTTCGGCTCTCTGGTAACGGGCGGTGCAACCGACGTATTGGGTGGCGTCACAGAAGGGGTCGACACGAAATCCTAAACCAAATTTCTTTTTCAGATCCAAGATTCTAGGTACCTTGAAGAAAGCGCGGAGTTGCTCTCGGTAAGAACGGTCGACACGGACGCTATCCAATACGCTCGAGATGACTCTGAAAATACGAAATGAAAATTGACAATTTTCACGCACGATGATCCCTGTGTATCTCGGACGGCGGCCAAAGCGCTAAACACAGCGCTTTCAATCCTCTGCGGTGTCCCGGGCGTCAGTTCCGTCGCGCTCTAAAAACGGTAGAAAAATCGGCACAGTAATCAGAAAACCGTTTTTCGTCAGAAAAAAGCCTATCTGGTGCAGAATAAGTTTTTTTAAAAAAATACGGAAAAGCTAAAAACAATCAGAAAACCTACCTTGAACAAAAATTCCAGGCATGAATTGCCGATGGAGATCACCGGGGAGCTGGACGTGCCGAAGCAATGCCGCACAAAGTTCCAGGGGAGTAGCAGGCCATTGAGCACGAGGGTCTAAGGAATTCGTTAATACGTAGACAAATAGGTACCGGCAATTTTCCTGGCTGCGGCGGAGGGGTGAAGCACATCCAATCCCACCACAGGCACGTCTTCATCCATTGCATTTCCGGGGTATTTGGCTAAAAAATAAATTTTTGGCGCTACGACGTTCTAAACCTCGACATGGAGAAGGAGATGTTGCAGGATGCTAATCTTCGGCTCCATAAAGAAAAACGTTTCGTTGTGCTCCATCTAAAGCTATTTTACATCTAAAAAGCAGACAAATTCTACCTGCTGATGGTGCAACAAGTAGCGAATCATCTCCCCGCGCAAAACGCCCGGGTCAGCTTGGTGTCGGAGATACTAAAGGGATTTTAAAGCTGTACAAATAGCCCTACATCATTTTCCAGGAGTTTCCAGTGGAAATCCATTTTGTCGCCGCGTAGGCGGAACATGAAATTCATCTTTTTGTCCAACTGGGAGCTGAGGCGGTTATGGGCCAGGCAGGGCGGCCGGGAGCGCATTTGATCAAATCCTGGAAAAATGATGTTAAAGCTGATCTTAGAAAAACGCACCTCCGGCGTGCCCTTTGTTGATAATCTCCTCGGCGATGCGTAGAACCTCTTTGTTCTAAATAATTACGTATTCGGCGAGCTAATCGCAAAATCACACGGAATTTGCATTTGCGACAATTTTTAGTTTGAGGAAAAAATTAGAGCATGAGCACGAGCGACAAAAATCTGAACTGACAAACACTACCTTTGTGCCTCTGAGGAGTAACAGCAGAAAATCGCGACCGAGAATAGCAATTTCAGCCACACGACTCGCCACCAGCCACGACAGCAATTCGCCAACTATCTGCCGATGGTTCGCAATTGGTTGGTGCTAAAAGCGCGTAAAAACCTAGGAAATGGGCAAAAACCTCAGCGGCCGAGGTCACGGGCAGAATCTCGGACACCATCCGGGCGCACGTATGGGCCACGTAGGCCAGGAAGTGATTATAACCCTAAAAACAGACTTGCCGCACCTAACTAATCACTGACCCTTGACGACGTTGGCTTTAGCTCCTGGAGATATGGCTTATTTGCAAGTAGCATGCTGAAGAATTGGTCGGCAAGGTGAATCCTAAACTCCAGATTTTCCAAAATCACGAAATGATTGACCAAACCTTTCTTCAGTTTTCGACACGTCGTTGATCGCCCGTAAAAAAGCCGCCATCGCGTGGTCCAGCTAAAAAACAAAGGGTTTGAAAAATAAAAACTTTCCTCACCCCAGTTACATCAATTTTGATGCATTCTTGGAAGATGTAGACGAACTGCGGGCGGATGTGTGGCAACATCTACAAAAGGTTAGCACATGGATTTTTGCTAGGTACCTTGTGGAAACATTCATCGGTAACAAGGGTCAACGCCCAGTACGTCATCTGCCATGGATCGGTGCGTCGAGAAGTGGCCACAGCGCGAAGAGTGTTCATGTACTTAAAAATGAGTTTTTGTTATCTTTTAAGCGGTTCTACCTTAGGGCCATGTTGAGGCTCCGTCAGCAAGGCATAGATGAGTCCGTAATGTATTCGTTCATATTCCGACTTTTCGAGCCCCAGAATAGCGTCGTTGGCTTCCTAGAAAATCCGTATTTCGGATTAGCTAAAGCCTGACCAACCTTTTCCGAAAGCCTTCCCAGCTTCTCAATAAAGAACTGGTAGCAGTCGCTGGTGAATTTGTCGGTCCCATCCTGCTCGTCGATGGCGTGGTGCTCTATCAGTCGCTGAAATTGGAAATAATTAAAATAAAGTTTTTCATTTAAGAACACAAGTTACAGAGGTAAAATTCCTTACAGATTTCGGCCTCGGCCGCACGTGAGGCGCAGCTTGTGAATGTCGTGGCTCCTCATTCATCAGAGCCTTAAAACCTTGTTCTAGACAACCCTATTTGATGGTAAGCAGAACAACAAATACGTGGAAAACCACAAATAAATCATTCCTCGGCAATAACCCGGTGCAAACCCGCAATAACCTTAATCCGAAAAATTTATCTGTATAACTACCAAACGAAAACCAACAAAACCTATTAGTACACAAAAAACAGTCACTGAATCAAAGATATGGCTTGATATCTTCCAGACGATCAAATGTTCGGCGGCCGCCACGCTTGAACTTCAACTTGGAATCGCTCAAGTACTCTCGCTGCGCGGCCACATCCTTCCGGTCGCGCTCCTTCAGGGCCTCCTTCTCCGCCCAAAGCTTTTGCATCATATGCGCGTCCGCATCGAGTTCGGGGACCTAAAAAATACTTAAAATTATCATGGGCTTAAAAATACCTCGTATTCTTTCTGACCAGCTGTTGGAGGCTGATAATGTTCTCGCGCGGCTTTCTCATACGTGAATCCCATGAAGGAAGTGATCGTGCGCTTCGGCGGATCAACTCCTTTTCCAGTTTCGAGCTGGTAGTAGGCGTCGTTCCGCTCGTGGACCACTTCCTCAATCCCCTTCATCGTCGTCGCAACATTGTCGAGCCGTTCAGGGTTCGGGAAGGCTTTCGCGTAGTTTTGATAGGACTTTTGCATAGTGAGTAGCATATTCCGTTCTTTTAGGCATATGTACCTGAAAAAGCCATCAAATAGGACAAACTTCTCCCACCACAATTTATGTAAATCCTCGTTGCTCTTGCGTCGCAGTTCATCACTGCTCCACGCGCGTCCGGGTCGTAGCTTTGGGCGTAGTTCAGTTTTTCCAAAATTTTGGGGATCGTCGAAGAATTGGTTGAGGACGGCGTTTAATGCAGGGGCGGATCTGGAGAACGGGCGCTGCTGCGAGGTGCCCGGTGACAGTCGGAGTAGCGCTCTTGGCAGCATCTGAAAAAAAACCATTGAAAAGGATGTTAAAATTCTTTTTTTTAAAGGAATATTGAGGAAGAAAGTGAAAAGGAAAAAAAAATAGGAAAATCGCTTATGCCAGCAAATACTCCCAACCCTGGCGGCGTAGTTTGTAGCGGTACGTTCTTTCCCCCGCGCTCTCTCTCTCTCTCTCCCTCTCTCTCTCTCTCTTCACAAAAGCAAATCCCGGATAGTTTTAGCTTTGTAGCGTTGGAAAAATGATATGATTTCAAAATGCAAGGTTAGTGGTTCTAGAGTAAATTTTCGAAGTTCCAATCACAGAAAATCACGAGACCAGGATGAAAAATTGTTGTTTCTCGTGTTGTAACAAAAAAACAGCAGGCAAATATCCTTTATTAAACGAAGCAGACAATGGACAATACTACACCCGAATTGGTCGTTAGGACAGCTTGAATTTGATTGAATTCACACAACGCAGACAGCAACAAGTTTAAGAAATTGTCTTGAGCATCTCGGCCGCCTCCTCGGCGTACATCTCGTCGGCGCCGTCGTTCGGCTCCACCTCGCTAATCTACAAATTCCAATTATCGCAATACTATTACAAAAATACAAAAAATTTATCGCTTCTTACCTGCTGGAGGAAGTCGCAGGCTTTCTCACGATCGCCGAGTTCGCGGTAGCACTTGGCGATGAGCAACAGGTTGTCGATGGCCGTCGGCTCTTTCTCGTGGGCTTTCAGGAGTTCGGTGAGCGCGAGCTCCATGCTCGCCTCGGGCAGCTCGCCCAGGGACGCCGTCAGTTTGCTAAAAAATGTGGAATTTTGGGTGTGGATGTTGAATATTGGGGCGAACCGCTCCATGAAGTTGAGGGTGGTGAGTCGGTGGAGGAAGCGGCCTTTCATGTGCAGCAGCACGTGGTCGTTTGGGGTGTGCGAGAGGGCCGAATTCAGGTAAGACTGAAAAAAGGAGCTTTTTGGTGCTTGTTATAACGAAATATAAACCGTTTTTATGTAAATTTTTCACTGTTTTTAGTTATAAAAAGCTCATAAAAATAAATTATAAAAGTAATTTATAAGTGTTCATTTTGTACGATTTTGAGGGTTAGAAAGTTTTTCCCAGATGTTTTTGGTAATATCCTAGCGGTCAAAAGCTACTAAAATTTGCTATTGACAGCGAGTTTAAAAAAAAATAAAATACCCCCGTTAAAGGAGTTTAGCGCGTAATTTGGCATACCAAAAAATTATGGGCGAGCACCGGCTTCTCGATCATCGACCCGAGCTCGGCAAGGGTGCCGGAGAGCTTGGCGCACTGCTTGAGCACGTCGACGTCGTCGGGGTGCAGCTCGTAGGAGCGCTCGACGGCGCGCAGGGCTAGAACAAGAAGTGTTGATCTGACGCATTTGACTTACCGCGCTTGATGAGGGCGATGCGAGAGGGCGGCGAGCAGGCGAGGAACTGCTCGTAGGCGGCCTCAGCGAGTTCGAGCGAGAATTTGACCCAGCCGTACGCGCCGAGCTCCTTCTCGAGGGCGGCAAACTTGGCACTCTCCTCTTCGGGTGGCATCTCGGCGAGGAAGTCGTCGAACAGCGGGTCGATGCGCGAGTATTCACACGAGGCTACGGTGTGCACCTGGAATTAGGTTTTGGAAAAACTGGATCAACGAAATTTCAAACCTCGGTGGGGCACTCGGACGTGTTGAGCATTTCGGGCGAATGGAGCGAGTTGTGATGAATTAAAAACTGCCAAAAGTATGGCGGAAATTTTGGGCCGCCAACTTCCGGAATGCCATAACAATTTTATGCAAATTTTTGCGGTGAGAGCCAAGTTTTTCCTCGATTTCGCGCGGGCCCAATAATAAAAAGCAGAAGCTCTTCTTCTAGTATTTTACGCCTTTTAAATATATAAAAAAGTTAAAAATCTCAGAAGTTTTGATTCTAGAGTCTTTTGGTCGAATATAAACAAAAAAATGTAAATGAAATCGAATTTTTCTGGTTTTAGCATTACAACATTCCGGTTTTTCAAGCGTTTTTATGGTTTTGTACGTATTGGCACCAATTACTGAAAATACTACTGAAACCCAGCACATTTTCGCACCGGACAAAGATAAATAGACGACCGCCCCCCCCCCGCTAAAAGAGCAGCACCTAATATCCATTTCATAGCAGCACCGTATGCCTTTATTCGACGAACAGAAAAACGAGAAAAATGCGCTGGGTGAGAATACGGTTGGTTGTTGGGGGACAGGGAGCAGCGGGCGGTAGCTGCTCAAGGCTCAACCCCGCTCGCGTTCGGTCTGCGGGGCCGACGGGGTGGTGGCCGGCTGAAAAAGAGTGTATTTTCGGCGCTGAACTCCCCCCTGTTAGCAGGGGGGGAGTGTATAAAGCGGTAGAACCTGAACGTTTAATAGTGATTTTTATAGTGATTTTAGCAGTATTTGATTACGAAAATCACAAAAATGTAAAAAGGGAAAAATCTAAAAATTTCGGTAATTTTATAACTTCAGGCATACTTAATACTGAAATACTTAAAAACGGCGTGAAGCTCAATAAATAGCGTTTATTGCATTATTAGGACCCGGCGGAGCGTTTTGACCAAAATTCGCGAAAACCAAAACCTCGCCACCGGCGGCCGCCTGGGCCTGGGCGCGGCACTGCTGGCGCTGCAGGCGGGCCTTCGCGTTGCGGCACGCGGTCGCGTACGCCTTCTGGACCCCGGGCGCGCTGCCGGCGTCCTTGTTGCCGTAGCTGATCTGAAAAAGCGAGAGTTCGTCAAGTTCTATAGCCAGCAAAAAGCGTACCTCGGTGCGGATCTCGCGTCGAATGCGCAGATAATCGTGCCAATCCCATCCCTTGGCCTCCAGCTCTTTCTAAAAAAGTGCAATTTAATTTTTTCTGAACAACGTCGATAGGTGTTACCCGTAGCTGATCATCCTTCAGTTTGTCTTGGTATTTGATGGAGAAGTAGAAGGCCAGCGCGGCCATCGCGGCCGCCAGAATGATCCACGGCAAAGAGTATTGGAGCACTTGAAATTTTAGACCATTTGCTTTTAATTTTTACGCATTTGAAAGTTCTTCTTTTTACAGAATTGTCCAAAAAGCGTTTAAATTTGTTCGAAAAAAATTTTCCGAATTCGATCTGTCCACCCACCCCTTGTCACGGCGCCGTTGTGGGACATTGACTGAAAGAAGAAAAACATTACAGTTTGCGGAAAAAATTACTTACCCCAAAGTCACGTTCCATATACGTGGTGCGTCTCGTGCAGTAGTGCTAGAAGCATAAAAATGTCCATTCAATGGAATAAAGAATAAAATAAGGCTCTTGTTCGTTTTCGGGGGGCTGACGTCTTTTTATAGCATTTTCCACCGCTTTCAGGTAGAGAAAACTCAAGAAAAATTCTAAATGTTTGAAATTTTTTCATTTTTGCTCAAAAATGATCAATAGTGGCCAAAACTTCCGAATGTTCAATTGTTAAAATGTTTTATAACTTTCTAACAATCCAAAATACATCGTAAAAATACACCATTTATTATTAACAGGTAGAATAATAAAACAAAGAATAATTTCCACCCCCATCTGAAAGATTTTTACATTTTTTCACGCTTTGTATCTAAAAACGGCGTAAAATGCTACTAAAATGGGTTCCATTTGATCATAGGGTGCTCAGGGAAACGTAGAAAGAGTTAGCCCCCCGCTAACGCATGAGCACCAAAAAGTGATACCGTTTCCGGCCTCTCATCCATCTTGCACACGTTGACGGTCACACAACGATCGCTGCGCCAGCGGTTCGTGCGTGGCGCCTAAATTTGCAACAAAAAAGCGTTAAAAATGTACAAAACTTTACCGGTCTTCCGTCGTCTCCACATTTCGGCCGGGGCACGCATTCGTAGACGGTGCGCATCGACGCGTTGCCGCGAATCAGCGAGTCCGCATCCGAGCACCACGGCCAGCAGTAGCCAAGCTAACGACGAAATTTTTTTCTTCATTTTCTCGCAAAAACCTTTCGATCGCGATCGGCCCATTCCGGTACGCCGGTTGAATTATCTAAAAGGAATATCGAAAGTTCGACAATTGCGGCCCGAAATTATTTTTTAAACGAATTAGGGATTTTTTGTCGTTTTTAAGTAGTTTATTACTCCATAAAACACGCAGCTAAAAACACGTATTTTATAAAATTAGGATCGGAGCTTCTCGTTCAAAAAATTGGTACTGTACTGTTAGCGGGGGGCTTACTTTTGTCCCCTCGCCCCGTAGGATTCTATTAATGCAATATCACACGATTTATACAGCGTAAACGCGTTTTTTTCGATATAGAAAGCTCCTCAAAAATTTCGAAAATGTGATTTTTTTTTACAAAAAAAAAAACACAAAACTGACTAAAAGGGCAACTTTTTCAAAATGAATTCACTTCTTTGTCATCGGCCATCACTAAAAAACTGCTAAAAGTCCCTAGATTTTAAAATAAGTAAAACCCATGAGAGTAAAAAGTAAGTAAAATACCAGGGTTGAAAAGCCGCTTCGCGACTTTTCAACCCTGGCCGCATCTGATCGCATGATATACCTCACTTTGCATAATTCTTGGACTTCCGATGACAAAAATGAAAACCGCGCTCGCTAGCCCATTATATAGACTACCGGAACTTCCGGTGCATGCTAATTTTTTTTCCTAACAAAGAGGATCGCCGATTTCCCAAAAAAAAAATTAAATTTAATGTCGAAAATAGGCAGTTTCGATAAATCTGATCTGCGTGCAGTCATCTCAGGGCCATTACGCACCTAATGACGTATCGTACGTAGCCTAATACCCTTCCCCCCTTGAGATATCCTCCGGACAGAATGACGGAAGTTGCATGCAAAGTGGCACAGACACATACACACACAAACACTATTTTTTTTATATATAGTAGGATAGTAAAAATTTGACCCCTTTAGTTAAAAATTTAGCGCCGGAAGTGACGCGATACCCTCCAAACGCTACCGTCCAGCGTCTCACACGGCGGTACGGCCAGGCAGGCATTTGCGCCCCTGAAAATACATAATTTACGTTTACACACAGCAACTACGAACAGATAAACGTCTAGCGAGGTGCCGGGCGGGCAGGGCTTCTCGCAGAGGGTGTCGTCCCATTGGAACTGCTTGTTCATCGGCACCATGTATTTGCTTCTAAGAAAAAGTGAGTAGTGAGTGGTAAAAGCGAAAACTCACTTGTCCACCTTGCCGTCCTTGTCGCAGAGCGGGAGGAGGGCGCATGGCTAAAAAATTAGGGTTTTTTTTCGTATTTTAACAGACAAAATTTGAGAATCGAGCAAAATCTTTCAAAAATTCCGATTTTGGGCATTTTAGTCCGCACGAAAAATACTCTTAATTAAATTTCTAAGTTTTGTGCTCAGAAATTGTTAAAAAGAATATATAAAAACATCACTTCATTATATAAAAAGCTGCCCGGTGGAGAAATTCTGTTTCTTCAACATTTTAAAAACCCACTTTTACTCCAGGTCCGCTCGGCACGACATAGTGCGGCTTGAGGGAATCGCCGGGCGAGTAGATGCTCTCCCTCCACTGGTGTGGCTCACAATATTGTACTAGGCTACCGCGAACCACCGGCGGGGCACACCATTTGAATCTGAAAATTAGGGGAGTTTCGAGAAAACACATCATTACCGCTTTGCATCACCGCTGATGACAGACTGGGGCAATTTGAGTCTCTGCTCACAGCGTGGGAGCGCACAAGTGAGCAGCAGATCGTAGAAATCAGTTTCCTTGAGGGTAGAGGGGCCCATATCCTAAAAAGGTTCTGTTGTATTATCAGGGGGGGCGGATCGAGCAATGCGAGTTACGTAATCGTAAATGGTTTAGTAGTTTCAGTGAAATATAACTATAATCTAAGTGAAAAAATATCTATAAAACTTCCAAAATTATGAAATTTTGGGGTAAGGCCGACATTTTTTCTTTAAGTTTGGAAATACCCATTAACTTAATAGCAAGGGTTTTAATGGTATTTTTAGTAAGATTACGATACTTCACATAGAAAAACTATCCAAAATCTTTGATAAGTGTTCAAAAAGCCGACATTTTGATAAAGAACGGCTATATGTAATCGAAAAAGCTATTATTCGCTTTTAATCAAGCATGGTTTTTACCTTTTAGATAGTAGAAAAAGTTTAGAAGCACTTTCTTTCTGCTTTTTTGACAAAGCTTATCCTAATGATGCTACCCGAGTGCAGACTGAAGCCAGCGCTGGCAAGGCATCATCGTTGATGGGATATCGGTAAGGACCCTTGCCCGGTAAGCAGCTAAAATTACGGGTTTTGGTAGAAAATAGGCTTCTACTCGACGGTTTTCTTGTTTGCAGTTGTAGCGTCGGCCGGACATTGTACGGGGTTGATGTCGCATTGGGTAAAGTGGCCAGACATGCCTAGAAAAAAGGTTTAATAACAAAATATTGGGCCTACTGCTATTGAAGGTCTCCTGGAAGATCTTGTTGAAGGGGCAGTAGGATTTCATGGTGCAATCGCATTCCTTGCGATCCTGGAAATTGCGTTTTGCATCGAGGAATTCAAGTCGGCGCCTGACTTTTGCATCTCGGCTCCCCATTGGCCTACAGTGGTGTAAAGTATATCAAAACATTTGCCAGAGCAAGACGAACATTTTCGTATACTTTACAGACCTGTAGAACAACATAAAGCTGAGTTACAGAAGTAGGAAAGTTACATTTTTTTTTCTTTAAATCTTTCAGTTTGTTGCTATGCTTTCGCCCCCACAATATCAGACGTAGGTGGGGGGAAGAGACAGCTGTAGTCCTTTTCCAGGCACGCGGCTGCTGTTGGCTCGGGGGTGACTACTTGTGGGCTACTAGCGCTGGCGTTCACACCGTCAGCAGCAATTGGTGGCGCGGTGCTCGACGGAGGGATGCTGGGAGCAGCCTAAAGTTTTGAGTGTACATCCTCCGGTTCAGTAAGTCAACAACACACCAAGAAACCGAATACTTACTGAAGGAGCGGAAGATTCAGCAGGAGCGGCGGGCTGAGCCGGAGCCATTGGAGGAGCCGACGATAGACCGTGGGCGACATTGATGATTAGCAGAGGCAATAGCAGAAGCATCTTGAAAGAGCCAGGCGGAAAAGCAGTCAAGTGCACCATGTCCAAGGCGAAGTTTTGACCAAATCAAACGAATTTTGCGGGATCTTACACAGGAGGGATGCAAATCACCTAGATTACATAAACCCCAATCCTAATCCACAAAACACGCTCCTCAAATTGTAACATTTATTAGAATTACCGGAGACAACAAATTCAGAAAACAAGCATTATGTACAACAAAAAGCAATTGGGCCAAACTAACAACATAATAACATGTTTTCTTTTCCAATTAAGTTAAGGGGACTTCCTCGATCGTGGCCCTCATCTCCGGGGCGTCGCCGTAGCTGAGACCTTGGTCGGTGAGGCGCAGAAGCGGTGGCGGGGTCGGCAGCAGGCAATCTTTCTCCATAGACCGCACAAATTCGTGGTAACGTTCGTGGTTTGCCAAGTGGGTCATATCCCTGAATTGTCGGCAGCACATCTAAAATTTAAACTTGGATAAGGAGGTACCGAACTGTTAGCGGGGGGGGTAATTTTACTTTCGGCGTATACCTGCGAATAAAATAGAATCTAATTTTCTTGTCTTTTCCTTAATTTTTTATCGTTAGCAAATATTGAAGTCTCTCGAAATTCAGTATTTTTGGCCTTTTTTGTAATTTTTCTCGCATCTTTGAAAATCTGCGAAAATTTTATAAGCTTTGATAGGCTCCAGATAACTAAAAATCGTGCAAAAATTTTATGGAACGATCTATATTTCGTTATTGGGCCGTACGAGAGTGCTGGAGGGACAATTTGTCCCCGACAACAGCCCCATATCATTTTCGATACACAAAACTCACCCTGCAAAAGGGAATATTCTCTGCCAGCTTGTCCTGATGCAGCCTCCTGACGTGGTCCGCGCACTCGGCCAATGAGTGGAAGATCGCGATACAAAACGCGCAGTCGAAACGCTCGAACGGGATTGCTTTGCTCCGCACCTGCAGTTCATCTACAGTCAACCTCCGGATGCCGATCTTGCCTTCCATAATCTTGAACTAAAAGAACGACGGAGATGAAGGTTAAAACCATGAGAGCACCTTGATTTTGAGCTCCACTGCTGGGAAAAATTCGCCCTTCTTGATCGCCTCGATCCAGGAGTCAATGCTCAAGAAGGGTTTCCTATTCCTGGTATCCGCAGCGAATTTCGCGGCCTCCAAAGCTTCCTGTGTGTAGCGCACGACCAGAGCGTCGTCGGGTATGTTGGCATGATTCGTTGATCTGGCAAAAATATTATTACCAGAAAGTGTGAAGACCAACTTTGCCCTGTAGGGGCCCCAGAACTGCTCCACTTCGGCGCGAGTGTTGAGGTGCGTTTCCATGTGTTTCTTCAGGTTACCCTTCAGACGAGCTTCCTTGCCGCAAATTGGGCAAACGTGCGGGATGAACGGGCGATGGAGCGACCTAGCATCTGATTTCCGGTAAATCAGCTCCTACTTGTGCTCTAGCAAATTCGAAAGGAACCGGAAGCCCCGGTCGCAAATCTCGCAGACAAACGGCCGTTGCTGAGAATGGACCGCATAATGCTGGATGAGACCTGAGAAAAATCAAATTGCCGAGGAAGGATAACAAACCTCTTTCGCTTACAAAAATCTTGTCGCAGAGGTTACATTGTACAACGGAGGACGGTCTTCTTTTGCTTTTTGCCGCCTTGGCTGGCCGACTGGGCGTCGGGTCGCGTCTTATTGGGGGTGATTGGATCCCCGGATCGTCATACTCGTCAAAGTATTCTTCCATGCCTGAAAAAAACGAATTTTTCTTTCTTTTTGTATTTTTTTGAAATTTTTTTGAAACAAGCGAAACTTATCAACCCTGAAATTGAAATATTTTAGCGCTAGAATTTCAGCAGATTTTGAAAAAAGGGATCTGCGCAAATTGATGATCAACTCCTTTCAGCAACCTGTACACCCAACTGTCAGTTGTAACTTTCGGAATCTGTTTTTTATCTATAAAATTTATTAATTTTATTTAGTTTTCCCGTAGTTTTAATTATTTTTACCTACACTTTCAGGAAAATTCACGTTCCGGTTAGAAGGGCTGCTTTCGACACGAGGCTTTTATGGGCGCCTTCTGAATTTGACAGCTATCCAGGTCGGGAAAGCGCCATTCGGAATCCTTCCCAAATCCAAACCGAAGTCAAATGCTGTTTTTCTTGCTATTTTGTCTTCAGATAGCTTTCGTCATCACCGTTCCTATCAAGCTACAATCAGCGACGGTGGAGATAGACTGGAAAACACTGTATGAGTAAGTTCTTCGGGGGATTCAAGTTTCGGAGTTAGCGATGCGCTATCTTAAAGTAATTGAAACGCTTTATAATATGGTTTTTGTTTTTTATCCTGTAAATTAAATTATTGTGCCATAACCACTTTTAAGCGAGCAAGCAGTCCTCATCCACGTCGCGCTCGATAAGCCAAAGGCGCTCTCCTGGATTGGGATCGGGTTTTCCGATCATGGCCTTTACAACAATTCGGATCTTTGCGTTTTGGAGAGCAATGGGAACTTTTTTGTGAGTCATTTTATAAAACTTATATGCGATAACTTAGGATCATTACATCGACGACCGCCACTATTTACAAATGGATCTCAGCCAGGATTGTGAGCTCGTCGAGTTTACTGACCAGGTTTTTGTGGAATGCTCGTATAAATAAAACGGAGAAAACGTTTTAGGGTTTTGTCTTCAAGCGCCGTTTCTCTACGTGCGATCCCCGAGATTATTCAATCGAGGTAATCGGAAAAAGTGTTGAGATAACTGTCTTTGGCATAATGGCGGGACTGATTTTTCAAACTTTTTAAATATAAAAATAATGGAATTGTTTTTAAACTGTTTTTTTTACTGTTACTAAACCTGAAAGCTACAAATTTTTTCTTAAAAAACAGCAAAAATCTCGTGATTGACGCTAAACGTCGGCGATTTTTTGACCAAATTTCGAATTTTTAAACAGTTTTTAACGTTTTCGGACAGTTTTCTTTGTTGAAATAGAGTTACATGTTGCCAAAACTTATGAAAACATTCCTATTAAGTTGCTAGAGATTTCAAGGCTGATACAAAAGAAATTCGGCTCCCCCGATAATACGAAAGAACCTAAATTTTATTTTCCAGCAAGGCACCACCCAATTTCTGGTGGTCGCCTCGACATACGGTTTAGCCGAGGTGACTTCTTTGCTTGAGCCAGCGATCGAGAAAAATATTGGCTACGGTCAGGTATGTAAACTATCGGAAAATCTGAGACCCCCACCTCCAGATTATTTCTATGGAGCTGCCCGTGCCGGAGATTACCGACAACTCCGTGTCAACGTTTGAAATCACGGCTAAAAAGTTTGAGGTGAGAAAATTGAAATAAAAAATAAAAAATAAAATATTTCCGGTGCCCAGCGAAGAAACGACATATTGGTGTATTATTCAAAAGATGCCCGCCGAATTGCAGAGACAAAAACATCATGCTATAAGGGTCAGTTTGGGTTCGATTTCTTACGTGTTCTTTCGCATTATGGGGGCATCGAATTTTTCCTAATTATTAGTCCATAGACCTATTATAGCACACTAACTAACTACCTATTAGTCCATAGACCCAGTAAGGACCAGAAATTAAGCTTTTTAAAAGTAAAATTAAATTTAACGATCTTTCAAGTGGAAAACAGAATTTTTAGGCGAATTTTTGGTTGAAATATCTATGTTTTTGAATTGTTGATGAAAAGCTGTAGTTTTTAGGATTAAAATATTAAAAAAAGAGCTGAGAAACACTTAGACTATTTATATTAGAAAAAATCGATCGATAGAAAAGTTGTCGGCCCCGATAATGCGAAAGAACCTACGCGTTTTAATGAACTTTTAGCTCGAGCCGATAATCCAGGCCGGCAATGAGCATTTGGTGCATCATATGGAGGTAATATTAAATTGGAATACTGATAGATAGTATTTTTAAGATTTTCCATTGTCTCTCCCCGAAAACGGTCGATTTTACCGGGGAATGTCGCGACAAAAAACGGAGACCAGATTTTGCGAAATCTTGTAGTCAAGTGATTGCAGCGTGGGCAAAAGGCGCGGAGGTACTTTAAACGATACTTCAACTTGCAAGGCAGCTTTTCGTGTGTTTAGGCCATTGTCTACCCTCCGGAAACCGGGCTGCCAATGGGAGGGCCGGATACAGTCCCGTATATCATGGTCGAGATCCATTACAATAATGAACTCCGGACGGCCGGGGTTATCGATAGTTCCGGTTTTGCTTTTACCGTCACTTCCGAGTTGAGGTAATTTAGGAAAATAACAATAAGCAATAAATACAAACTGGATAGATCAAAACAAGTATAAAATAACCATTAAACTCTTTTAGGCAATTCGACGCCGGCGTCCTAGAAGTTGGGCTGATCTATTCGGACGTGATGTCAATTCCGCCCGGGCAATCGGCTTTTCCCCTCACTGGCATCTGCCCCACATCATGCACAAAACGCGTAGGGCTTTATTAAACCTAAAATTCAATCAAATTTGGTTCTTTAGCATTATCGGGGACGGGGGGGGGTGGAGACAATTTTTAATATCCCGTTTTTTCTAATATAAATAGAGGAACTCTTTCTAAGCTGTTTTTACTATTCCTAAAAGCAAATCCCTACGAATTTTTATCCAAAAATCAAGGAAAAATCCAAAAATATCGATTTTTCGACAAAAATTGTCGATTTTTTACCAAAATTTCAACTAAAGAATGTTTTCTAGGTTTTCTATTGCTTTTACACTTAAAATCGTTAAATTTCGCTAAAAACCGCTATTAAAACATTTACTCTCACGTTGCTAGGCCTTTCTGGAATTATATTACAAAATTCGGCTCCCCGGATAATGCAAAAGTACCCATTTCTATAAAATCTATGCATTTTTTTAGTTTCCCGACGACGGCATCAACGTGTTCGGCACGCAATTACACGCCCATTTGACCGGCAGGAAATTGTGGACGTCAATTTATCGAAAAGGTTTTGGATTAGCACTTCACAAAGACGGTTTTTAGGCCTGAAAATCGGCGAACTCAACCGGGACAACCATTTTTCGCCGCATTGGCAGCACATTATACGTCTCGATCCACCAGTTAATATTAAGAAGGTAGGAAAAGACGTTTTTAACGATAAAGCAGTTACTCAGGGTGATGTACTAATGACAACCTGCGTTCACAACACTATTCAACGCGCCGGGATGACTTTTGTAAGTTTAGAAAGAGGGTGGGGTCGGTCCCTATAGGCCCAGAAATGTCTAGTAACTTAATTCCGCGTGGTTTAATAGTTTTTTTTAATAAAATTTAACTAAATCTCAAGTCGAAAAGAATTAAAAAAGCTTAGATAAATGTTTTTGGCTGGTATTTGGGTCGAAAATAGGTCATGTTTCGTAGAAAATTCGTTCTTTTTGTAGTTTTGAGGCAAAATTTTCAAGTTTTTACGTTCAGAAATAGTTTGTAAGTTTAGAAAACGAGGAAGTCGCTTTTTAGGGTGGCTACGAGATCACAAACGAGATGTGCGTCAATTATATCCATTACTATCCGGTGGCCGATATTGAAGTGTGCAAGAGTGCCGTCAGCAACGCCAGTCTACACGGCTTTTTTGAGCGCAAGTCGGGAATATGAACGTTTTTTAGCGATCACCAGTGGGGAAAATCAGCTTTTGTAGTAATTTTAGCGGTTCTGGTGCATTAGCGTGGGGGGGCTAACTTCCCTTTTCTTATAGTGCTTCTAGTAGTTTTAGCTCGGAAAACATAAAAACGGCTAAAAAAACCAGCTTGTTTTTCCCTTTTCATGGATTTTAGGCCAAAAATCCAACTTTTTATTTGTTGCTTTTCGAAAATTTCAGATTTTTATGATCTTTTTCACCGTCAAAATAACACTGCATTTTTAAAAACTGGCTCTATCCCCCCCCCCGCTAACAGGACAGCACCGGTGTACGGCCGTTTCAGGAACGTTCCTTCCAAGATCAAGGTGATCTCGGAAAAGTTTGCGTCGATGGAGTGGAACGAGGAGAATGTGGCCGACTTGGGAGAGTTGTACGCCAACTCGCCGCTGAACATGCACTGTTTGAGGCATGACGGGACGCCGTTTCCGGTTGGTCATCAGAATTCTGGCTTTAAATTATCGAAAAAAACGTGGAAATAATTTCAGGATCCCAATCTAAACTGGGAAAACCTTCGACGGCCATTCCCGCTGGCCGCCCCGTTTGATCGCGCTGCGCAGCGCGTCGAATGCCAGGCCATCAATGATTGAAATATGGAAACAAATAAATATGATGTTTTGTATGTATCAAAGCATAAAATACAAACACACAAAAAACAACGATGAGACGCTTTATTGGCCATAAAAGGTGGGTATAGCAATGGCGTAGTATAATATTCGATTGAAGATTCCTCGCTTCTATTTCCTTCTTTTCATTCATTAAGTAAGGGGGGGAGACGAGCCGGCCGGCTCTCACTTGAATTTGCCTTTCGCGAAAATCTGGCACGAGTCGTCGTGGTAAGTCTGAAAAGTAGCGTTTATCGCTTGTTATGTGGCTAAAAATCAGTTGCTGGTCTGTTAGCGGGGGGGGGGGACTAATTTATTTTTTCCACCTAAACCTACCGGTGTTTCCAACTTTAATGTTTTTTAAAGTTTTTTTTTGGTAGTTTGGATTGCCATAAAGCCACAAAATTTTCGTAAGTTTTGAAAACCCAAAAATTTCGACCTTTTTGCTACGTTTTCATATATTTTTGACCAAAAGTCAAATATTACTAGGGTGTTTTAACTTGAATTATAAGAAAAATCGATAAATAAAAACTGTCGGTACTGGACTGTTAGCGGGGGAGAGGACTAATCTATGTTTTTCGCCCTATACTTAAGTTTTGATACTCTCTAATGTATTGTTATGGTGTTTTTAGTAGTTTTTGATCTCTAGAAATTTCTAGAACGTATTTTTATAGTTTTTTAACCTTATTTTGGTAATTTTTCATCCAGTTTTGATAAAAAAGGCAAATTTTCGCAGATTTGTTAACGTTTTTTACCCAAAAACCTGTGTAAAATGGTATGAAAATGGTTTATATTTTGTGATAGTGCGAGAGGGAATTACTGTGAAAACTTTGCCCCGCCCCCCGCTAACAGGTTAGAACCAAGGATTCACCTGAATGGTGTTGATCGAGCCGACGACGTTGGTCTGGTGGAGCTTCTTGCAGTCGGCCATGCTCTCCATCATTTTTGTCACCTAAAAATACGAATAAAAAGTTGCTTGATGTAGATGATGCTGACCTTGTTGCAGTTCTCCTCAAAGACGCTGACAGACTGCTCGTAGAGGAAGCCCATTTTCTCGACCTGGTCCACTTTCGTGCACATCTTCACGTCATGTCGGGCCAGATCCATTTTGACGCGCGATCTGCACCACAAAATGGAAAAAGTTTGGCATTGGACTGTTAGCGGGGGGGGGAAGTGGTTCCCCCCGCTAACAGTCCAGTACCAAAAATTATCGATTTTTCGTATCATGCCACAATTTTGGTGTTCCAAAAAACGTACGCTTCGAGCCGTTCCTTTTCAACGAAGAGCGTGGCGTATTCCTTGTCTTTATATCCATAAAGATCTCGCAGATCTTGACCGAGACGATATTGGTGGACGCGTTCCGCCTTGGCCAGCTCGCGGTACGCTTCGGACAGCTGGAAATTCGTATTAATTGTATTCTCTTGCGCTTATTACCTCCGTAAATATCGTGAAAATCGTGGTTTTACATTTTATAGATCTTTAGGTATTGGACTGTTAGCAGGGGGGGGGGGGGGAAGAAAAATTCAAATTTTGATAAACTCTTGCTCTAGAAAAACGATAAAATTCTATAAAAATGATTTATATTTCGCTATAGGGCCGTACAGAACTGCTGGGAGAAATTTGTTTCCGGTAAGACTCCAGATACCCCCCCCCCAGCCGGGCCCCAACTTTTGTATCTCGGCTTTCTGTTCATCTACAGGTGTGTAAAGTATACCAAAATACTCGCCAGAGCAAGACGAACATTTTCGTATACTTTACACACCTGTAGATGAACAGGGAGCCGATATACAACAGTTTGGTGCCGGCTGGGGGGGGTATCTGGAGTTCAGCCTTGTTTCCCCCCGTTAACAGTCCAGTACCGGATTTTTTGCATTCGTTTTTCGATCTTGACAAAGCTGCTCGGCTTCTAAGTCGCGAATTAAAATTTGAGGGTTTTAGAGCGCTACCTTCCTGATGATGGGCTGCGTCGGCTTATCGACATGACCGGCAAATCGATACAATTGGTCGGCGAGTCCATCATATGGACAGTCATTATTCGGACAGACAACAGATCCAGCATCGCCCTTCTTTCTTCGACTTCCCGATGCTCGACCCATTCCACCACCTCCCATCGCTAGATCTCCGTTCGACTTCTTTCGCTTCTAAACCAGAGAAATTTACGGATTTTTAGCTATTAAAATGTAAATAAAAACTGGTGCTTTTGCATTATCGGGGGGCAACCGATTGGTAAAATTGCAGATCCCCCATCAAGGCCACTCCTACTGTATCTCGGCTCCCCTTTCTCCTACAGGGCTCTAAGATATACCAAAATGTTCGTCTTGCGCTTGCGAGTATCTTGGTAAGCTCTACACCCCTTTAGGACAACGCGCAGCCGAGATACAGTATAATATGTACCACCAACGTATCAAAAAAAAAGTATAGTACCGTTTTTTTGGTCTTTGTGTTCCTCTCCTGGCTCTTCTCCATACTTTTGCGTCGCATCGCATCGGCTGGGGTGGCTGGGGTTCCTTTTTCTTTTGTTGGTGGCGGGGCTCGGGTTAGCAGGGCTGCTTCCTAGAAGGGATATTCATACATACGGGATGTTCCAACGCCCGCCCCCGCCCCCCAGCCGATCCCTACCTACCGTATCTCGGCTCCCTGTTGACCTACAGGTGTGTCAAGTATACCAAAATGTTCGTCTGGCTCTTGCGAATATTTTGGTGTACTTTACGGGCCCCTCCGGCAATGGGGTATCAAGATACAGTAGGTGGGGGTCAGCTGGGGGTGGGGGGGTATTAGTAATTGACAGAAAAATTCCGGATTTTCGAAAATCGGAAAGGAAAGATCACCCCAGCTCATCGAGGGCTTTCGATTGATACTGCTAGATAGGGGGGGACACCTTGTATCTGCCGATGTTACTTACAGATTTCTTCAATACATCTGGATTTCTCTGCATGACCCCCTCCATCCGTGCCACCAGCATGTCCAGCGACGTCTTGTAGCCCTGGATTCTAAATGAGAATTTGGGGGAAAATGGCGTCTCAAAACAAATCGAACCTCTCCATGTGCATCCAGAATTCGGGTGCCATCTTCGTTTCCACGACCTCGTCCGCCATCTTGCTCTTCCAGTATTTCTTCGAGTATACCCGCCCAAGCGGACCAACAATGACGGGAGGCAAGTCAATACCCAGGAGAATTTGAGCAGATAGTGAATTGGATCGTGGCTTTTTGTGCATTCTTTTGAATGCGATATTCAAATCGAAAAATGAATGCTTATTGCATCTTTTTCCGGTGAGCGATTTTTTACCTTGGAAGGGCTGGAGAAAGATGGTCAGGCGTCCGTCGGGGTGACGGACCGACGCGACGCTACTATCGACGTAATTCATATTCGGAATTCGTAATTTTTATGCAAATCCCAAATTTTGCGCAGCGAAAGCGAGAAGCCCGGAAACAGCTGTGGAAGACCCCTATGGTATTTGGGGTCTTTTCGCCGCGCCGCAACGCTTGGCGCCGTGGTGTACTGGTTAGCACGCTGGGCTTTGGGGTGAGCCATCGCTGGTTCGACTCGCGTCCGCTGCAAATTTCTTTGCTTTTTTTTGCCAAATGCATCTTTCTCGAGTCCTTTAAATTTTTTTAGGGGGGGGTCTCTATACACCCTATATATTATTAGCCGCTAGGTCAGGGCGGTAAATTAATTAACCCCTCCCCGCTGAAACTCGAAAATCCTCCTTCCCCCCGCTAATAAGCCAGTTGGAATGTTCGCACCCAACCGGAACCTAACAAGCACGCACGCTTTACAGAAATTGCATAAGTTGTGTAGATGGATGGAATGTTCGCGCCGAGAACCGAATCTCGTAATTTGAATATGGACTATAGGATCTAATGGAATTGCATCTAATGGCCCCGACCGAAATATCGCGGAATCGGCATTATTCCGCCGCGTTCTGCAATTTCGGCCGATGTCGGGCCGGCGCCGGACTCGAAGCCCTTCGCAGGGTCCTTCGACCCGTAAACGGGGCCACCAGGTAAGTTTTTCCTGTTCCTGATGAGTTCATTTTTCTGTTGTCAGGAGCGTTCTCCGAGCCCGTACGAGGAGGAGCCGGCGAGGCGGGAGAAAAGGAAGAAGGTCTACCGTAAGTCTCAATTGGTACTCGACGGTTAGCAGTCCAGAATCGAAATTGGTCTCACCAATAAGGGGTAAGCACACAATGTTGATTCCTAATTTCCAGGAGATCACGGCTGACGAAATGCTACCGCTGCTGAACATCACTCTCGCGACGCTGGCCCAGGTCCTCAAAAAAGTGTGTTGCTGTTGCGGCCACCATGAGCTGAAGATGGACTTTGGCGGACTGCAACTTTGCCACGGTTGCGAGAAAAATGTGTCGTATATTTGAAGGTGAAACAATAATACACATTTGTTCTTAGGGGATGGACAGGGGTGCGGGGCCGTTGTGACAACCACCCTGACCACCGCTACAATTCGACGCATCCGTACGAGAGTAAGTGTGGTGCTTTCGGGTTCCTTTCAAAATTTCGAAATACACAATGTCGAGATGTCTTAAAGGGCACGTTCAGGGACGTTGGAAAAAGCCGGAATTTTTGCCGCGGCCGGGAGTCGAACCCGGGCCCCCCGCTCGGGAGGCGCGGATGGATACCAGTCAGCCACAGCTTCAAACTGGCGAGGGGCCGAGGGGCGCCCCACCCCGCAAATGAGCGGAATGGCCTGTCACAGCACGGGCAGGCAGTGCCCGCGGTCCCTACGTCCAGAGGATGTACACGTTGGGACGAGTACACGGCCCCTCCCTGAACGAAATTCACAATGTCGAAATATTCATTTTGGCGCAGTATTTCCCGGAAACCCCCCGAATCCCTTGGAAAACTGCACTCTAACCGAAAATCGGCATTTTTTTCGACTTCCCAATAGATTATCTTGGAACAAGGAAAAAGTCGTGTCCCCCCGGATATTGTGAAAGCAACCATTTTGTATGAATAATCGGCACTCGTCGGAAACGGCTTTGTTTTCGGGGCTCCGCGGGCGCTGCCCGAACTGTCGCGTCAACAGGGCGATCTTTTTCGGTTTTCGTCCGGTAATTGCTTTTCTATGTCTTTTTCTTTACCTTTCTTCATCAGTGTCAAACTCTGTCTCTAAGCTCTTAGTCTCAAATAAGTTCAAATGTTTTCAGAAGAAACCGAAGGTGTTGGAGATCTTCGGGCTGCAGGACGAACAGCCCGACCCGGTGCAGACCGCCCGCGAGCTGGGTGGCAATGGAAAGAAGAAGAAGTAGAAGACCACTACTTCTTCACCCGATCTTCCTGCGGTCGGTGGACCTTATTTTTCCTATGGAATTATTATGGATTTTTCATTTTCCTTTTTCCTATTTTTCCTATTTCCTGTTTTTAGAAAAACTTAATTGTTTGGCAAGTGGAAGAAGTATTTAAAAATGCTTTAAAAACTCAAATTTTTTTTTGTCGAAAACAGATATTTTTTGAGTTTTTTGTATTAATAAACATTTGAATTTTGATAAACAAATTTGGATTTTCATTGTTCAAAAATGTTTGAAATTGTTTTTGTAACTTTGGAGCAACCAAAAACGACGCCAAAAACCATAAAATCTTACTATATATAAAAAATAGTGTCTGTGTATGCGCGTGTGTGGGCATTTGCATTTGCATGCAACTTCCGTCCGTATGTTTCAGTCGTATCTCAATAAAGGAGTATGATGGTATAGTATAGTTAAGGGTATGCATGATACGTCATTAGGCGCGTAATGGTCATGACACGACTGCACACCTACCAGATTTTTGAATATTTCGGGGGGCGGGCCCCGTATTACCCTACGTCCCTGGCCGTAAGACACAATTTCTTTGGTCTTTTTGCGTAGCCTTTCAGTATGGGAAATTCCTCAAAAACTATTAAAAGTTGTTGATTTTATTTTTTGAAATTTCCCAAAAATTTAATGCAGCCTGAGTAATCAGAACTGTCAAAAATACGGTGAAAGGCGTCTGAAATGCAAATTTTGCTAAAAATAATCCATTAAAAATTTTTGCCGTGCAGCACAGGCTAGACAGTCCACTACCAAAAACAGCACCATGTGCTATATTTAAGTTTGAAACGTCGGAAGTTAAACGAAGAAGTTGGTCCCTCCGAAACCGCGAAACCACCCGATGTTGATACCGAATTTTTAGGAATTGGGCGTCGACCAGCTGAAGGACTTGCTCGAGAAGTCGGTGGCTACGTTTGCCGAGTTTGCCAAGCGTCGGTGCGTGTGCTGCCACTCGAAAGACCTCAAGACGGATGAGGGAGGCTTAAGGATGTGCACCGGATGCGAGAAGAGTGTGGTGTATGTTTGAAGGTGAAACAATAGTACACATTTGTTCTTAGTGGATGGTCGCCGCACGCCGACCATCTCTACAACCGCGACCACCCGTACGAACGTAAGTGTGGTGCTTTCGCATTAACTGACCAACGTCGATTTTTTCGTCCCAGAAATCCGTGATAACGTCACCACAAGAATTTTCATGGTGCTTTTGGTCGTATTTAGCTATATTTTAACCGAGAAAAGGCCTGAAATCTTTGAAAATCCTGGTTTAACAATTTTATCTTCAGAGCTGCGGCTGCGCTGTTCGGAATGCCGCCAGCGTCGGGCCATCTTCTTCGGATGGAACCCGGTAACTACCTTTCTATTTTTCTTTCTTTCCCTTCTTCATAGGTTTCAAAGCCATCTGAGAAACTTTCAAAAATGTTTGTAAAGAGAGGACTCTCTCCCGGAAACCTCGTCGAAGAACATCAGCGTCCTAGTCCCAAATAAGTTCAAATATTTTCAGACCACTCCCAAAGTACGCGCCGTGATGGGCTTGCCGCCGGACCAGCCCGACCCCGTGCAGACGGCCCGCGAGATGAAGCGTGGGAAGAACGCGAAGAACTGACCACCTCACCAACAATACGACCCGGACCAAACGCCTAACGCCTGTTGAATTCACAATTAAAGGTTGGTATTCACACCTACCGGTGCTTTCGCATTAACGGGGGAGGGGAGTTTTCTTTAAAGAACGTCAGAACGATGCAATTCCGTTGAAAGCAAGCACGTTGCGCACCGGGCGGGGGTCGAACCCGCGATGGTTCGCTTCACAGTCCGACGCGCTAGCCACTATACCACAGGGCCAAGTGGGGAAGGGAATCAGAGGCGCCCCAAACCCAGAGGGCGAGTGCCCAATACGGGGCCAATTTTAGGACCAATTTTAACTTCGTGTTCCTCAAAGAATCTCTGCTAGCCTGCCCGTCCAATTCCTCAAAGAATCTTTTCTAGCCTGCCCGCCGATGACTCAAAGAAGCTCTTCTACCCTGCCCGCCGTTTCATCTGTGCCTCGAAGCTCGTCTGGAAGGCGACATCTAGCTGCTTAAAAAGTGGGCTCTCTCGAAATCTATCGTATCCCATCCCTCTTTCAGCCCCCAAGAAGTGCGAAAGGACGCCACCATACCTGCCCGCCTGCTACCATTTTCCCTACTACAACTCGAGCATGGCCCATCCCGCCCGACCGCCACCAAATCATCACAAAAAGCCTGTTCTTGTATTGTGATGTTCTTTGAATAAATGGGCTGTGGCTGATATCCGTGCAACTGTCAAGGGTATTTGAGCGGAATTTCTCAATCTTCGGTACTGGTTTGTTACCGGGGGGCGGAGGGGGATTTCCGGGTGGAGTTCATGGAGTTCATTTAATTAATTTTCCGCCTTGACCTAGCTGCTTAGTCTTGGGGTTAGGCTTGCAGCAGAAATAAGCGTTTTTGGCATGTACGAGCTGACCTTGCATAAATTTCGAAAAATGCCATTACCTTGCTGGAGCTTTTTGGAAACGATTAGATTGATCTTCAAATTGATTTATTGCCAGCGGCCGTCTTTTTGCTCTTCGAGATCATAGTTATGGTGTTGATTCGATGCTTCAGATGGCGATGCCTTTGGTCCCCATAGAAACGATCATCTTTTCCGTCTTTTTCTCTAAAAATTTGTCGTTAGCATTCCAAAGGAAATTCTGCCAGTCTGTCCTCCGATTCCTCAAAGAATATCTGCCAGTCTGTCCTCCGATTCCTCAAAGAATCTCTGCTAGCCTGCCCTCCGATTCCTCAAAGAATCTCTGCTAGCCTGCCCTCCGATTCCTCAAAGAATCTCTGCTAACCTGCCCTCCGATTCATCAAAGAATCTCTGCGCGGTTGTAAAACCGTTTGGGGCCGGAAGTGGCGTGTCTACGGCGCAATAAAACCGCAGCGCGGATACAATCTTTCCTAGCGGCCATAAAAAGGCCATGGCAAGTTAAGACTTTCGACCGGAAATTGTATTTACCTGTACACGTCACATATTAATAGCCGGCAAACACAACGGAGGGCCGAAGAGAAGCTCGGCGAAAATACTGGAAAAATTAAGGTTCTCGTGTGAAACAAATGGGCTCAAATGACGAATAAAACGAAATTTCCGGCGATCCCTTGCTTCCAAATACTGAAATATAGCCCTTGGTAGCGAGTTTTCCAGGGGTTTTTCGGGGAAAAAAATCTATGAAACAAATTTTAGCCATAAATTATCACTTTCTATAAGCCGTCTTGTCAAAGAATCCCTGCTAGGTTGCCCCGATTCCTCCAATGGTAGCTGCTAGCCGATCCGGTCTTGGGAAAAGGTAGCTGCTAGCTTTAACGGTACTGGTCTGTTACCGGGGGTGTGAAAGATTATTAAAATCATTGAAAATGATACTCAATTTGAATCTTTAAGACTTTCCAGACGGGGTTTTAGGAGCTTTTTCAATAATCAATAAAAAGGTACGAACAACACCACAGTAAAGGGTTTCGCTACCTTCTAACTCCCCCCCGCTAAGAGTGTAGTGCAGCCTTAGTGAGATCTGACAAAAAAACTCACATGGTTTTCGGGAATCCGTAGTCGTCGTTTCTTTTTCGGTCATCGTCGAGGGAATGAGGGGGAAATGGTCTTTGCGATACGCTTTTGTGATGTCGGATTGGGAGGGAGGAGGAGCATGAGGAAGGAGGATGAGAGACCCCCCCAGCAATTGAGGGCTTTTGTTCCCGCTTTTTCACCCCCATTTCCATCCCGATGGTCCGTTTCACTACCGGATAACACGACCAAACTGTACACACCGGATGGAACCGGAACATCCAGCTTTTAGGATAGAGTATTGCAAGGGGGGATCGAGAAAATTGAAGTGTCTGCTAGCCTGCCCTCCGATTCCTCAAAGAATCTCTGCTAGCCTGCCCTCCGATTCCTCAAAGAATCTCTGCTAGTCTGCCCTCCGATTCCTCAAAGAATCTCTGCTAGCCTGCCCTCCGATTCCTCAAAGAATCTCTGCTAGCCTGCCCTCCGATTCCTCAAAGAATCTCTGCTAGCCTGCCCTCCGATTCCTCAAAGAATCTCTGCTAGTCTGCCCTCCGATTCCTCTAAGAATCTCTGCTCTTTTGCCCTGATCCCAAAATGAGCATTGACAGCCAATATTTATTGTTTGGTTTTTCTCAAAATCGTCGTCGTCGTCCATATCCGGTCGGCTCAACCGCATACGTCGACTCGATGCCCATCGAACTGCATTTTAGAAATTAAACAACATTCAAGTCGTTGTTAAAAAAAGAACTGTTCAGCTACCGTACGCTCCAAAAATTAAAAAAAATTACCGTGGTGGACAAGGGCAGTATGCAGCGTCATTTCCGGGCATTCCGGCAGCAGCACGAACTCCTCGAAGACCTTCAGAGCCGGGAAAACCGCTACGGCCCGGGGCGCCAGGTTCACCGGGGATACCTAGAAGATTACAGTACCTGACTATGTCATACTACGCAAATTAGGCTTAGGGCTTGGGCTTGGGTTAGGATTAGGCTTAGGCTTAGGCTTAGGCTTAGGCTTAGGCTTAGGCTTAGGCTTAGGCTTAGGCTCAGGCTTAGGCTTAGGCTTAGGCTTAGGCTTAGGCTTAGGCTCAGGCTTAGGCTTAGGCTTAGGCTCAGGCTTAGGCTTAGGCTTAGGCTTAGGCTTAGGGCTTGGGCTTGGGTTGGGATTAGGCTTAGGCTTGGCTTAATACGTTACAAAACCCCGTCCATACCCAGGAGTTACGGGGCACTACGATACGCTACGAATTACGCTGAAAAGGCAATATCCAAAATATTTCCCGTTACGACACGTTACGATACGCTACGCTCTGGTACGATAAAATACGATACCAACGATAGGTTACTGGGCGCTACGAAACGATACGCTACGATACTACGTTCCGCTCCTCCACGCGAAGTTACGCTAAGCTACGACAAGATCTGCTACAATACATCTTAGGTATTATGTGACCTTTTTTGGATACTCTAGGATCGCCTACAAATTCCGCAAAGGCTCTCTGCTGGCTTACCATTCGTTCCAGGCGCTCCTGTCTGCCCTTGTGGCCCAATCGGTCCCTGTGGCCCAATTGGCCCATTGGGTCCCTTTGGCCCAATTCTGTTGATGCCCTTCTTGAAGTTGAGGCCGGGTTGTCCTCTGATTCCGTTTGTTCCTTTATTTCCCCTAGTTCCGGCATCTCCTCGTTGTCCCGGGGGTCCAGGCCGTCCTGGCGGGCTTCTCGGCCCTATACCGCCATTAATGCGCAAAACCTTAGAGCTTACCAGGTATTCCATTAATGCCTTGATGCCCTTGTGGCCCAGCGGGTCCATTAGGGCCCGGAGGTCCAGCTGGGCCCTCGGGGCATTGGATACAGGCTAACGATTCGCGGTTTTGGATCGAGTGGCCACCATCTAGCCCGTGTTGGCCCTCATGGCCGTCTGGGCCATCCTAAAAATTTTAGGCTTATTTAACATTAATGCTTCAACAGACATGCCCCGGTTCTCCTGGTGGCCCTGGCGGACCGGCCGGACATTCTGGAACACGGAAGGCTTCTATCGCTGCGTCCGGGGAGCTTGACTAGAAAATCCAGCGAAACTACGCGCTACAACCGGCTACGTACGTATTGTTGATCGTACTCGGCTTGTCTTTTTGGACGGATGATAAGCCAAGCATCGTCGAAGTGGGCCTCAAACTCGTGGAGCGCGTTTTCGGTCTGAAACTCTTATGGTTTTCCCAAAGAATCTCTGCTAGCCTGCCCTCCGATTCCTCAAAGAATCTCTGCTAGCCTGCCCTCCGATTCCTCAAAGAATCTCTGCTAGCCTGCCCTCCGATTCCTCAAAGAATCTCTGCTAGCCTGCCCTCCGATTCCTCAAAGAATCTCTGCTAGCCTGCCCTCCGATTCCTCAAAGAATCTCTCCTAGCCTGCCCTCCGATTCCTCAAAGAATCTCTGCTAGCCAGCCCTCCGATTCCTCAAAGAATCTCTGCTAGCCTGCCCTCCGATTCCTCAAAGAATCTCTGCTAGCCTGCCCTCCGATTCCTCAAAGAATCTCTGCTTGCCTGCCCTCCGATTCCTCAAAGAATCTCTGCTAGCCTGCCCTTCGATTCCTCAAAGAATCTCTGCTAACCTGCCCTGCTCTTTTTTATTAAATTTACCTGGTGATGAAAATCATTAATATCATCAACGATTCGAACGATAGAAATAAGCGCTGAACCCAGAAATATAGCCACCACACTCAGGGATACGGTAAGCACCGGTTGGTGCATTTTAGGAAAGAATAGAGAGACCGTTATGGTACCGCCTGAGTCCTATTTATACCATCGCCCCAAGGCCACCCATTCAACCAATGGCATTTGCATAAAACGGTGCTTCGTGTAGCTGGATGGTAGGGAAGGGAAATTTACATAATGGGGTTTTTGTGCCGTCGAGAACTTGAGGGAACCGGCCGCGGGTGAGCAGGCTAGCAGAGATTCTTTGAGGAATCGGAGGGCAGGCTAGCAGAGATTCTTTGAGGAATCGGAGGACAGACTAGCAGAGATTCTTTGAGGAATCGGAGGGCAGGCTAGCAGAGATTCTTTGAGGAATCGGAGGGCAGGCGAGCAGTGATTCTTTGAGCGCCTCGAAGTTAAAATTTGTCTAAAGTATTATGGCTATTTTTAGTGTTGTTTTCTTGAGGCCTCTTGTGCCTACAGGTCCACCCTGGTATAGACAGTCGAAAATTAATAAGATATTTCCCCAAGAAAGGGCACATTTTGAACCGTTTTCTGGTTCCGATCCGGTTGTTGATGTTGTTTATCAGATCTATGCTATTGAAATCGCAAATTTCTTACTCAGGGCAAGCTAGCAGAGGTCATTTAGGACGGATTTCCATCTGAATCCAGCAGCTTCTTCCATTATGAAATGACCAGTCACCCCAGGAAAACCAGGGTTGAAAACCGTGAAGACAGCTGATGTGATGTCATCAGATCATAGAGGGGACAATGGTTTCTGGCTGCGAATGGGAAGAGGGAGAGAGAGAGAGAGAGAGAGAGAGAGAGAGAGAGAAGGAGGGAGAGAGCGAGAGAGAGAGAGAGAGAGAGAGAAGGAGGGAGAGAGCGCGAGGGAGAGAGAGAGAGAGAGAGAGAGAGAGAGAGAGAGAGAGAGAGGGTGAGAGAGTGGTCAAGACGATATGTTATCCTAGGCTTTGAACTTTGGATTTGGGAGCGGTGGGTGAGCACAACGACCAACAACGCATGAGTTCCAGCTCCGTACTACGGTGGAATTTTCGGCGGATTCCGGAAGTACCGGAAAAATAGAGCGTACTTATATACATGATATCTTATGGTCGAACTGCTAAAAAAATTTCATAAATTTTACCCTCAAGCTGTTCTGCAGAAATTTTTCCCAACCTTTGGGTACTTGCGCAGTAGCGGGGGGGGGTTTCTATCGATCCAATTTGATTCTCCAATTTTCTAAATAGCGGAAATGTTTCTAAGGCGGTTTTACTATCCTTGAGCCTAAAAACTTTACAGATTTTGCTTAAAAACTACAACTTCGTCCATAACTTTAACTTCAAGACATTTTGTTCTGACTTTTTTGTTCCTTTAACGCTTAACCTAAAACATAGTTAACTTTTGCTAAAATACAAATAAAACACCCGTTAAAATCTCCGACAAATTGGGAAAATTGGGAAATATGGGTTTTGATCGGTCTGCAGCCAGCAGAAATCAAGGACTCCTCGGGGATGCGCGATCGAAAGCCAAACCGCTAGATCGCTTTCTCTCTCTCCCTCTCTCTCTCTCTCACTCTCTCTCTCTCTCTCCCTCTCTCTCCTTTTCTCTCGTACGAAAAGATCAGGGGAGTCCGGCTCCTCGGATTTTCTCACGTTGAGAAGCCGATTGTAGGCACAAAAGAGTCCAAAGAGATAATAAAAAGAAGAGATTCATGGGTTTTTTAGAAGTGCCGTTAGAAATTACGACAGTAAATTAGTAATCCCGGCGTTCCGGACTTTTTGATTTTTGCTAAAAATTCTAGAAATTAAGATTCTAGATTTAAAGGGCCATTTGCTTAAAATTTTTGGCAAAATTTTAGAAGGAAAAAGATACATAAAGAGACAGAGAGAGAGAGAGAGAGATAGAGAGAGAGTGTGAGAGTGAGCTTAGAGTACGGTAACATACACTATCTTAATTACACAGGTATAATATTGAAATCGGCACGTGGAAGGGGATCAGAAAATGACCCACACAAAATCGAACGAGCCTAACGAAACGGTTTCCGGCGCACCCAATATCTCCCAGAAATAGCCAGGCTGTTCCCCAAAATGTGTCGAAAATGAGGGAGCGCGTAAGAGAGAGAGCGAGAGAGAGAGAGAGAGAAAACATTTCCGGAGCGCGGCCATCATTTGACCGGGTAATTATTGGGGCTCGCGATCGAGAGTTGACCGGTTCCAATTCGCTTGATGTTTCCCACCTGGGATTCGAAGGAGATCAGTTCTCTCTCTCTCGCTCTCTCTCGCTACTCTCTCGCCCCTCCCCCGTCATGAGAACGGCCTACACTCTGTCAAATAACTATAGAATCAAGCGTTTTTTGCCCGTAACTTTCTTTCTATTGATCGGTTCGACTCGAAAATATTAGTGTGGCCCTTCTTTGATAGCGGAAAACTGTGTGCAAAGTCTGGAGGAGAACCGATTTGTGGAAGGTACGAATCCGGAAAGCTTCGTTCTGAACTTTGTCAAAAAACTATAGAATCACTTTTAAATCACCGATTTTTCTACCCGTTTATCTTTTCCGACCATTTTTTTTTCCAACGCGCATACCGTTCTTTACACAAGAACTATAGTTTTGATTGAATAGTTTGGGCGTCCAAGCTCAGAACAGGATTTTCCAAAACCTGAATTTAACAAAGAAATCCACATTTTTCTAAAATTCTGCCATATCAAAATTGTATTTCCTAAATGTTGATTGTACCTCGGAATGCGCAGTTGACAGCGAGTACATAGGTGCGTTTCGTTTTCCGGGAAACAGCCTGACGGCAAAGATATGCTCTGTCGAACCGTCGCCGCCACGTGTCCTTTGTTAAATGGTCAGGAAAATACCTTGAGAGCCGCGGCCAAACACTAAAGTGACCGTAGAGGACGAACGTTCGTAAATGGAGGGTAGGTTGCAATAAACAAATGTGTACCATGGAATGCTCTTTCCGCAGGCAAAGTGACATATTTTTCCATAGTTGTTTATTGTCAGAATTTTAGAAAAATGTGGATTTCTTTGTTAAATTCAGTTTTTGGAAAATCCTGTTCTGAGCTTGGACGCCCAAACTATTCAATCAAAAGTATATTTCATGTATAAAGAAATGTATGCTCGTTGGAAAAAAATGGTCGGAAAAGATAAACGGGTAGAAAAATAGGTGATTTAAAAGTGATTCTATAGTTTTTTGACAAAGTTCAGAACGAAGCTTTCCGGATTCGTACCTTCCACAAATCGGTTCTCCTCCAGACTTTGCACACAGTTTTCTGCTATCAAAGAAGGGCCACACTAATATTTTCGAGTCGAACCGATCAATAGAAAGAAAGTTACGGGCAAAAAACGCTTGATTCTATAGTTATTTGACAGAGTGTATAAAGGATCGGTCATCCAGCATTGGACCGTCAAACCGATCAGCCTGTTTTCGTTCCAGGCGCCAATCCGCTGCCGGCCTCGTACAAAAAATGGCACTAGCCGCCCTTATCACACAAAAAATATCTGTTAGCCTGCCCACCGATTCCTCAAAGAATCTCTGCTAGCCTGCCCTCCGATTCATCAAAGAATCTCTGCTAGCCTGCCCTCCGATTCCTCAAAGAATCTCTGCTAGCCTGCCCTCCGATTCCTCAAAGAATCTCTGCTAGCCTGCCCTCCGATTCCCCAAAGAATCTCTGCTAGCCTGTCCTCCGATTCCTCAAAGAATCTCTGCTAGCCTGCCCTCCGATTCCGAATCCCTGCTAACCCGTCATTAATTCTCAAAGTGTTTCCGCTGCTTACTTGTCTTTTCCATTACCAAACCTTCCATGCAAAATTTCAGCCGACCCTGACGAAGATGCTGCGTAATCTGGTGTTGCTCGTCCTCCTCATCGCCCTCTGTGCAGTACAAGCAGCTCCTCAATATTCTCCGCTACATGGTAGGAATATTTGGGAAACGGAGCGCAGGCTAGCAGAGATTCTTTGCCGAATCGGAGAGCTTCTAAATTTCCGAGTCTTTTCAATGGATTTTCTGTAGGTCTCCGTGTGCGGCGTCAACAGCAAGGAGGTGGCTGGAGAGGCCCATGGCAGAGGGATGATAATGGAAATATGTGGATGGGAGATGACAATGCAAAGCTCTCACTATTCTCCGGGTTGGGATGGCCCGGAAAAAAATAGAAGACGACGATGGAGATGGACGGCTACGCTACGCTCCAATTGACTGACACATACTGCTTTAATTTATTGACCCCCCGAGCACATACCAAATGCAATAAAAGATTTTATGTAATGATTTGGGTATTGCACATCATGGTCCTGTCCTGTTTCGAGGGGGGAACCAACCTTTGTTCTGATATAAAAAGAGAAAGTGTTTGTAAACTGTTTTCACCATTCCTGAACGTAAGAAATTTTAAATTATGATCAAAATGTCGATTTTTTTTTTGATCAAAAACTTTTCCAGGTTTACTTGTCCGATTTGTCAATTCAAATATAGTTAATTTACTGAAAACACTTCATCATATTTACTATAATTAAGCTAATAAGCTATTTTCCCGCCTGCAAAAAATTTATTTCGAAAGCAAAATCGATGAAGACACCGAAATAGGAAAGGGAATGCAGAAACCGCAAAAATTAAAGACGATAAAGCAGCGTGCGAGGGAATAAGCAGGGTTACTTGACTTTTTCGGTTTCTTCCTGCGCTTCAATGCTGACCCGATACTCGGCTAGCCTTCCATTGTACTTCTCATTCAAATTCAGCAACTTGTCGATACCGTTGATGAGGGCTTTTCGCTTCTCCCGGTTCCGTTGCACCTGCAAAAATCACGGGGTAATTCAAGAATTGGAGGCGGCGGGGAAGAGCCTGGTATAAGCTGGAAAAATGTACCTGAGCGGGCGTGCTCGCTTCCGACGTCAATTCAATGGCGTCGAGCCCTTCGAGATGTCGAATGCCTATCTCGTTGAATGTCCGTATCCGCTTGTCCATCTTCTGTATCGCCTCCTTTCGTTGTGAGCCTGAAATACAGATGTATTATTTCATATCATCGGGGGACCAGATTTTTGCTTATGATCTAATTTTTCCAATGAATATTTGAAGTGTTTTCAAACCGTTCCTAATTTTATATTTTATTCATAACGGTAAAAAACTATTAAAGTCAAAAATATAGATTTTTCGACCAAAAACGGCCAAAATTGCAACTTTAAAAGTTTTTAAATAGTTTTCCTAGTAGGAATACGGGTTTATTTGAGTAAAAACACTATTCAAACATTTCCTATTGAGTACTCGACATTTCAAGACGTATGCAAAAAGGTTCGCCCCCACGGATAATGCGAAAGAACATCGAGGATTCGTAGAGACTTATTTACCTTCAAGGAATCCCTTCTCGAGCTCCCCGAGGTCGACACCGAGCTTCGCGAATGTTTCCTGGAAGGGGGTGAGGCTCTTCTCGTAATCGCATAACCGCTTGAAGCCAGCGTCTTCCTGAAAAAAGGCAAATGTAAGGGGTGAAACTCGAAAAAAACGCACCGCCATCGCTCGGCCCATCAGCACGACACGCTCGCCCTCTTTGAAGCCGAATTCGCTGAGCAGACGCTCGCCCGGCTCGATCTCGTTGATCATCTTGGCCGCTGAGAAAAAAAGAATTGATGATAAACAATGGTAACCGACCATGAACAAACTTGATGCGCTCGGGGTCGAGGCCGTACAACTCGGCGGCGGCCCTCCGGAACTCGGCCAACGTGCGTGGGGCTTGACTGCCTTCTTCCGATTCATCGCCTAAAAATACTATCAAAAACATCAGAAAGAGCACTTACCTATAGAAATGTCAATGTCCTGTTCAATGTAGTTGCAGCGTAGCTGAATCCGCATTTTCCTGGAAATTTAAACTAGTTTTAAGTAGAAAATAACAGCACGAAAATGGTAAAGAATGGCCATATTTTTAGATCCCTAAATAAGTTTTATGATGCAAGAAAGCGGTGATTTCACTCAGGAATCTAGAAAAGAATTTATATCCAATTTGGGGGAACATTGCAATGCAAGCAACGGGTTGCGGCGCGCCACCCAGTCCCCTCCGAAAAAACCCCCTTACCGCACAACCAGGTTATTAGATCAACCCTTCCTTTGTGACTTTTTATAAGTTTACAAAGCAACATTTCAGTGGACGAGCGCTTTAGAAACGTCGATTGTTCGTAACTAACGCAAATCTTGGAAGCTAGAGCGCTCAAAAGCTATATCTATGCCTTGGAGTAGGCTTTCAAACCCAGGTCGGCAAAATCAAAAGAAAACGTGACTCTCCAGATTCATCCAGCGACCAGACCGAATTATTATTTTCTACACAGCGCCCTGTAACCCGGTAACGCGGTGGGTGTAAAGCTGCGTTTTCCGAAAGTCCCGCTTTTCGGACTAAAAGTTTGTGAAATTTCGAGCAATTTACGCTGGGCTTGGATTCCGCACGTTTAGATTATAAGAACGTGATTTTAGGCACTTACAACGCGCCAAGACCCGCGGAAAAACTTCCGGTGTCATTAATCAACGCTAAAAATCTAAGAACTATTTCTATCATCACTTCTATTCTATTCTTTATTATTCTATTCTTCTATCGTATTTTCGAATTCACATTCTCGCTGCTTTTTTCGAAAAGTATCCGATTATTCGTTTGCTTTGCAGGAATGTCGGCAGAGGAAGAGCCGACCGGCCGCCGCAGCCGCCGCACGGCCGCCACCTCGAAGAAGGCCGACGCCTTCAGCCGTTTCAAAGAGGCCAGACGAAGTGGCATATCCCGCCAAACGGTCCGTTGAATCGACGCCTTTTTGATTAATCTTTTGTTTTCAGATCGACGGCTCCGACATTCCGGATGTCTACGAAGAAGTGAACGAGGATGAGTACCAGGAGATCATCAAGCAGCGCCAACGCGACAATTTTGTCGACGACGATGGTGAGAAATATTTTTTCCAGCTTCAAAAATGCCTTTTTAGATGGCGCCGGCTACATCGATACCGGGCTTGACGATTTCGGCGATGAGAACGAGTGCCAGGATGCCAAGGAGAAGAAAGAAAAAAAGGAAAAGAAAGGTGCGCTGAATTCGTCATTTTCGAGCTAACTTTTTTTAGAAAAGAAGAAGGGCATCTCAAAGTTCTTCGGCGCCGGCGCGATCTCCGTGAATAAGCCGAAAATCGACGAGTCGACCGTCCGGCTGGATGCGGACGCGGATCTGTTGGAGCTTCTCGACGAGCTGGATGAGGCAGAAGCCGAGGCACCAACCCTCACGCCCCGAAATCCATTCTCAAAGAAGCGCCCCGCACAAGATGAGCCTCACTTCTCCCCGAAACCACTGACCGGAGCCATCAAGAAAAGTCGGCTCTCGACCACGCCAAGCCGCGCCACCATACAGCCCATCAAAAAGCGCCCACCACCGATGGCCACCTCCACAGCTTCTTCATCCGCGAAAGTGGTCGTTGAAGACGAGCCCGCCGATGACGACTTCTATGGAGCGGCCGACTATGATGACCATGAAGAGAGCGCAGCCGTCGATTCCACAACGGTATTTGATTTTTTATTTATTATTTTTTATTTATTTATTTTTTATTATTTATTTGACGGTTTTTTTCGTGGTCCTCAATTTTGCAAAAAGTTCTGATTTCCTCAAAAATCTTCTTTCCGGCTCTTTTATCATTGGAAACCACATTTTGAACATCACTGGCTCGTTTCCGACAAAAATTATAGCTTTATGTTAGAAACTATAAAAGTAAATTTTGACATAAGTCCTTGTTTAGGTCCCAAATCCAGCGGCCGTTCGAAAAGTCGAAGCCGAGGCGCCACGAAACGTGGCAAACTTCGAGGACACCGACTGGCCGGCCCACGAACAGCTCGATGATGGTGAAGAAGAAGTGCAAAAGGAGACACCCGTCGGCGAGGAGCTCTTCTATCAGAAGACGACCGAGACGGCAGCTGATGGGACGGTGAAGGAAGTGCCCGTCGTCAGGATGTACTGGCTCGACGCATTTGAAGGTGATTTTCGACACTTTTTGAGCAAATCAAGATGTGTTTCTTTGACGAGCTCTTCTTTTGACTTTGGAATTTCCTAATAAGTTAATCGCAATAGCATCTTCATTGAAATTAGCGAGATTTCATATGAGACGACTTTCCAAAACTTTGAAATTTGCAATTTTGGATAAAATGAAATGTTTTGCTTTTTTCGAAATAGAATTGTAAAGTTTTTACGCTCAGGAAGAATAAAATTTAACGTTTTCGTTAAAAATGTAGCTTTTTTTGTCGAAAATGCTATATTTGTCATTTTCGCGTCTCAGAATCGTATAAAATCAATGTTGTAAAGTGCCTCTCCTTAAATGGGAAAAAGTCGGTTTACAGAAAAGATTTACAGCTTTTTTCAGATTCCGTGAAACGGCCGGGCACCGTCTATCTATTCGGCAAAGTAGAAGTGGCCGCCGGCCACCACGAAAGTTGTTGTATCGTGGTGGAGAAAGTGCTTCGACGTGTCTACTTCATCCCTCGCGAGACGCACTTTGTCAACGGTACCCTCACCGATCAACCGGTCACCAAGAAGGAGCTGTACGATGAAGTGAGCCAGCTGCTCGCCCAGCCTCAATTTGGCATCACCACCTTCAAATGCCCTCCAAAGGTATAGATTTTGGGTTCTTCCGCATGGGGGGACCAACTTCTTTCGTTAGGATCTCTTCTTCAAATATAAATAGTGCAATTATTTCTAAGTGATTTTTTAGTATTCCTAAACATGAAAACACATATTTTTAGTAAGAATATCAAAAATATTGATTTTTCGGCCGATTTTGGACCAAGATTTCGACTTTTTTTTCAAGGTTTTAGAGTTTTTCTAGTTCAAAACAAAATTTACATATTACCAAAAACATTATTGAAACACTTTCTATTAAGCTACTATGCGCTTCTGGACTTAAACAGAAAAAGTTCGGTCCTTACCCCGCCTCGATAATGCTGAAAAACCGGACTTTGAGTGGAGAAAAAAACTTCTTTTTTTCAGTCTGAAAAGCGGCTGATGAATTGTGAGAACGGGGGCGTGGCCGGCGACAAAATGGACGTGTTCGAGGTGCTGTACAGCAGCTCGCTGCCACGGATCCCCGCCGACACCCATGGCGCCACGTTTCGCATGGTGGCCAACACGACGTCGACGGCGATGGAGAGGCTGCTGGTGGAGACGGGCATGAAGGGACCCGGATGGATCGACGTCTCTCAATACGGTACGTTTTAGTCCCCATTTTACAGTTAGACAAATTCCGTTTTGCTAGGCCGAGCGCGAATTTCACCTTTTGCCGGCAATAATTGAAGTTTAGACTACAAATTACAACTGATAAATGTGGCCGAAATACCCCTGGAAAAAACGCTTTATTTATTTGGATTTTGGCGACGTTTCCGAGCGGTTCGAAATTTAGGGGACGCAAAAAAGGACGTCCGATCGGTCGGCCTAAAAATAATTTTCCTGGGGTAGTCCTATGCGCTAGCTTCAAATTTCACGCTTTCAGGCCACAAGCGTCATCAAAATACCCGTAAAAATGTTTCGCGTGTCATTTTTGTAGGGGTAGTTTCGTCGTTTTTAGCCGAAACTTAATTGCTTGCGATGTCTAAAAGTCCAAAATTCGAACACAGCGTGAAGAACTGCGCCGGAAACTTTTTCGGCTGCCGATTGGACACCTTTGTCCCACAAATTTACCCCATTTTTTCAGTGCCAAGTGATGCGCGCGTCTCGCACTGCAAGTACGAGTTCACCGTCGACATGACGCGGATGAAGGACATTGCCTATGTCAGCGATTCGGTACAGGTACGGGTTTTTGAGCTTTCTAGTAGCTCTCCTTTTCAGGCCCCCACCCCGCCTCTTCGAATGATGGCGGTGAACGTGTTGACGGCGCTGAACAAGAAGCGCGAGAATGAGATCTGCATGATATCGCTGCTCGTCAACAACAAGGCGCCCGTGGACGGACTGACGGCCGAACCGACAAAGTGTCAACGCTTCTCCTTCTTCTGCTCCCCACCCGATCATCCGGCACCCATGGATACGAAGAAGCGGCTTCTCGAGGAGGGGATGCCATCTTCTTCCGTGGCCCTGGTTCCCCACGAAAAACAGCTTCTCAATATGGTGAGTTTTGGGGGTTCGTTAGTACTGCCTTTTTTTCTGTGAACCCGAAATATGACTAGCAACGTCATACGAGGATTACCATAGTGTTTTTGATAAAATTTAGCGATTTTTCAATTCCAGGCCATCTGGAATAGTTAAATAAATTGCTGAAAATTTTAATTTTGGACCGAATCGGCAATTTTCTGGTCGATCGATATCTAGCGGTTTTTGATCTACTTCGTAGTTTTTCGGTTCAGAATGGTAAAAATATTTAAATTAAATTATTCGTTTTCAATTTACCCATTTGGGTCAAAGCCCGTCGGATGAACGACAGTTTGAAATTTTAGTCGAATCCTAACTTTTTTATCAAATTTTAAAAGTTTTTTTTTGACGTGCCGTACTGAAATTGCCAAAAAAAGTTTTTTGTTTACCGCTCATTTTTGACGATAATTTTCCCCAGGTGCTGGCGACGATCAAGCGCCTCGACCCGGATCTGATCGTCGGTCACGACGCGAGTGCGACCATCAACCGTCTGATGGCCCGACTCGCCAAGCACGACATCAAGACGTGGCCATTCATGGGACGGTTGAAGCGCAGCATCCCGCTCAAGCAGATCGCGCACACTAAAGCCGCACAATCGGAGATGACCGTCGGAAGGCTGGTGCTGGACACAAAGTGAGTTTTGGTTTTTAAGCTATCTGCCTCTGATTCTGGTGTCAAGAGATTGTCCATGCTTTTTTTATGATAAGGGGGAACTCTTTCTACACGTTTTTTTACTATCTAAATTCGTGAAAAGCACAATTTTTTATTAAAAGAGGAAATTATCGATTTTTTTTCGCGAGATCTCAAATTTTTAAACATGCTTCCAGGTTTTTTTAATTGGTTATCCTGCTTTGAAATAGCTACGTTTTACGAAAAATACTATAAAAATGGCCTGTTATTTCGTGTCTAAACATAAACGTGCTTTTCAGGACTTCATCGATGGAGCTGGTCCGTTGTCGAAGCTATGAGCTGACGGAGCTGGTGGAGGGTCTGCTGAATGCCCGCATCGCTGCCCTCCCAGATCCTGGTGACATCCCCGCATATTATGCGTCAGTTTTTTGTCCTTTTTATACGCATTTTGTAGAAGAAATTAGCAGTTTTAAAATAAGAAAAAAAAGTGCTGTTTTTCTGCTTCTATTATCCCCCAATTATCGCCCCTTTCCAGCACTTCCACCCAATTGCTGAAGCTGATCAAGAATTCGTGGAACGAGAGCCGGTGGACGGTCAAACTCGCCGCCCACGTCAACGCGCTGCCTCTCGCTTTCCAGATCACCAATGTCGTCGGCGGCGTCACGGTATTTTCGACATTTTTTCTGGCTAGTTTTACCTCATTTTTAGTCTCGCACTTTGATGGGCGGCCGAGCCGAGCGCAACGAGTTCCATCTGCTTCACGCCTTCCACCGCAACGACATGATCTCCCCGGACAAGGCACAGTCGCAATTTAAGCATAAAGGTGCGGAATTTTAGTTTTATTCTATTTAATTTTTTTTTTGCTTTTAAACCCGTGCTTTTTCAGACACGCAATCGACGCAGCAATCGGCCACGCAGAAGCACGTGAAGAAGGACGACGAGGGTGACGAAGAAGAGGACGGCCCTGGCGCTGCTCACCCCGCCGAAGCTGACCACAAGAAAAAGACGCAATATTCGGGGGGTCTGGTGCTCGAGCCGAAGCGCGGACTGTACGACACGATGATTTTGTGCCTCGACTTTAACTCTCTTTACCCGTCCATCATCCAAGAATACAACATTTGCTTCTCCACGGTCAACTACACGCAAAAGGTATCCATTTTTCGAGATATTCCTCACTTTTTCTGATTTTTAGGACTCTGACGATCTGCCGGAGCCTCCAAATCAGACACTCGCCGAGGGGATCCTCCCCCGAGAGCTTCGAGGCCTCGTCGAACGCCGTCGCCAAGTGAAGGCAATGATCAAGACGGCAAAGGATGATGCCGAGAAGAAGCAGGTTTCCCGTTTCCCATATCCCTTTCGAAGGCCCACTTTCCAGCTGGACATTCGACAAATGGCGCTCAAACTAACGGCCAACAGCATGTACGGGTGTCTGGGGTTCCAGATGTCGCGCTTCTACGCGAAACCCCTCGCCGCACTTGTCACGTCGAAGGGGCGAGAGGTAGAGCTTTAGTTATACCATTTTAAAGAGCAGAAGGGCAAATATATTTTTTATTTTTCGATTCTAAATGAATAAGTATAGAATTGACGCTTATATTTTTGGCAAATTGCTGACCGTTCTAACCCACTTAATCACCAAATTTGGTCCAGAAAACATAATTTAGTTTTTGGGACTTTTAGGCTAATAGATGATTTCCCGTTTTCAGATTCTGACGCAGACGAAGGACCTGGTGGAACGTCTCGGCTACACGGTCGTCTACGGCGACACCGACTCGATTATGATCAACACCAACACGCGAGAACTCAAAGCCGCCAAGAAGCTTGGCTATGATGTCGGTTTTCTTATTGTCTATTTTCCTAAAACCCGTGATTTAGATCAAGAAACAAGTGAACCAATGCCACAAGCTGCTGGAACTCGACCTCGACGGTGTCTTCAGGCGCATGCTGCTGCTCAAGAAAAAGAAATACGCGGCGTTGACGATCAACCTCGACACGGAGGCCGAAAAGAAGGAGCTGAAGGGGCTGGATATCGTCCGAAGGGACTGGGCCGATATCGCCAAAAAGGAGGGAACGTGGGTTTTGACCGATTTTTTGGTTTGGGACGGTTTTGGTGCCCTTGCAATATCGAGGAAAATCTGGATTTTTGTGTATAAAGTCTGGTGAGACGGTCAAAAATCGTGATTTTTTTCGGTTGAAGCGAAATTGGTGTTTGATTATCATTTGTAATAATTTTCAGTTTTTATTAACCTGTCATATCGGGTATATTATCCCAGTAGAATAATAGAGTGTTATCCTAGGGATATCACAATAATTTTTAATTGTTGCTTTATTTTAGAGTGATTTTTATTATCAATGTTTTTAGAAAAATCGTCGACCTGATCCTGGACCCACAATTGGAGAGAGAAGAGCTCGTGGCGGCCATTCGAGATTCACTGGCTCTGCTCAGGGCCCGAATTGAAGCCGGTGAAGTGAAACAGGAAGATTACGAGATTTTGAAGGTATCGATCAAGTCAATTTACATTTTATCATTTTTTTAGCAATTGAAACGCGATCCCGAGCAGTACGGCGACGTCAAATCGCAGCCACACGTCTCGGTGGCCCTTCGCCTGAATTCGACCGGTCGTTTCCGGATGAAGAGGGACGATATTGTCAAGTATATCATTTGCGAGGATGGGACTGCCAATTCGGCCATTCAACGAGCATACCATTCTTCGGAGCTTGACGCCAATCCGGCGCTCAAGATTGGTACGGTTTTAGCTGTGTTAATATTTCCCAACATAGTTCCAAAGCATTTCCTACAGGTGACTTAGAAAACTTTCGAAATTTTGGCATTTTTGTAGAAAATGGTTTTTAATCATTTTTTTTTATTGTACGTTTTAAAAAGAGCAAATAGGGTAGAAACGCTTCCTCTAGTTCTATTAGGAAAAGGCATTATTTGATGTTTTTTTAGATATCCAATACTATCTTGCCAATCAACTGCACCCCGTCATCTCACGTCTTTGTGAGCCGATCGAAGAAGCCGATCCAGCGACGATTGCGCAGGCGTTGGGTGCGTTTAATTTTCATTATTTTTAATAGAAAGTAGCGAAAAACTGCCGCCCGCGAAGTGTCCGGCGCGATGTCCCCTAGCCGCTTTTGGTCGTGAAAACCCTTGAATACGCAGATTGCGTAATTTTTGAGCGAAAACTGCCTTTTTCAGGCCTCGACCCGCAACAATTCAAGCGTTCCGGCCACTCGAATCAACATGCACACGTGGTCGAGGAGACGTTCGACAACTGTGAACCCTTCAAGATTGTATGTCCACATGCTGAATGTGGATTTGAGAACGAGATCACCTCGCTGGTTAGGGTAAGTTTTTTCGGTTTGGTTTTACTGATAGAAAACCGTTTTGACGGTTTTGTAGCTACTTTTAAATCTTCTTTTTTTCAGACAGAGAAGGGCCAATGGCGTCTGTCGATCGAGTCATGCCAAAAGTGTGCCCGATCGCTGTCATTCAGCCCCGACTACATCACCAAGGCATTCGAGGAACAGCTCGACGCTTTTGAGAAGCTCTACAATGCCGCCAAGTACAAGTGCGATGTAAGGAGCATAATTCGATTCCCAATGAATGCTATTTGATTTATTGATATTTATGTAATTATTTACCTTTTTATTTATTTGTATTTCGATTCGCAACCGATTTTGCAGGTGTGCGAGACGGAAGGCGAAGACCTAAAGCCGATGGGTGATGGGACAATTCTGTGCCCGAATCTCGACTGTAACGATGGCACGATGAGGAGAATGGTTTGTTGAATCTATTGATATTGATTTTTTGGTTATTTTAGTTTTGATTTAAGTATCTCTTTTTTTTCTAGTATACTCCGGCTCAACTCTACCGTCAGCAACGCTTCTTCCGCCAAATGGTCGACCGTGACGGGGCCAAGACGCGACTCACCGCTGCGCAGAATGGTAAGAAATTTACTAATTGGTTCTTTTGCATTATCAGGGGGGGATTTTTTCTAAGGTTATTAATTTTATTAATTAAATTGAAGTAAATTTAGATATTTTGTATTTTTTCAGGTTGCATCACGGCCTCGTCGCTGCAGACATTGATCGACGACATGTTCAGGATGGTGCGCGAACGGCTGAAGAAGAACACGTACGGCACCGTGGATTTGGCCCGTCTGTTCGCCCCCCTACTCATCTGACTTCCTCGCCCTTAACAACCCCCATCAATGGTTTCCCGGTTGTTTTCCGACAATATTCGTTGTATACATACATTTTCACCGATACATTTGATTGCCGTTGATCTATTTACATTCCCCCATTTAACCTCTAGATTCCCCCAACGACCTTTGCTAGCATGCCTTTCCCCCCATTTCCCGACTAATTTGTTCCCTTTACTGAATGCTTTCGTACAGTTCAGATTGTCATTCCATTACCGCCTCCCAATTCCGGGTAGATTGCCAATAAAAACATTCAAAAAATGTGACGTGAAAAACATAGAACATTTAAAAACAATGTTTGGGATTTTGGCTATAATTATTATGTTAGCGGCGAGCGATTTTTCCTAATGTCGACTTTCGTGAGAAAATTGCTCTGTCGCTCTCTCTCTCTCCCTCCCTCATTCTCTCTCTCTCTCTCTCTCTCTCTCTCTCTCTCTCTCTCGCTATCCCTTCTCTCGTTTTCTCTCGTTCCCTTCTCTCCTCTCTCTCTCTCTCTCTCTCTCTCTCTCTCTCTCTCTCCCTGTTAATGCCCCTTTCCATGTTGATTTTTCACAACAAGCCTGTCTCAATTTATTGTACTCCATTGTGGAACACCGCGTGTACACTCGACACCAAAAGACACACACAAAGAAATTGGGGTTTTTGCTGGTTCTTATAAATTGCTAATACTGGCTATCTCCAACAATTATCATTAGACGAATCGATCGGCGGGGACGCACAAAATAGAAAACAGCCAAAAAAGAACAATAAATTTAATAGCAAAACAAGAAAAATAATATTCTAAACACGTCTCCATTCAAATGGGGGGCTAACCGTTTGGGGCGAGAGAGAACGGACAATTTGCATTAACAAAATCGGTGCTGGGCTGCTAGCGGGGGGGGGCAACGTTTATTGATACGAGCCCTGTTATTAAGATATCATATATTTTATAGCGTTTTTGGTATTTTTTTGGATTGCTAAAGAGTAGAAAAAGACTTTTTAAACATTCTAATTTTGGAGATTTTGGGATTTGGTCCCCCCGCGCTAACAGCCCAGTACCACACAATCGATATTTAGAAAAAAGATGAATAACTATCGCAATTCTATAGTTTGGACAAGCTGGGGATACAGTAGCTCAAGAGTACGGTATAGGAGGACATCAAAAAGCCTCATTTCTATCGATAATGCGGCGCTGAAATGACGGCATAGTGAAAAATGTCCTTTTGGCGAATTACTGTAGCCCAAGATACGATAGAAATCGCAAAAATGACTCTCCTTGCTACCGTGATCTCACCGGAAATAAGATGAGAACTTCAAAAATTACATTATTAAGCGTCTTACTGTACCCAAAACCGGGAAATGCTACAAAAACGACCTTTTTAGCTACCGTAAGCCTGGATGTTGTAGAAAAATGACCTTTGTCCGTACCGAAACTACGGTAAATGAAAAATGAAATTTGGCTACATACCGTACCCCTACCGTATCCCCCGGGGGCAGGTTTTACAGAGATTTCTCGAGATCACTACGGTCAGCAACAAGCAACGCACTAAATTTGGGTGACAAGGGCAAAAAGCAAAAAGGGTCCCGCCGCGGCCGGTGGTCGAACCAGCGACCGGTGGATTGGAGGGGGGGGGGACAGCGATCTTCTCTCTCTCTCTCTCACTCTCTCTCTCTCGCTCTCCCTGTCACCGTCCCTTTAAAGGGGCGGGGCCCTTTAAAAACCACCTTTTTCCTATTTTTGCCTCACCGGATAAGCAACACCTAAAAGCTTCACTTCATCGCGCAGCATTTGTGACTAGCTATATAGACTGGGCAACAAAATTGGTACATATAAAATTAAAGGGGACCAGCAAGTCAAAATCCACAAGCTCCCAGACTTGCCGGCCCCTTTAAAAACGGACAACGAGGTACAAATCCATGGCCAATATGGCCAAAATACACAGGGGAGAACGGCTCGCTTCAATGGCCATTAAAAGAAGATTTTTTGGCAAAAATTCAAAATATCCTATTTTTAAGGCGATTCAAGGCAATTTTCAGCGTCGAGGAACAACAAATAAAATTTTTAGAGATTTTTAAGGTTTCGGAAAGCCATTTTGGACGCCTGGAGCAAAAAGCAAAAAATTGCGTGCCGTACGAATTCGAACCCGGACCCACAGCTTAGTAGACGGCGCGCTTACCCACTCGGCCATGGCGCCAGAATTTTTTTAAATGGCTTTCCGAGCCTTTTAAAAGCGGATGATCGTTACATAGGGTCAAATTATAACAAGAATTATGGTATACAAATTGTCGACTAGTGGGGCGAGACACCGGATTCCTAAATATACGCGCATAGCTTGTGAATTGGATAACACCGGAGGATTCAAATACTCAAAAACAAACGAATTACCGGGGTTTTGGGGGGCTCGAAAAGATCACACTGTACCACGGGGAAACGAGGGAAAAAAGCAAAAATGACAAGTACAAAAATAGGGTTATTATTGGATGGAATTGATAATGCCGAGGGCCATATTATTCATATTGTTACCGTAGCCGGGCTGTTGTTGTTGCATATTCTGAAAAAGTGGGAGATTGCAGCGATTTTTGAGGAATCGGAGGGCAGGCTAGCAAAGATTCTTTGAGGAATCGGAGGGCAGGCTAGCAGAGATTCTTTGAGGAATCGGAGGAGGCAGGCTAGCAGAGATTCTTTGAGGAATCGGAGGGCAGGCTAGCAGAGATTCTTTGAAGAATTTACCGACGTTATAGTTTTTTAAGGGACCGTGTAAGCGAAAAAAGGGGCGTGTCCTCCCACCTGGCTGAGCGCCAACAATGACGACATGGCGTTGTTGGCGCAATTTGCCGAGAAGAACAGATTGTTCAACGGCGGGGCGGAGAGTCCATTTTGGGCTTGGGCGGACACTAAAATGGATTGGATTAAAGGGACCGGGAAGGCAGAGAAAATGTGGCTTTTGAATGGATTATGCCCTGAAAGGCTTACGGTTCTGCTGGCCAAGTAGACCATTATTTTGTTGTTGAACCATTGAGGGGAGGGAATTATGGATCATCGAATCTAGGGCCGAGGTGTCCAACTGGAATGACGGAGTGTAATGTAGCGTAGTATATCAGAATCTCTCTCTCTCTCTCTCTCTCTCTCTCTGTCTCTTACTCTCACTCTCGCTCGCTCCCACCTGATTCTGCTGATTCTGCTGTTGCACCTGTTGATGGTTCTGTTGATGCTGATTCGACTGGGCGGTCGAGCGGTGATTTTGCTGGAAAATGTTGATAAAATCGATGTTTAGAGGAGAAATAAACGATTTAGACGTTTTAAAATTTCTTAAGGGCTTCTAAAAGCCATCAGCAAATTCTTAACCAAAAACAAAAAATTTCGCCGAGCCAGGATTCGAACCCGGACCCTCAGTTTAGTCGACAACTATCTTAGCCACTCGGCCATGGGTAAAATCGTTCTTTTTCATTGTAATAAGTTCTAGTTTTCGTTTATCTCTCTATGTTTTGAGGTTTTCTACCGTACCTCTTCATCCGTGTGTGCGCGTCTATGGCCCCTTGTGCCAGTATGTTGATGCGTTGCCTCGTGGCCCAATTGCTGGGATCGCTGTCGGAATGCTCGACCGCAATATTGGCAGATGAACGGTTTGACACCTTTAAAGGGAGAGTGACAGGTAAGGGTTAACTTTAGGCTTTGAAGCGATTTTGAAGTGACCTTAAAAACTAACCAGTATGAATTCTCTCGTGTTGATCAACATGGCTCTTCTGAGTGAAGCGTTTGGCGCAGAACGTACATGCATACGGTCGATCGCTCGAGTGGATTCTAGATCTGAAATTAGCCGAGCGTCGGAGAAGTTTTTTGCATTTTTAGGGGTGGTTAAGTGGTTAGTAGGCTAGACTGTCAAGCAATGGGTCAAGGTTTCGAATCCCGACCGTGACAAACTTTTTGCTTTTTGGGTTTTGGACGTAAATACATGCGGGCTATTCATTAATGAGATGTGTAGCGCAGCGGTTTGTGGTTTAATCTCTCAAGCCAGGAGTCGAGGGATCGGACCCCGCCCGTGACAAACTTTTTGCTTTTTGGTTTTCGAGCTAATTAGTGGTTCGCGAACGCTCTGAATCAAGAATTCAAGCTTGAATGTGCTAGTTTTAACTGAAAATGCTACCTCATATGCTGCTGAAGCCCTCCTCTTGCCTTGAATCTCTTGCCGCATTGTTGACATTCATGGACACGAATCAGCCGACAATCATTCATATGCTGTTGAAGCTGGAAGATCCAAGATGTCACTGTCCCTTTAAAGAATCTCAAAAAATCTCTGCTAGGCTGCCCTCCGATTCCTCAAAGAATCTCTGCTAGCCTGCCCTCCGATTCCTCAAACAATCTCTGCTAGCCTGCCCTGCCTGCCTTGCCCGTCCCTTTAAAACCCACCAGCGCATCATCGGTCCACTTTTTCGGGCAAAACTGGCACTTGAACATGCCGTCGTTAGAGCTGCGAGACCGGCGGCTTTGCTAAAAAATACTTACATCATTCCTACAACCGCGAAAATTTTATTTTAAAGGTGCATGGAAGGCAAAAAAAGGCTAAAGCCGAGTAAAATTAAAACTACAAACCACAGATGCGGGGTTTCCATTGGACTGTCGGAGGCCATCGATGCTGCTCCGTGGGCCCAAGCCACCCTGGTTCTGTGAAGGGTATGGATCTGAAAAACCGGGTTTGAGCAGGTTCGCCTAGTGGTTAGTAACCTTGTTTTCACGTTGAAGGTCGACGGTTCGAATCCTGTCCGGGCGAACTTTTTGCTTTTTGGTTTTTGAACCAGAATGTCGATCAAAAAAGCATTAAAGTTAAGCTGGTCTAGTAGCGCAGTGGATAAGGGGGTAGTTCCACAGCCAGGGGGGGAGGGTTCGAATCCTTCGCTCGCTAACTTTTTGCTTTTTGGGTTTTGATCAAAAAATCGGGACGGATCCATTAAAAAGAGGCTGGCGCAGCGGATAACAGGCTACTTTTTGAACCTGGGGTCGG